TCCTCCTCCTCCTCCTCCTCCTCCTCCCCACGGCTAATTCCGTACCGCTCCATCAGATACCACATCACCTCATACAGCATCGACGCCCACACGGTTCCGATACCATGGACGCCCTCGAACTCATTGACATTCGTATACGACAGGGGGTTCTCAGTCAGCGAGGTGGAGTATGGATAGGCGCGCACACCGGCGGGGTTGGCGGCGGCCCAGGCGCCGACGGTGTAGGAGGTATTGCGCGAGTCGGCGGGCTTGATGCGGATGGCAGTGGCCATGAAGTCGCCCCAGCCCTCGCCCATGCCGGCGGATTCGAGGGAGCTGAGGCAGCCGGAATTGTGAGGGCCGCCGGTCAGACGGGTTGATACTTCATTCCAGCTTTCTGTTAGCTTGATGTAGAAAGGGAGGATGAGATAGTTAGAACGAGGGTGATAGGGACGTACAGCCATGGGTATACTCATGGATGACGATGCCGGCGTCGAAGCTCCCGTCACGGACGACCGCCTCATCAGACTCGGACTCGGTCCACAGGAACATGTTCATGCGGCCGGGGATGCCATCGGGCGGCGCGGCGAAGTTGGCATTGTCGTTGCCGGAGCCGTCCTGGGCGTTGAGGATCACGTAGTCGTGCGGACGGCCGCCGCGGTTGCCGTTGTTGAACTCGAAGTTGCCCGCTTTCTCAGTGAAGCCCAGCTGGTACAGGAGGTCGTGGTACGCGTTGACCGTGTAGAAGAGCTGCGTGATCGAGGCGTTGATGTACGCCGCCGGATGCGTGGCCCGGTTGGGCGCGTACGGGTAGTGGAACTGCAGTGTCGGTGATACCGGCCGGTAGTTGTTCTTGTACGACCGTCCGCCGCTTGGGTTCCATTGCGCGATCGCATTATTGCCTCGCGTCGTCGTGAAGTTCGTTACCCCGTCGCTGTGCCAGGCGTACGGCGATGAGCTCAGGTCCCATGGATTGCTGACAATCGTGCGCGTCCGGGTTCCGTCGTCCGGGTCGTTGGTGCCCCATGGGCTATTGGAGAGGGTTAGTAGAACATGATGGTGCGTGCTTGCGGTGGCGACTCACTAAACTAGGTATGAGGCCTGCGATACATAGTCGACTACGCCGTGGATTCTTTCGCTGGTGGCGGCGTCAACGTATGTCAGAAGCCAGTGGTCGTAGATGTCTGTCTCGATGCGCCATGTCAAGGCGAGATTGCCGTCTGCGGTGATAAAGTAGACTAGCTGGGCAATTGGGTCGGATACTGTGCCTGTGGTTCCTTGGAGGGTGTAGGTGTCGTTTGTTTTGTCTGCTGCTATCGTGACTGTGTCGATGGTGATGGGAAGATGCAGTGTCTCTGTTGCGGCCCGAAGAGCAATGATCGGATCTAAGAGATCACTTTGAGTTGGCGAATTGCCCGCTGGGAAGGCGCCAGCGAAGAAGGAGTTGCCATAGGAGAATATCTCTCCGTTTCTGTCAACCTTAGAGTATCGGAATATCAGTATAGTTTCACCATTGGCCACCGGTCATCTTACATTGACATTGAAATCGGCATTCTCGATATCGATTCCATGGAGGGTCTGGCGGAAATACACATGACTGACCCCATTGTCTCCAACATAATGATTGCCAATGAGTCGGAAGCTTGTTCCCGGTGAGATGGTCTGAACAAGTCTGGTGGCTGTTTGGACGTAGTCTTCTTCCACAAAAGAGGAATTATACAGCGCGTTGTCAGTACCAGCAGGGGAGTCCACGTATTCAGCTCTTGGTATCAAGCGGAAATGACTCAGATCCACGATACTTTCTGTTGGTTTTGAGTGTGGATAGCCAGGGCATAGGAGTGAAAGCGCTCCCAAGGCGCACAGAGTCAGCAGGCTGTGCATTGAGTCGGATCTACCGCGAGCTCGATGTTGCTATACATTCGAGCATCAGAGCACTGGGTCGGATTGTGGCTTTAAACTAAGGTCACCAGCCCCTTAAGCCAGATGTGCGAGCCTAAAGCGCGCGCAAGCTCTGTTCTATGTGGAGCATCGCTTGGAGACGGGGCTGTTGTCCTACAGAAGCATGCTTGTCTAACATGGTAAGGCATAGCAGTCTCACGCAGATGACTTTTCGGTTACACCTAAGAACCGGTCTGTTCATCAACTCGCACTAGCTAGTGAAACAAGTCTTGCGAAATGCTCATGCGACGTCCAGAGTAGATAGTGGCATTTCCCCAGTGGGCTAACTTCTTTGGCGTCGAAGCGCCCACTGCTAAAGCTGTGTGAATCGGTCAAGAACTGATCTTCAGGGGAACAAGCATCTGACATGAACGCTGCATTGTGTCCTAGTGCGCCTAACCCAGCTTTGGGACGATGTAGAAGTCAAATATGATCAACCGAGCTCCATAGCTTCGAATCCTGCGTCAGCGTTCGAGCCCGATCTTTGGTAAGGTCGCACATAGCCTGGAAGTCTAATTAGTTTTTTCATGGCCAGAAACTCACCGGTAGCATTCTTCCCACCGTAATCGTCCCATCGATCTCTTGATTGACCCCCTCTCTGTCAATCCGTCGACGCCTCTCTTCCACGATAACTTCCCTACTTCTTCCGTTGACAAACGTCCTACAAGGGAGGTCAGCTTAGACTTGCATCCGCTAACTAAGCCGCTGATCAAACATACACAAATCGCAGTCGGGGAAATCTCTCTTCATAGTCGGTCCTCTGCTCCTGTATCAAGCTGAGTCTGCTAGCTCTTACTCAACTGACTTATGTGGCCTGTTGGCGCCTTAGGTCGTCCTAGCCGGGGATGCGAGCCCAAGATTCCGCAAAGAACGCTTCGGTCTCTCGGTGAGTTGGCTGTTGTAAGTGCAGACATACGTGTTTCAACTGCATCTGTCAATGCCGAGTATGATAAGAAAGCGTTCTTTGCCAGGATGGGTCCCGCCAATGTGTGCAATTCTGATGATGGCTCGAAGAGCGTGTCGAGGACCTAAATCCGCTGTCCCTGCGGCAGCGAACTCAGCCATGCAAGGAGGGTGTGATCCGAAGACGTCGCGGCGTTTTATCCGTTGGTCTCGGATTCAATCTTGTGTACTGTACAGCAGATATCTCCTGTGGAAGTTGGCGAGAAGCCCGCTCCTGAACTTGCATCAGCAGTCTCCAAGCAGGTCCAGCCAAAGTGTCGAAGATAGTAGCAGCCAGCATGAGTGCGGTTTGAAGATTACAGAGTAAATAAAACATACCCAGGAGCATAGTCGTCACTAAATTGGTGTGTTGGACACCCAATTCCTTGCGACCGCGCTGACATGGACAAAATATGCTTGTTGCTACGATTATTCCGCTCCAGGCAGGGGCCGATTGTATATACAGCGAAGGCCTATGCTGCGGAGACAGTCAATGTCGTAGTATCTATCATGCCTGCCCGTAATACATCCGGTCAGGATCTCAATGCTCCTGTACACCTTCGCGATCCTCGATTTTGTGGGACGCCGTCAACAAGAGCTACATACATTGGCCTAATAGTAGCTGGGCGGTGGGCCTCAAGCTACCCTTATAGGGCAGTTGTATAGATACTGGCCCTTGTTTCAGAGTGTCTCCTGCATGAAATGCACAGCTGCAGCAACAGCTCCACTTATCCCTCGATGCGACCGACACTTTCACGAGCCTCTAGTTCGAACCAGGATCGACAACGGCACAGTCGACGATTTGGGCCGGGCGATGACAAGTACCCCAGTTCAGTGAATGATTCCAAGATCAGCATGATGCTGTTGAATCTTCATGTTTTGGGGTTGCTGGTGAGATACTTCGGGATTCCAAGCAGGATTCTAGACCACTCTCTCCCCAATAAGGAATCTGTCTTGCACAACCTTGAAGGCGAGCCAAGGGATGGCATACTTCGGGATCAAGGAAAGATGTCGACTTTGGCAACCTTTCGGGGATCGTCCCGGTGCCAAAGAATGGTTTAGCGCGATTATCTCTGATGAAATGCATCATCGAGGTCGTGCCTTGCAGTTGATTTGTTTGAGCGATTCCCTGCAGCGTCGGCTCGATGATTTGTCCCACCTCACCCAACCCTGTCTGTCACCGTTCGGATTCGAGGACCTGCAGATCAGCCGTACCTCTCGTTTTCTCCCCTGGTCCTGTCCCTGACCCTTTCTCTGCGGATAAGATAGTTAGGATTTGGCTTAATGACGCATGATTCCAGCAGAGTGGCCTGATATTGTGCTTATGGAATTGGTGGAAGGATCCATTTAAATCAAGTAATGAAGTATTCCCATTCGCCCGGAGAGACTCCAGTTTTCCAGCACTAAGTTTAGTAAAAAGGTTCGGTGCCTGAGGGGTTGAACGGAATTGAGCCTGGAATTATTCTCAATCCGACAGACTCTTTTGGGACTCGAAATCGAGTCAAGTTGGATCCTTGCCCGACGCATTTGCAGTCACCTTGTGAACCGGCCAAGAAAGAGACTGGACTGGGTTCGTTTGGAACTCTGAACCAGAAACGTGGGGACGGACAGCAGCAGCAGCAGCAGCAGCAGAGGAGAAGGACCAACTAACTAAGAACTAACTTCTCCCTATCGGCAATTCCCAAGTGGAGGTCAACCCACTAAAAAGATCAGCCCCTGAACTCCTGAGAGGTTCGTTCGGCGTGGATGAGAGAGAGAGACAGAGAGAGGGTGTCTGAGTCTCCGAGAGACCAGAGACACTTCTTTAGAGTCAGTTGCTTTGCTGAGAGGGGAATTAATTCAATTAATTGACTGTTAATTTCTCCCTTTCCTAGCCTAGTGGCCCCCGTCTTAACCTTGAAGACTGAGTGGAAATCGAAGAAGAGGAGACAGACCCGTTCTAATGATCGGATCCCCGGCCTTCCCTATCTAGAACGTTCACTTGTTGTTCCTCCTCCTCCTCCTCCTCCTCCTCCTCTTCCTCCTCCCACCACATCCTCTCCGACGGTCGCTTCTTGTTATTGTCAAATTGTCGTTGTTTTTCCCCTCCCCCTCTCCTCTTTCCGCCTCCACCCACACCCACTTTCGCCTTACACTTTTCCTTTTCTAAAATTACTTATACAACACCGCACGCTGTGATCCCTTCCGGACCAGGCCATTGGTGTCCAATGCGGCTCCCGTCATGTCGCTCAATGGGCTCGATCATCCCACCGTTATCGAAGCCTACCAAACAGCCCTGACCGAGGCCGGCGGATGGTGAGTTTCCCTCTCCTCCGACTACTACTACTACTCTACTTCATCCATCCCCTGCGCCGCTGTTTCCCCGGTCGCAGGGGTGTTCACATCCGATCCAATCGCACGAACAGGAGCTCATGCGCATGACTCTCGTCATTTAGGTTTCTGCTTCGGTATGTATCAAGGGATGAGGTCGCTCTCCTCGAGCGAGGGACAGGCGGGGTTCCTGATGTGCGCAATGCAATCGAGAGCTATGAAGAGACGTCACCACTCTATGGCTTCCTCCAGTACCGCCGGCGGAAGGTGGTACTCAGCTACTTGCCCGAAGGCATGTCTCGGCTTCTTCAAGGTGCGCCGCCTTGTTCAGTCCTTCGTCCTTGATCTGCCTTCACACTGACGCAACCATCCAACCATCCAGCGCGAACGACGGTCCAATTCCAGTCCATATTAGACAAATTCTCCCCACACGATACCGTCTTCTCCGTGTCACAACCATCGGAGCTCACTGAAAGTGCCCTGTCATCCGCATGCTTGCTACATACGGCTTCCGGCTCGATTACCTCCTCGTGCAGCTCCCTCCGCCGTCGCAAACTGATGGAGATAGCGGAGGATGCAGAAGAACAGCCTGTAGACAAGGACACCCCTCCAGCATTGCCTCCGATGAGTGAGATGCGACAAAGAGCCTACAGTCAGATTTCCGAGGCCACGGTGGTTCCTCCTTCCACGGTATCCAGTGTGCAACAGTCGCCCATTGGTCCTGAGTCGAGTGTGACGACCCTGGAAAGCCTTCCAGGTAGAGATCGGTCGCCGTCAGTAGCCACTTCGGAACGCGCTCCCTCCATTAGAACCTTCCAGGAGGACGCTTCTCAGGCTGCTTCTGAATCGCGCAAATCCTCACAATCGACTCGGCCATCCATCAAGGAGCTCGAACGTGCGGTGGGATATGTACCCAAAGTCAAGCTTGGTCCGCGGCCCTCATTGGACGGAAGCGGGCGGCCTCGCACTGCAGGAAATCTGTCGCGGACTGCTGACAAGCGGCCGGTAGCATCGTTACCCGCTGGTGTTCGGTCGTCGGCCTTGCGAAAGGCCAACCCTAGCCCTTCGCGTCCGCGGTCTCAGGGGGGCAGCAGCACATCCGCATCCGTTAAAGTGCCTTCCGTACCACCGCTGCTGGTGCCTCCGTTGTCGGCGCCTGTATCCAGACCCAAGCTTTCTCCGGGCGCCAAGTCTTTGAGTGCGTTGTCATCGGGGGCGTCTCATGAAAGGGAACGGTTGATGAAAGCACTTCAGATGCGAAAAACTCAAATGGCGAAGAAAGCAAGAGAAGAAAAGAAAATCGAAGCTACTGGAGGAAAAGGGGCAATGAAACCGGATCCGACCGAAAATAAGGAGAATACCAATTACCAGCTCCCTGAAGAACCCAAGCATCACTGGGACAAGGATGAGCCGGTACCAGTGTCGGAACCCGGCAACAAGCCCCTATCTGAAACTTCAGGAACCATGCCTCCTGGAAAATTACAAAAGGAGGCAGGGCGCCCTGCAGTCCCCAGTCTGACAAAACCCGAGCTGGCCATGCAGGAGGCTGACACGGTGACCCCTGATCCTCAAAAAGCGTCACAACCCGGATCGGAGGCATCGAGTGACGGCAGCCAGATTGCGGCAACTACTGAATCCTGCCAGCTGTCGGAATCTGAAACACACGCTTTGGAAGAGGCCTTGGCCGCGTCCGACGACGGGGAGTCTACGGGTGGCCCCTGCACGTCTAGCGCCGTATTCCACGTCCCACCAGAGAACGATTCTGGAAAAGCTCCGAAGGAAGAAATTGTTGGCCCCTCGCCACCCCAAACAGCAGACAACGAACCTCTTGTTCCTGGCGAACAAGAGGTACAAGAGGTCAATTCGACATCATCGGATTCAATTCAGGCTCTTCAATCCAAGTCAATTCCCCGGCCCGATTCTCCCTCTTTCATTTCACGCCCAACTCCTTTCCCCGACTCGCCGTCGATCCCCGTGCCTCATTCTACCGCGCCGCAGCATGACCTGACCCCTGAATCCTCGAATGTGGAGCGACAGCACAGTACTACTCGAAAGGAGAAACGCAAACCTTACCTTGAACCCATTCAAGTACCTACTCCAGACTACTCTGATGACGAGAACCTTCTCTCTGACGATTCTTTCATGGAAGAACTAAAAAGTGCCACCGTGGAAGAGGCCAAGCCGATCTCGGTCGGCATCTCCCCCCTCTCCCCCGGATACTCGAACACAAGCAACGGCAACACCTCGCCTGACGCGTGGAGGAACTCCCGTGCCGTTTCCAATCCCAGCGCTATTGGACATCAACCCCCCGAGATGCAGGCCTTACCCATGGGTCGGTCGGTGTCGACGTCGTACGCCGATGCGGGGGACAGCAACAACCCCGTCCTGGTGGCCAAGAAGATCAATGTATCGTCTGGCATCTCAAAGCGCATCAAGGCTTTGGAGAAGTTTTCCAACACCCGTGAAACCACCTCTACCGCTGGCCAGACCTTGGCCGCTCCTTCCTTCGAGACCCTACGGAAGGGTTATTCGGACGCATCGACCATATCGAGACCCGTTTCTTTCTACCCTGAATCTTTCTCTCGCACAGCCAGCCTAAGGCGTCCTGTATCTCAGGCTGGTCCTGGGCTCACGCGTAGCGCTAGCTCGGTCTCCGTGACCGCTCGCATAGTTCGTGAGCGTCCCGCCACGGGAACGGAGGCGCCCTCCGATCCCTCCGAGCCAGGCTCGCTCAACCTCTTGGCTAGTCCCCTGACTGTCGAGCATAATTCCATTCCTGATTTCCCTATTCCACCGAGTCTTTCAAAAGAACCGGTGGTCACACCGCCGGAGGAGCCCGATGTGCCCACGGCTTTAGAGAGTCCAGAACAGCAGTCTGCCGCTGCGTCGGACCCCCGTCCTGAGAGCAGATCGTCTCATACTTCTACCCTGAAGAACGAGGAAGCTATTGAGGCAACCTCTCCGATCGATCTACCCTCGTCTCCTGAAGAGAAGAAGGCGTCCCGCACCTCCCGGCTTATCCGCCGAATGTCCTCGTTCACCTCCAACTCCCGCAAAAACGTCATGGCTGCTCTAAGTCCAATGGTGAAGGAGGAGAAAACTGCCTGTGAAGACAAGTCGGAAACTGCCGGCGAAGCGCCCCAGGCAATTGACATTGGCGAGGTCAACGTTCAATTCCCTGATACTCTACTATGGAAGCGCCGCTTTGTTCGCATCGATGACAAGGGATATTTGGTCCTGACACCTGGCAATCTTGACTCGAGCAACCGCAACATGGTCAAGCGATACCATTTGACTGAGTTCCGGACACCTTGCTTGCCGGATGAAGATCGTCAGGAGCTTCCCAACAGTATCCTCCTGGATTTCAACGACGGCAACACACTTCAATGTGCTTGCGAATCGAGGAATGGCCAGTCTTTTGTTCTTCAGAGTAAGTCATCGCCTCTCAATCGCTAAAGAATTTACTGGCTAACATAGCAATAGCACTGGTTGATGCTCACCGCACTTATGGGCAAACGCTCGCTCAATAGTTCCTTGTCATCCTATAGAACATTTGCATCCTCGCTCATCGCCTAACCATGCATACTCCTGCGCCATCTTTCTATATCTTGTTACCCGGTGTTTTCAGCGGTATACCCCTCTAAAATGGACTATTTTGTTTACCAGCTGTTGTTCTGTACCTGTTTAATCATCTCGATCTTCACCCTCTTTACTTCTCCTCCAGACTGGATGTTATGGACAATGTGTAATCCTAGTCGCTTTTGTGTGTACGGTCAATATTCTCGGACCGGTTGAAATCTTTGTCAGTAATGATGTAACTGGGCCCCGTTGACTCGCATGCCCTTGATGGAAGACTTCGAGTAGGTCTGGGCGTTGGGACGGTTGCATCGCTTGCATATGACATGAAGTCTTTGTGACCGTCAAAATATTATATCTTCGGCTCTATGTACGCTTAGCTTTTTCACTCTGCAGAAGTTGATTTTCTGCGGCCAGGCCAAATTGAGGTTTATGAATACAAGAACAAATCATTCATCCCTTCCATTAAACGCCAGATCCCGAAGTGCAAGATTGTATCAGATAGTTTCCTTGCTTGCCCTCTTCTTCAGCGGCATTCTTCTTTCTTCTTTCTCGGCAAATCTTTTCAAACTTGCCCGGCGACTCTCTTCTTCTCCCAGTCCTCCAGGAACCGCTTCATCTTGGGACCCCAGACGTCTTCGCCGGCCTCGAGATCCTTGTACTCGAGCACCTTCTCGGGTTCGAGCTCGAAGCCAGCCTGGCGACAGCGGACGAGGGAGGTCATGAGGGCGCAGCTGCCGACGGCCTTGCCCAGATCGTGCGCCAAAGAGCGGACGTAGAAGCCGGACGAGACGGTCATGGTGATCTTGACGGCGGCCGGCTGGGGGCGAGCAGGGGCTTCCTCTTTCGTCTCGGGGGTGCTCGTCGCCATTGCCGCCGGCGCCTCCTCCGCCTGCGCGGCAGACACGGCTTCTCCGTCCTCGGAGACCTTCACCTTCTTGGCTGCGGGAGCGCCAGCTTCCTGCTCCGCAGCGCCAGCATCCTCCTCAGCCTTAGCACTCTCAGCTTCCGCCAACGGCGAAGAAGAAGGAGAAGGCGGATCCTTGCGCTTCGCCGACGCCTCACCGGGCACCTCCCCAGCACCCTCCACCTTGGACCCAGCAGCCGCCAAAACCTCATCCTCCTTCCGCAACAACTTCTCGGCAACAACCTTCTCCTCACCCTCCGCCTCAACCTCAGGCCACTTCCACTCATGAGACCCAGGCTCAAACCACTCCAGGACCCTCAAATCCGAGACCTCAACAGGCCTCTCCTGAATCTCAACAGGCGGCTCGACGCCCTCACGCGCATACTCATAGAGCCGCTTCCCATTAATCCGCAACGCAGAGTAAATGGGGGGCCGCTGCATGATCTTCCCGCGGAAGCGAGCGAGGGCGGCCTCGACGGCCTCGCGGGTGATGTGCTCGTAAGGCGCGCGACGGACGACTTTGCCCAACACATCGTAGGTGTCGGTTTCGGCGCCGAAGAGCACGACGGTCTCGTAGGTCTTGGTGCAGCCCAGGAACGAGCCGAGGTGTTTGGTGCCCTTGCCGACGCCCGCGACCAGCACGCCCGTCGCCAGCGGGTCGAGCGTGCCGCCGTGGCCGAGCTTCACGTCTAGGCGCTGCGTGCGGCGGCGCCGCCGTTGGTTGTTGTTCTCGTTGGCGCGGCGCTGTTGCTCATCGCGGAGCCAGGGCGCGAAGAGCGCGCTTGGTCGGAAGTGCGTTTGCAGGTGGCGGAGGACGTCGGCGGAGGTTACGCCTTGGGGTTTGTTGACGGCTGTACCGTTGGAGAATTAGCGGTTAGTATGAGGGGCAATGTTTGATTGAGTGAGGAGAGGTGCGGAGTAGGAAGGGTCCAGGTTGGAATTGTGTAAATGGACGAGGTGAGATACATACCGAAAACGCCCTCGTAGATCTTTTCTCCCGACATGCTGCGGCGGAAGAGTCGAGCACCCAGTCGCCAACCCATCTATGATCCAACAGAAACCGAAAGGATGGAGGGGCTTGATTCTCAAGCTATTCAATCGCGCGACGGTCGGAGAGTGAGTGGAATTGACATAAAACCAAAACTAAATTTCGGTTTCCGACCTCGCATTCTGCCGGACGGGGTCTAGACGGTCAGTCGAGCGGTCCAAAGCAGCAGAACCGGCCAGGCCGTCCCATGTGCCCTCTCACCGCCCAACCAGGAAGTAAGTAAAGTAGACCTGTCGTCATGCGGTCGTAATTACGTGGAATCTTTTGCCTCTATTCCGCACAATCGTGTGTTTTGGTACGTAATTCTTCGGATCTCCCTCCCTCACTCACTCTCTGTTCTGGTACTCTCTCAGCTCCTCCTCCTCTTCTCAGCTCCTTCCTCCTCCTCTTCTCAGCTTCTTTCTCCCCTCTGATTTTTCTTGTCGGTTGTTCCCAATTATAAGCGTCTTGCGTTTATCTCGCTGTTCTCCTTCCCTCAGCCGCTTCTCTCTCTTCATCGATCGCCAACGAGCTAGAACAATTCTCTATCAGACTGTTTACCCACCCCCGATTCAACCTAAACCATCTCCCCAATTCCCAACTACAACACCCGTTTCGCAGATAACAATATGCTCCCCCCACCAACACCGGAGACATGACCTCGCGCGAAGACAACGTCCTCGCCGCCCGTGACCCGGCCCTCACCGACGAGAACGACTGGGAGGAGTTCAGCCTGTCCGAGGTCCGCGTCTTAGTACCAGGCAAATCCCGCTATGCCAATTTGCTCACAGCTTCACCGGACAACCCTGTCCAGGTGACGGGGTGCTTGGATGAAGTGGAGGAAGAACAGGAGTCCTTGGGTCCGTTGGTCCCTTCCCCGCATCGATTACGTTAGAGATTCTGCTTCCTTGGGTTCTACAAGACTGACATCATGTCTCTGGGTCTTAGTGCTGGATCCGGAATATCTCACCAAACGCATTGTCCTCGACAATGTCACGCACTACGCCTACGGCCAACATAATGACGGGGAAGTCGGGTTCTGGGTCGCGGGGCGGGCGGGGTGGTTCTCCATCTCCCCGGCCAAAGGGTATAAACCCATGTTTAATGAAGTGGTCGAGGCGATCGATCTACTGTATTTTTTGGCGGACCGTCATAAACGGAAGAGGGGGAGAGGGAGGTTCAAGGGTCCCACTGTCGAGTACCTGTGTGAGGAGGTGAGTGTTAAGATTCCCTTACCCTTAAAATCATTAAATCTTGAAGGGGGAGAAAAAGAAAGACAAGCCCTGAGACAGGGAGCACAAAGCGTGGCTGGCGCGCGTGCGTGTTCGGGATGCACAGCGATTGGATGTTGCAGATTGCTAACGTCTCGGCTCACTGCCCTTTGCCTAAACAGTATGTCAGCCACACGCATGGGATCTGCGAGGATGCCGATGATTCTGCCGAGGTGTTCTACAAGCATCATAACTTCTTGCTGTCACGGATGTTGAAAGGGGAGGAGAATGTACAGTGGTGCACGACACCTATTCTCGTCCACCTCAGCGAGAAGTTTCCGGTATGTTTGGAATTTTCTTTTCTTCCACATCGGGCGGCTAATCACCAGAAATAGGAAGACTATGAGCTGATCAGGGCGCAAATTGAAGGCGTGAAAGAGGTTGAATCTGATGAGGAAGAGGAGAGTACCCCCGGGAAGACCGAGGACGAAAAACTCCGGGTGGTTGAGTCGTCGGGGCTGACGAAAGCCGACGCAAACTCTATTTACCAGGTAATACTTGACCTCAAGGAAGAGGGATACTTGGCGAAGCGCCTGTTAAACCTTGACCTCGTTGCATCCACTCTGGTCAGTCGATTCGAGATCGAGGACGACGAATATGCGCACGGCCGGATAACGTCGAGCGCGGAAATCGTTCTCGAGCTGATGGACGAGGCGAAAACTTATTCATTCGACTGGTCTAGGAAGGTGATATATCGCGAGCTGAAGGCCGCTGCCAAGCAACATGATGGGGCGTCGCAGGAGGCGCTTACCCCTCTGCGTCCTCGTATGCTGGAAAACGAGGCATCTTCCCCCGAGGACAGCGATCAAGAAGACCTTCCGCGCTTGCGCAGACGCCGAGTCCTCAAGTCCGTTTTACGACCCAAGAGTACGGTGGCCACGAAACGAACGGGCAAACGCACGCGTAATGCGGCCGCAGACACGGACGAGGAGTCCGATGCCAATGCAGACGCTATGGACGATTTTGAGACGCCCAGCAAGGTGCGCGGGCACGATCTCGTTCGCGATCCACTGTCAACCCGCGCTAAGCGTAGGACGCGGTCAATACTTTCTGACTCGGAGTCCGCAGCTCCTTCCGTGCAAAAGACAGCGCTCCAGGAGATCCTGCAGAGTCGGAATACATCCGTGTCGGTGGCTGATGCCGAATCGCATCACGAAGAACCAGAAGTAGATGGTGCAAATGGCGAGGACGTACAGTCGGATATCTGGACGTGCCCTGTCCGAGGCTGCGGCAAGATCGTGTACAAGTGCAGTACGAAACGCGGCAAGCAGCTGATCGAGGATCATTCGTTGGCTCACGCGGATGATGCGAAGGCGAAGCTTGATCTGGTCTTTGCGGAACAGCGCCTCAATATCGGTCTTCCAGTCGATAATCTCCTCAACCGTATCCGGGAAATGGCAGGAGGTGACGGCGCCGGGCTGGCAGGTATGGAAGGCGCGATTAATGGTGCTTTCGACGCGCTAGGAACTTGACTGGCAAGCATAGAACGATGAATCAAGATACCCACATGAATTGACGATGACGATGACGATGACCATGGGAAGTATGGCTGGTAGTCCAGTCAGTGTCATCATGGCCAGTCGCCTAAGAAACTATGAAAGGCTAGACATGCATTTACGGTGGAACTGCCGGTTTCTCGTGTGTCCCCGAGTGACACAGAACAACGACCTATTTGAGGATTTCAGCCTCGATGGCGCAGAGTTCCCGTCCATTTCCGGCGTGTCTGAAGACGCAGGGGATGTGAGGCCCAGCAAGCCCGAGGCTGGATTCAATGGGTCCACGAGGATAATGGATAGGTTGCTTCCATAGTATGACGATATGATACCACAATGAGATACCAAGTTTTAGCACCTACACCTACACATAAGGAATAGCAATCTCATCAATGCCATCCAACCATAACCATGGATTAATTCAAAGTATACACAGGTCTCATAACCTAGACCACAAACACAATCATGGCGTCTAGGGGTTTAAAAAAAATGGAACAATTGCTTTTTATGAATAGAACCCAAACGACCTCTTCCGGTATCCGAGCAAAGCTAGTAAAAAAGAGAAAGAAAACCAAAGAAAGAGAGATCAAGCGCGACCCTTAGCAGCAGCTCTCCTGCTCTTACCAGGTCTCTTCGCGCCACCACCACCGCCGCCGCCGCCGCCTCTCTTGGGGCCGCCCTTCATCTTCCGAACGGAGAAATCGCGCATATCACCACTGGAGACGGCATCACCGCTCTTGGAGAAGCGCTTCTTGCCGCCAAAGCCGTACTTCTCGTTCTTCTTCTGGCGCTTAGCGTTGGAGGTGCCGTCGGAGCCGAAGGCGCGCTTCCGGTTATTGGGCTGGGCGTCATCGATGGCGATGTCGAACATCTCGTTGGCGTTGTCGGCCTCGCCGGAGGTATCAGCCTTGCGCTCTGCAGTAGTGAAGCAAGAAAATTAGCCGAGTGCCTTCCCATATGATAAAAGGGTCAAGGGGAAAAAGGGGGTGGGGGACAAACTCTTCTTCAAATCATTGATCTTCTCCAAGGTCTCACGCTTCTCCTTAGCGCGCTGCTGCAACTTAGCGACCTGAACCTGCTTGCCGAACTTCTTGAGGTCGCGCTGCTTGCGTGCCTCAGCGGCAGCCTTCTTGGCGGCGGCCTCATCGAACAGCTTCTTCTTGATCTTATCCATGTGCTCGTCCGTCTTGACCATCTCCGCGAAGTAATCGCCGGGTCGCGTGAAGGGGATACCTTCCTTCTTGAGGAGGCCGCGCGCCGAGGTCGCCGCCGCCTGGCACACCTTGTAGAAGGCCAGCTCGCGGGCCAGGTCGTCGTTGGGGTCCGGCACATCGATGGGCTCCTGCGACACGAGCGAGTTGTGCTCCGAGAAGAGGGTCGAGGGCGTGAGGAACGAGATGCGCTTCAACGACGCGCTGATCGCCGCCGAGTTGTTGATCGTCAGCCGCTGGTGCGTCACTACGTCTTCGCGCTCGTCGTCCTCCAGATCGCTGAGCGGGATGTCGGATTCTTCTTCTTCTTCGTCGTCGTCGTCGTCGTCATCGGAGGCGGCGGAGGCGGCGTCTGCGTCGGCGGAGGCGTCTTGCTCTTCGGCGTCGGATTCTTCGTCTTCCTCGTCTTCCTCCTCAACCTCCTCAATCTTCTTCTTCAATTCCTCCTGCTCCTTCTCCTTCACATCCTCCTCCCCTCCCTTCGCCGCCTTCTTCTTCTTCGCCGCCCTCACAAGCTTCTTCTGCTTCTCGGCATCGTAATCCCGGCCGCGGTGCTCGTCCAGAGCCTGCAGCAATTTGCTTCTCTTCGGCATTGTAGATTCTGTTAATGTATCAATTCGAGAACCGGTACTGAAATGACAGCACCACCAAGAAAAGAGTTAAGTGAGTTGTTGTTGTTAAAAAGAATCCCTTCGATCCCGAACCTCTGCTCAAGCAATCTTTCGGCGGGAAATTTTTTGGACGGGGCTGACTAGACTTTATTGGGTTAGTGTCGTGGGAGAGACTTTGTGAGTGGGGCAGGGGAGGATTGGTGGCCTGGGTGCCTGGGCGGTGAGGATTGAAGCCTTAGATATCGGTTGGCCTGAGGCAGAAGGGTTGGATTTGGTTGGAGTATGGGGCTTGCTTGCTTGTATACCTTGGTAAATGTTCGCTCTGGATTTGTGTTTTCTAAGCTGCTTCGGCAGGTACTATACCTTGCATACTACTTGAAATGGAGAATGGAGTTGTAAATAATATGTCTATCTATTCAGTCTGTATACTTCATTCGATCGGTCATTCAGAAACATTGTCTATTCAGTAATAACTCCGAACTATGCATACTCGCTAAAGGATATTATACCCTTGGGGCGTCTCAATCTGACCTCTTGGGCAATTCGTGACTATAGAACAAACAATCTGCAGGATAAAGCTCCACATACATAGACCGTCCAACCACCATAACCGACCAGCCCATCCCAACTCCCAACTGACACAGCTTAGACCACAACGTCGCACCCTCAATTCGTAAGGACAACCTTGCCGCGACCCGTATACCGCCCACTCGCAAGCTCATACGCCTCCTGCACCCTCTCAAAGGGAAATACACAATTCACCAGAGAAAGCAGCAGTCCCCGCTCCGCCAGCTCAGCCAAATAGCGCAACGCGGTGCCACTACCCTGGACAATGAAGAACAGAGCACGGACGCCGTCCTTCCGTATGCCACGCTCAGTATGCCTCTGCACAAAGTCATAGCTAGCGGAGTCCACGGAGACAAGCACGCCGGGGCCATCAGCCCTCACATACTCCCAGCAGCGCGCCAACACCTCACCACCCACCGCATCAACAACGACATCGAACTCCGCATGCCGAACACCACCCAGCTCCGCGTACTCGACGGCCTCATCCGCGCCCAGACCAAGCAGGAACTCCGCGTTCCGCGCATTCGAGCTGGAGGCCGCCACGACATGCAGCCCTTTGACGGCAGCCGCGAGCTGCACGAGATGAACGCCGACGGCGCCCGCAGCACCGGTGATCAAGAGCCGGCGATGCGGATGCTTGTGCGCGGGGGCTTGAGCCTCCTCCTCCTCCTCCTCCTTCTTCTTCTTCTTCTTCTTCTTCAAGCGGCTAGCAGCCGCAGCCTCCGGAAAAGGCGCCGTGAGACCAGCGTGCACGAACAGCGCCTCGTACGCCGTCAGCGCGCTGAGCGGCAGCGCCGCCGCCTGCTCCCAGCTCAGCGCGGCGGGTTTGCGCGCGACCTCGTCGGGCGCGCGGACGAGCGCGTACTCGGCCCAGGCGCCGGCGCGGTCCGGGTGCGTCATGCCGAAGACCTCGTCGCCGGGTTTTAGGTCGCTGGTCTGCTCGTCGAAGACCGCCGTCACGATGCCCGCGACGTCGTTGCCTGGGATGGCGTACTCATGGCTGTAGGTCTCTGGCCAGGTGAGCATGTCGCGCACGACGGTTGTGGCTTTGACGCGGATGACGAGCTCATCTGGTTTTGAGGGCTTGGGGATCGGGATATTGGTATCGAGGTGGAGGGCGGAGGGTGGTGCTGGGTTGGAGGGGGAGTATGGTGTTGTTGTGGGGGACGGGGACGCTGGATGGAGTCGGATTGCTTGCATTGTGGCGGGTTCTTGCGGATGAAAGCCTCTGGATGATGGTACCGATGCTTAATAAGGTGAGGTTTAGTTGCAATGACTGCAGATGTGGTTTATACATCTCTGTCTCTGGGGTGCAGTCCACGGATGCGGTCCGGTCGAGTATCCCGTTTCCCGAATAGGCTATCCATCGGATACCCGGACACGAGACCCCCTCACTTTGAGTAACCGGAAGCATTGAACTGTGCCCGAGCTGTTGGGATGTTGAGAAACATGAGCGTAATGCAGTCTCCCAAATCCGTGATCTCCGACTCAGACCACACTGGACTGCACAATGATAAAAGAGGCGCACCGTCCGCACCGTCAACGAGTCAATCTATAACTCATACCCAACAACTGCAGTATACCCACCGAACTTCTCATCCCTAACCCGCCATGGAAGAACCAACCTACGACCCCAGGTACGTCTGCCCGTCTATACAACGATCCTGGCATGGACAACACAGCTGACACAGAGCAAGCCGCCCCCTGGCAACCACCACCATCGCCTACCAGTATAAGCTGGTCAACTGCCCCGGCAAGACCATCGTAGGTCTGCTGGTCGAATATCCCCCCGCGGGCGCCACGCCTCCTCATCGGCACGGCGGAGCCTCGGTCTCAGCCTACGTGATCAAGGGCTCCGTGCTGAACAAGATGAACGACGACCCGATGCGGGTGATCGAGCAGGGCGGGTCGTGGTATGAGGCGCCCGGGTGCCATCATCGGATCAGCGCCAACGCCAGCCAAACGGAGCCGGCGGCATTCTTTGTGAACTTTGTTCTGGATACGGAGACGCTGGAGCGGGAGGGGCCGGGGGTGCTGGTGCAGATTGATGAGGAGTATCGGGAGATTGTTGCGCAGAAGATGAAGACTGAGGCTGCCTAGTGTACGGAGAGTACTTTATAGTATAGACAGCTCCACGCTAGTCCCTTTGCGGTATAATGCTTGTCTAGCACTGTGGACTGTCAATGATTTACCTCACCTGCATTAGTCTTTTGAATGGAACATTCAATCTACCCTCACTAGGATACCCCTGAGTATTACTATACTAGACTTGCCTATAATCCACTTCTGTATTCTCTCCATCTCAACCACACGTGTCCAGCCCAACCCAGCGAAGGATCGGGAAAGCGGGCACGTCCGACCCATCGCCGCAGCGGCAGCTTATCGATCCCCGTTTCATCCCAACTTGTCCCAACTGGAAACGACTCCTAGTCCACGACCGACCGATCAACCAACCTCTACAACCACCACAACCACAAGCACAACCCACAGCTTGAAAACCGACACCAACAACAAAACAAACCAAAATGACCGACGCAACCAAATCCCTCAGCCCACCACCACCTCCACCCCCACCAGCACAACCAGCAACAACGGTGCGTCCTATCCCAACAATCCTCCCCTCCCCTTACAACACAAGAGCATAAGCATAAACATACCACACACCCTCCAAGCCAAAGACGCCCCCCTCGAGCACAACCCCAGGTACTAACCCCAGCCAAAAGCTCGAAAACCAAGAACACCCCACAACAACACCTCCCTCGAGCATCCAATCCGAACTCAATGCCGCAGTCGACGACCTACTAGACCAACTCCAGCATAAATTCGACGGCGTGTCCAGGGATATTTTTGCGAAGTGTATGTATCGACCACAAAACCCAAAGCACAAACACAATCTCCCCCCCAAAGCAACGCAAACACTAACGTAGCCTCTACCGGTAGTGGACGACATGGCGCGCCGACTAGACGAGCTGGAAGCGTCGCTGGCGCTGATGGATGGGCCGACGGCTTCCCCTGAGGGCACGGGGACAGGGACAGGCGCAGGCGCGGGGAGCGTGTCTGCTGGGAGTGGAGGGGCCGGGGACCAAGGGGCGCGGAGTCCGAGTCCCGGGATGTGAATGATATCACTACGTGTATTGATTTTGGGGTTTGGATAGATGGATAGATATATCCTTGGGTTTTTGGTCCTTGGGGTTTTGCGGGGTGCGTTGTGTTGCGTTTTGGGCGATTTATTGGGAAGGGGGAGGGGATATCCATGGTGATATTTGAGGGTTGGAAGTGGGCGGGTTGGATCGTTTGGAGTGATGTGTACAGCACGGGATGTGGTTTTTACAGTCTGTCGGTTTCGGTCGTTGAGATACCCCGTTTACAACTTGCATTGCAGCTTGGATTTGAGCATGCCGTTCCTTTTCTTGTTTTAGGTTTGTGTCCCTTTTTATTTTTGCTTCAGGTATATGCTAGAATCACATTCTCATCATTTGTTCTTCTGTCCTGGTATCATACAAGGATCAATAGTCCCAATGGACAAAAACACACAGCGGCGATAAGTTCACATGCCGTACGCAGCAGCAGCAGCAGCAACAACAGCCGCCTCTCAACCCACAAAAATCATAACTCATATCTGATCTACAGCTCATCCTTCTCCTCACGGGCCTCATCGAAGGCAAACTGGCGCAGGATATTGCTGCGGGAGACGAGGTCATCGACCTTCTCGGGGGCAGAGCCACCCTTGGCGATGATCTTCTCCAAGCGGGCCAGCTCCTTGGTGACGTAGTCGGCGTTCTGGGCCAGCTTGTCGGCGACCTTGACGTAGTAGGGGGCGTACTGGTCCTCGAGGCCGGCGGCGGCCTTCTTCAGCTCGGCGGCGAGGGTGGCCGGGGTGGAAGAGGCGATCAGCTTGTTGAGGGCGGCGACGGTGCCGGCCGCGGCATCGAGGCCGCCGCCGACGGCGCGGTGGGTGCCGGCGTGCTCGTTCAGGAAATCGACGAAGGCCTGCTCGGAGCGGGCGCCCGAGTAGACCGAGGCCTCCTTGGAGCCCTTGGGGAAGAACTTGATGGTCGGGTAGCCCGTCACGCCGTTGGCTTTGGCCGTCGCCTTGCTGTTCTCACCCTCGGCGTCGACCTTGGCAATCACGATGTTGGCCTCGCGCGCGAAGTCCTTGGCCAGCGTCTCCCAGGTAGGAGCCAGGCTCTTGCAGTCTATCCATCCATCCATCGCCCGTTAGCGTTTCTGTCACTCTTACTCCCAACCCTCCTCCCCCACAACAAATAACCAATAAGCCAAGGAAAAAGAGACTGGGGAAAACTCACGACCACACCACGGCGCGGTGAACGCCACAAGCACATGCTTATCGCCACCAACGGTCTTGCCAAACGACTCATCCGTCAACATCTGCACGAAACTCGGCTCCTTCTGCTGCGCGCCGCCGCGAGCCTTCACACCCGTCTTCTCCGTGATGAACGCCGTCAGACTCTCCAAGTCCCGGCCGCCCTTGTAATCCTCGGGCGTGTCGCTCTTGCCGTCGAACCACTTCAGCGTGGGGAAACCCTGCACACCGAACTTCCGGCCGAGGTCGCGGTGCTCGTCTGCGTCCACCTTGGCGACGGTGACTTTGTCGGTGGCGTGCGCGAACGCCTGCGAGAGCTCCTCGTAGGTCGGGGCGAGGTTCTTGCAGTGGCCGCACCAGGGGGCAAAGAACTCGACCAGCGCCGGCTTGCCGGACTTGAGCACGATCGAGTCGAAGTTGTTGGGGACCAGGTCGACCACCGCTGCCGTGGCGGTGGCGGCTGCCAGGGTGAGGTAGCTCGCGAGATGGCTGAGGCGGACCATCTTTGTGGTATTTCTTTTTCTTTTTGTGTGGGGTGGTGATGGGAGAGGTATAAGGGGTGTTGAGACGATTGAATGGCGGAGGGGGGAAGGGCAGGTTGAACAACTGCCGACGGTGATCAAATTGGGGGAATCGGTTTCTATGAATAATAATTAATGATGGGGGAGCTTCCGCGGCGGAAAGACTGCGGAGGCCGAAGCGGGTCGGAAGAGGACACTTGGTAACTATCATTCATTGCCCCAATCCACTCCTCATCACTAAGCAACGACAAAGTACTACCACCACCACCAGTCAATCATTCAACATGCATGATTAATCTGATTGTTAATCATCTCGGTATTCCAGCAAGGGTCAACCGGCTTTACGGAAAAGCTCTCAACCTAGTTTCGCCACTAGCCCATGTCCCGGCTCCATCGGACCGACGAATGACCAGAACATCATACCACATCTTCGTCTCAGAGTTGAGCTAGATAGCTATTATTGCAGCAGCTACACGAGATGAACCACTACGCCGGACCACCGGAATAGGAATCTTTCGGTGCCTCCCGTTCACGGGCCACTCGACAATTAGTCGTGATGTCGTTCGTTGCTGGTTCATGGACTGGCTACTATTGATCTGCGTGTCCGTATAGCTAGGGCCACATCCCAGTTCTTCATCACCGTCGCTCGGCGAGCCAGCGGTTTGCCTCTTCCCATTTCTTGCTGTCCTTGAACTCCCGACCTGCGTTCTGCGATGCGCGGTAGACCTATGCGACGTTCAGTATACAGTTGATGAATCTTCTGGGGTTTACCTACCGCATCCCAGAGCTTGAAGGCCAAGTCAAGATTGCCAGTAAAACTGTCGCTATGCTGGAACCATTCCTTGCCCTTGGCCTTGACTTCTTGTCTGGCTTCGGGCGACGTAGGATTGGCTTGCAGCGGCAGGTCGTCAAGGTAGGTGCGCACCGCGATTCCAAGACCGCAGTCGTTGTCATCAATGAATGGGAGCCTGGGAAGATGTCAGAAGTCTACTGCAGGGGGATCTCCGAATCTACTCACTTGGCGCTCAACTCGCCCCAGTCCTTACGGTCCCGGTCTGCGTCGCCACTAAGCAGAAGGCCAGCGAGGACTACCTCGATAAGGTTGCGTAGCGTAGAGCGTACTTCCGATATCAATGAACGGTAGCACAGCAGTTGCCTGCTCAACGGACCCGAGTACCCAATGCTCTTATGCTGTAACTTGGCGATACATGCCACGCGGGACACGAGCATGTTGTAACTCTTGTCCTCATCTAAAGAAGTCAAGTCAGCCACTTTTCAGGCTCTTCCGAAGGGACTTGCTTACCAGATCCTCTCATGGGACCACCCGAGACATGAGAGAACCACTGCTTCGAATTCAGAAGGCCGAAGCGAATCATTTCGATGGCAAGGAAGGTGGATTCCTCGAGCGTGTCGACCGGGTCAAGCGCGGACAACGCCTGCTCGAGACATACTCCCCATGGCGTAAGTTGATGCTTCTCATCAATATAGCCGCGGAGTTGCAGGAAGCGCCAGTATACGTTGGCGAGAATTTCATCTTGCGTTGACAACAGCTGTTCGCGGTTAGTTTCCTGTTGCTCGTGAAATGGCCAGGCAGACACGTACTTGTGTTTCTCGTGCAGAGAGCGTCTTTGAACTAAATTCGGAGTTTTTCAAGGCCAGGACCGCAAACTTGAACCGTCCAGTAGATGTCTACACGTCATTTAGTAGGGTTCCGGTTGTCAACATGCAGGACAGGCACCTACCTGCAGCTTCTTCAAGCCTTCCGGGAGCTGTTCGGTGCGGATCTTCCAAGCCTGGATGGTTTCCTTGACGGAAGGAAGTGTTTTGAGGTTGATTGTGGAGTTGGATTTCTCGTCGTACCAGGTGCGCACATTGATATCCTTGGTCTGATAGAAACGATGGAGGGAATGCGACAACAAGCAGATCGCCTGAGTCCGAACCGGTGTGAGGGTGGTGCCGGCGACTTGGCGATAGATCTCTGTATCCTCAACACCCAGAGGCAGGGAAATGGAGACTTCACCAGACGTCAGGTAGTTGGGCACATCGGAGCCTAGAACGCCCTTGGACAGATAGAAGTAGAGCTCTTCCGGTAAACGTTGGCCAATCAACTCGTGCATATCTGAAGACACATTCTCCGGGTCCATAGGGCCTACTCGTCCGTCTACATCGATGTAGACGTGGTGCTTCACGGTCATCAGAGCCCTCTTATAGCGATCTGTATATTGAAGTTCCTGCATGCGACGGTCCTCCTCGAATTGGGCGCAAAGGGTGAGGGCACTGCGTCCGGCAATGTTGAACATAGGGACGGCATCACGGACGATGGCGCCCTTACCAGGGTTGAGGGGGTTCTCGAAGATAGGGAAGGTTTGTAGGAAGGTAGATCCCAGCACAAGGCAGAAATCGAGAAATTGTTCGTTCGATAATCCGCCCAGCTGCTCCTGGCAGGTCTGTTTCGTGATCCAGAAGAATTGCGCGGGGTCAATGTCGATTCGCGTGATTAACTTGTCAACATCAAAGAGGAAGGCTTCGGAGGATCCGCAGACCGCGTCAATCAGTGGGTTGGGGCCTTTGGTCAGGTAGGCGAGCTATGCGAGGTGACCGGTGGTGAGATTAAACACGTGGAACACATACAGATTGGTCCTTACCTGAGCTGCGGCGCTATAGGGAGCGACGATGTATTCGATGCCGTTCTGGTGCAGAATGCGCTGCAAGAACCGGTAGAGGGAATCCGGGCGGGGGGTGCCTTGGCCAGAAAGACGGGAGTCAGCGCATGTGATATCCAAAACCCAGTCAAGGTATGACTGCATACCGGCGCTGCTGAAGGCGTCCACTACTTGGTCAGCCTGTTGCTGATCGTAGAGGTCCCAGGCTTGCTCAAATGCCCGGACGGCTTCCTGCTGTACGTGGGGCCGTTGGTCCTTTTTGCCGAATTCGAGGCCATTGAACACGAAGACGCAGGCGACGCCCAGATCCTTAAAGACCTGCAGCTCCTTTTCGATGTTGTTTTTCAGTGCGAATGGGAATCCGCCCAGGGCGACCAAGAGGGGCTCGCGGGAAGAGGGGTGGAGGAGGTGCTGGGAGATGTAGTGCGACGCATCGATACCGATGACCGCCCCTTTGAGGGAGGCAAGAGGGAGAGACTGGGTACGGGTAGAAGCCCATTCATCCAACGGACGGACTGTTACAGACCATAGATTATTATTAGCTCATGATGGAGGGGAATGGGAGCTCGGAGTGAGCTCCAGGAGCAGCAGACTCACTCGGCATGGTGAAAGCGGGAGCTCTGTCACGGACTTAGACGCGGGAGCCGATATCAGGCATGGAGAGCTCCGGAGGAGCAGGGAGAGGGATGGGGAGATAAGAATAGGGTACCAGAGGCAGACCTATGCTTAAGAACCTGGACCCGAGGGGAGGAAAGAGAGAGCGGGTGAGGAGGAAGGGGGAAGAAGGTCACAAAGGGAGTCGGTAGCAGAAGAGATGATGCGACAGTCGGATGTTGAGGGCGGAGGTGTGTTTCGGGCGAGGAATCACGAGGGCGGTGTTGACTGCCGCCAACTGGTATCTGTCAACTATGGTAGGACAACAGCATCATTCAATTATGCCAGAAGATTGTTCTTGGAATCAGTTACGAGCCATATATTTTTGATGTTGTGTTCAAACTGGCATCGTGCACTTGTGCTGTTTGTTGTGCAGATTTGCGCCATGCTTTGGGAACCCACGACGGCATATAGTTGTGAACACAGCCGCCACTGTAAGAGACAAATGCACCTCTCAAAGCCAGGTTGTATATAAGCCTCGGCCATAGAGGTAATCCAGATTTACTCCTAGTTCGTAGTTGCAGCCTTTCCTCCAGAAATATTCAGAATGTGGGGGGCCCATGTCTGTCCCAAATCAATGTCACTTGTATAATGCTCTATCGCTCATGGTTCACTTGTTTGTTGCTCTATTTATATTTTATCGCAGGGGATACCAATCCCCCAAGAGAAAGTGGATAAGAGTCAACAAAGGCGCGGTCTTCGACCCACCGTTTAGACCCCAGCAGCACACAGTAACCCGAGCAATGGATCCCAGCGACTCACAGAGCGAGGGCGGGTCTGCCGGATCAGAAGGAGCCTCCGAGGGTCTGACTTACCCTTGTAGATACTAGATAGATAGTGAAGGTGGACGATACATGCCGGTGTTGGCGAGGGTGGAACGCAGTAGCCGAGAGAGCGGCGCCTGGCGGGGGTTTTGATTCGATCGGATGGGGATTTGGTGGGCATTCGACCAGTTGCATTGGAGATTATAGTCAGCAGGATGGGCTTGGTTGAAGGTAAGGAGAATTGAGGAGTGTGCTGCTGCTGGAGTGGGTGAAAGATGAAAGCACCATCAGAAGTTGTAGCACTGAAGGTTGTCAGCAGAAGAGCAAGTGGTGGGTAGCTATTGTATGTGCTATAGTTACTATACAGTATGCATCAACCTCTTATCGCAGCGATCCATACATGCATATCCCAACTGGTTGACTCATGCCTCATGTTTCGGAATGTTCACTCCACAGAATAATATCAATTAGCAATGGAAACACTGTAGCCCTCATGCGACAGCCGATTAGAACCCACTCTGGGAGGTGATTGCTGGAACCGAGCGCATTTCCCCATAGCTATCGAGCCGACCGCGGCATTGATAGATAGATAGCGAGAGCCCCACGACGACTACTTTAATCATTAGACCACCCAGCCCACTGCCCTTGGGTCCTCGCATCTTATCCCTCATCATTCCTCCAGTACTTACTGTCAACATGACCGACGCCACTCCTGTTGGGGCTCCTATCGATCTGCCCGTCCTCGACGTCTCCAACCCGCTGGACCCTGTGGCGGGAAAGGCGATGCTGGATGCAGCCACCAAGTATGGCTTTCTGTATGTCGACAGCAAGGGCACCGACTTTACCCCAGACGACGTGAAGCGAGCATTTGAGCTGGTACGAGTTTGGACCTTATATCCAAACAGCATACTCCGATGCTAACAATCCCCAGTCCCAAACCTTCTTCAAATCCCCCACCGAGGAAAAGGCCGCTTGTCGCATCGAGCCAAATGTCCGCTACATCAATCCGCCCCTCAAGCCAGAAAATAAGCCTCAAACCAACTGACACAACTATAGAACCGGGGCTGGTCCGGCATGCACGTGGAGACCCTGGACCCCGAACACCAGCGGGTGAGAACTATACATCAGGCATCCCGATAGTAGATCCACGCAACTAACAAGCCATATGTAAAACGGCAGACGGGCGACTTCAAAGAGTAAGCCCTTCCACAACTCCCTAAAAGAGCACCCCGAAGATAACAAAAACGTTCAGAGCCTTCAACTTCGGCGAGTTCATCAACCACAAAGCCCAGCAACCCCTACCACCGGCGCTGGCTCCGCACGAAACCGAGATCGCGCATTTCGCGGACCTGTGCCAGAAGACGTGTACGCGTGTGCTCACTCTTCTGGCGCTGGGGCTTGGAGTAAGTTTGCCTTTTGCCCTTTTGGCACCAGGGACTCATGGCCTATCCCACCCGACCCGCATCATCATGATACAGACACCCTTAGACAATGCCCCTCTATACACCCTCCATCAATAAACACCAAATAAAGATCCCCCACCCCACCCCGAAATTCTAATACTCAAATCTACCTCCAGATCCCACCCACCTTCTTCACAGAACGCCACGACCCCCAAACCGGTCCAACAGGGAGCATCCTCCGATACCTCTACTACCCATCCCTGAACTCGCCAGCAACAAGCGCCTACAACCACACGCAGGACGTGCGCGCCGGCGCACACTCCGACTACGGCAGCATCACGCTCCTCTTCCAGCGGCCGGGACAATCGGGGCTGGAGATCCTCACGCCGGAGGGGAGCTGGGCGCCGGTGCCTGTACAGCCTGTCATGCCCTCAGACTCCAAACAAGACGCAAACCTCAACAAGGACGAAACCCCCAACGAAAACGCAGGACAAGAAGAATTCATCTTCCCGCCCATCCTCATCAACATCGGTGACCTCCTCAGCTACTGGACGGATGGGCTTCTGAAGTCGACGGTTCACCGGGTGGTGTTTCCTCTTGCGGAGCAGCGGCAGCAGCAGCAGCAGCAGCAGGGCCAGAATGCACGGGACCGGTATAGTATTGTCTTCTTTTGTCATCCGATGGATCGGACGGAGTTGGTGCCTGTGCCAAGTGAGATTGTTCGGGAGTTTCGCGAGAGGAGGAAGGGAGCTGGAGCTGGGGCTGGGGGTAATAATGACGCTCTGAAGGTTGGGTTCGGGGGCGGGGCTGGCGGTTTGGAGCCGGGGAAGCGGGCGTTGACGGCGCATGAACATTTGATGGCGCGGTTGGAGGCGACGTATCGGTTTGATGAGAAGAAATGATGCCCCAAGTAAGTATGGTTTGGTTACCTGAGTTAGGGCTGGGAGGTATGATGTATCAGCCTACGCGAGCTTATCTTAACAGATCTATTTGTCAAGTAGGAAATCTACTGAACTTCAATGGTTCACTTCATTTATCCCTCTTGTCAAGGACCTCCAAACCCAGAACAGAATCAGAATTAAGAAACGAATTCATATCATAGAATAGACAGCAACCTATGGTCTTACGTCCAATTGCAACAAGACAGAACGTGGATGGTATGCACAGGAATTCCTCCAAGTCCCAAGAGGACCATCCACTCCAAAGGAAATACCATGGGATAACAACACTACCACTTGTTCGGGTAGGACCAACAAACAGAGCATATTCCAAGGCTGCACCGATGGTCACAACTCCAAAAGCCTTATACCAGGACCATCGATGAGAGGAATCAAGAATCCAGGGAGCGTCGACAACCAGACAAACGCTCCGGAGGGCAAAAAACAAGCAAACAGCAGACATGGATCACGATGCTAGATAGAATAAAATAAGGAGCTACTCACAAAGGAGAATCGTCTGGCATCAGGACAGTGATCGACCAGCTGCTGAGATATGAACCTAAGAGAAAACGAGAGGGAAAAAGAAAAACACACACACAATGAACAAGACTTCATGACCGCTAGAGGAATTTCATATGACTGAGATCCAGACCTTGTGCCTGGATTTAACGAAACATGTAAAAAAGGAAGAAACAGAGGTATCTTTGGACTGGAAGAGCAACGCCGCCGAGTTCAGGAAAGGTCGGGAATGCCATGCACGGGGGAAGACGTGAAACCCTGGGAAACGAACCGAAGAAAAGAGAAACGGGACCAGATGACAGATACGACGCTATGCAAGCCGGTATGCATTATATGTTATAGGCAGGTTCCATCCGTGCAGCTCAAGGATTGGAGTGGCACCAATGGCGATGGCTGATCCAAGCCGCCTTCTGACAGTCTTTGCTGCAGTACTTGGTGCGACGGCAGCGGCGACATTTGGCGAATTGGCGCTGGAATTCTTCCCACTTGCCACATTTCCAGTAGGCACACTGCCGGATGCCACCCTGGGCCTCATCCTTGCGGCAGAGGTTCCTCATGACAACGCAAGCCCAGTATTGCATGTCTTTCGTGTGGTGACGGATCGTGAAGTGCTCCACCAGAGGGAAGATGTTGATATCGTCCGACTGCAGATATTCCTCCTCTTCCTCGGCCGGCTCAACAGGCGACACTCCTTCCTCGAGTGCCTTCAATTCACGATCAACCTTGAGCTTTGGAACAAAGTGGGTATTTTGAAAATAGGTACGGAGACTGCAATACTTGGAGACATAGGCCAGGAGCTGAAGAGCCATCATGACGTCCTCATCGCGAGGCAACGTCGTGATGGTAGTCTGGCTAGTAAGCCGATCGCGGATGTACGACGAATACGGAGTCGGAACCACAACAGGAGAGTGGGCGTTTTCGGCAGCTTGAGTGGGTGACAGCGCTGAGGCACCATTCGTCTGTGCGTCGTCAACAGCCGACCGATGGGTAATGTTAAATGTGTCCGCTTCTTGGCCTTCAGACGAATCATTGACAGTCAAATCATGGGCATTCGAAACGTCCTCCAGAACGGATCGCCTGTCGCCAACATCATCTATCTCCATCTGGTTCTCCATGCCAACCACCGGGTCGGTGATCGGGCTACCCGCTTCATCGCCCATCGCAGAACTATTTCCAGAGCCGATTGTGGAGCCAACTGTAGAATCTTCGCCGTTAGCGATATCTGAATCGCCTGATCCCGATTGTTGTTGCAGCAGCGTAGGGCGGGTGCGTAGCCCGTTCGTATGGATGTGGTTTCGCAGCTGTGCGGGGCCACTGGGCGTAGTAGGTGAGTCAGGCTGAGAGATCAGCCCGTTCTGTAGACCTGGAAGCATGCTTGGGAGTCTCTCCGCGTCACGCACCGGACGCAGGCCGAACCCGTCGGCTGTATCCATAGCCGCCGTGGAAAGAGGCTGCATTACAAGGTGACGGTGCTCATGAGCATGGCGGGGATTGTCGACAATCGCCAAGCTCCGTCGCTCTGGCACGTAGCCCCGTCGCTCTGAAAGAGTGGCCGTTGGCGCACGAGGAGAAGATGCCATGTCCATGGCATTGGTATCTGTATTATTGGCTTGGTAGTGAGGAGGAATTTCGAGGTGAGGGGGAGGCGCCTGACGGCGAGAAGGACGGTGTTCAGTGTTCGTCGACTGATCAACGTAGAGTGGGCGTGTAGGAAGATTCGCCGTGGGCCCATGGATGGTCTTGGAGGGATTTCTCGACGAGTGCCGATGAGTCTCGCTTTCGGCCCGGGCGCGTGCCTTCTCGAAAACCTTGATATAATTGTCCAGTACGGTCGCAACCACCGGTACAATGTCCGCCTCGACCACTCTGGTCCGCACAGCTTCCGAGCCCCTCACACCGATGTTGACGACACATTGAAAAGCGAGGCTCCATTTCCAACAGTCCATCAAGTCCCTCGTCCGGCCATCCTTCAAAATGCCTACCAGGCGTTCGACACCGCCATCGATGGTGAGGATATCGCGAATGCGGGCGGATGACGTTGTAAGGTAGGCTAGATGGTTGAGTGAGTTTACAAGCGGTAGGGTAGATGTACAGTCGAGAGCACGCCGGTCGTAGAGTGTGGTTGTGATATTGACAGAGGCCTTGTTGACATTCGGGATGCTGAAATTGACCTCCCGCATGTTGGACGAAGGGGGGTTGGAGACAGATGTGACTAACGGTTGATCAAGACGGAAAATCGGAGAAATTGACTGGTATTCGGGCGATTTGACCGAAGGCTGAATGGTAGGATGCGGTGAATTGATTGATTATAGTGGTGAACCACGAGAACGAGATGAAGAGGCTCGAAGATGCGACGGGGGTTACGACGAAGTCATGGGAAACGCGGTGGACGATGTACAGCAGTGGCCAACGAAGACGCTCGTACGCCGGTCGATGGGAAAGGAGATGGAAGGGAGTCGGAAGATTGTAGAACGATGGCAAAGCGGCGTAAAAGGGGAGTTGGCGTTGAGAAGCCAAGACCGAAGACCGTCCTCAGAGTCTGGCGGCCACGATCTATCACGAACGAAGAACCCCGTCGGCGAGTACCCAGGCGATGTTTGTATGGACCGGGTGAAAGGAGAGACAACCTATGCCCAACAAGTCGAAAGGGTGGTGGTGGTGGTGAGGAGGTGTGGGTGGTATTTGCTGTGGGAGGGTTGAAGCGACACAGGGACGGGAGATGTTGAGAGGGATTTGTTGTTAATAGAGAGACACACACACATAGGGCGACGGGCGGAGAGAGGGGGGGAGGGTTCGAAATGGGAACAAGAATTGGGGGGTGGGTTTTTTCGAGGGTGAGAAGAGGGGAGGGAATTCCAAAAGGAGGAGACAAGAGGGAGCAGTGAGAACGAGAGCGACAGAGACAAGACAGCCAGACAGCCAGACAGACAGACAGAGAACGAGAAGAAGGACTCTCAGTCTGGCAAAGCGAAAGCGGAGAGTAAGTCAGGCGGTTCCGTCTCTTCAGGCTTTTTGGCCCGCCACCCTTTCTTTTCTTTGCCTCTCGACGGGTGCTGCTACCTAATCGGATTATCAAAAAGACGACTCAGATGATGACTCTTATTCTATCGGCTTCTTCTTATTCTTATTATTATTCAACACAATTAACCACATTCGTTGACTTTCCACTGAATCATGATTGACCAACAAAAAAACAAGAGTCATGGATCATCCCACAACTCCGGTATCTCTTGGGGCAAGGAACACACTCAATAATAATGTCTGTCTGTCTGTCTCTCTGTCTCTTTCATTTGCCACTGGCAGGCTCCGACAATAACAACACAGACCCTCTCAGAAAGAACCCCCCTCATCTCCCCTCACCATCCCTCAATAATTAGAGCATATTATACTGTACATAGTAGCAAAACATCACGATGATTTTCCCTCCCGTTTCTACCTCCTGAATAATCTCTTTATGATGGCCCGGTTGCCCTGCCCTGCCCTGCCCTTCCCTGCCGTCCCTTTCACCCTGATCACGCATCGGGAGTGGAATGCTGCAACGGCCCTCATTTCCCTGAACAAGCGGAGTCCGCCGTAGATCCAGGAGCAAAGATCACCGGGCGAACCCACCATCGGACTTGACTACTACTTCAGACAAGAGGTTCTGGCAAGGCGCAATAGTCAATAGATAGTGGTTTGATCATTGATTCCAAGGTATTTTGTGTTTGTAGCAGTAACACGGTACTCAGGGCCACTTTTGAAAGTCCTCCCTCCTTTCCCCTAATGCCAAGTCACTCAAGGGCATTTCAATGCCCACTGCATAAGAATAGAAAAGGGGGACAGGACAGGGGACAGACAATAAAGGCTTGAGGCTCTCGATAACTATGGGGACCCGGAGATCACTGGTCTACTTACTGTATCTATGGGTATCTATGGATCTCCGATCATAGGTATGTGACCCTCCGGTTTCCAAGTTCAATATCATGATCCGTTGCTTTTTCGACTACATCCATATAACATCTCTCGTTTCCTCTCCCTAGAACCGTCCAATTCTATATTTCGCGTACAATGCGGCCAGCTCTTCCTACTCGACACTGTCCCCAACTCCCATACAGTTCGAAATGAAAGACCATGAACAGTGGTAAACACTCGCGTGCTGTGCATAGTAATCTCCCACATGCACGATATTATTAGATCTGCATCTTGAGCCGACCTCCTCTCCTCCCTCAACCCAATTTCTCACCTACATAATCCAACGCCGACGAACTATTCGAAGACAAACACGACAGAAAGACCGTGTTCCTCCGAGATTCTGTCTCTCCTTCTAGCAGACTTAGTATCTCAATACCCGCCCGTCAAACAATCACTACCATGAAGATCATCGGTCCAGCATCTAGAATTACAACCCGCAACCATCCATCCGACCCAACAACCTACCCTATCATAACCCAATCATGAGATTGTACAGTACAAGGGTGACCCCAGGCTAGTAGGAGGAGCAAACTCCAAGTTAACTCTTACCCCTCACTCAGCAGCCACCTACTTAGCCAGTCAGTCTAGTCAAGTCAGCCCGCACGGACTTCCCACTGATATGTATACCTGGTCAAAAGTAATCACGGAGTTCTATGATTAGAAACATTCATCCCTCCTCTTCCCTGCCATCCCGTTGGGCGCGAACCGCTGCCGATAGTCCGTCCGATCACCAGCCTTTAACGGAAACAAACACCCTGGTCTGGTTTTAACCGCCATGGAGAGCGGCCCCCAAGCCCCCGTCGAGGACGAATCATGGGATGGAGAGTCGTTTAGATAGAGGCGGGAGGATTGTCAGATGCACTCTCATGCATTACGCGCTCCGTTAAGTTTAATTGATCCCATGTCCGGTCTATCGTGCTTCACCCCGGACTTTATGTGGCTACGGTAGGGCTTTCGTTTCATGTTCATCGGTGGACTACCGTAGGGGCCTGGGTTCGTCACCTCGAGACGGCCGCATCGGCTATATATAGCACAGATTAAGCGCGGAGGCGTTTCTGGAAGGATGTCTTGACTATAGAATGTTTCAGGCGAGGGTCTTGAACATACCTTGACATCCTCAATGAGTAGATTGGCTGGTGGTGTGACTTGGGCGAAGAATAGACCTAAAGTCGCGAGACCTGGAATCGTCGAGAACGTGAGGCGCAGACGGGGAGATTGCACTGACACTGACGTATACAGCCCGCCCGGGAGGAGCGACACATAGGAATCTAGGTACCTGACACACACGAAACCTGGAACCGGGCATGAGCGATGAAGGAAAGCTATGACACCAGATCACGGCTGCTGCTAATCTTTGGTGCCATCTGTTCTGCACATAACCCGTAGGCTACAGCTCGGACACTACCAAATGTCGATCTGACAAGCACAGAGCTGCAAATGCGCCTATTGTAGCCAATATTGAGTTGCCAATCTCGGCAGGGCTTGAATCCTTCCACCACCGATAATGCCAGGTCTAGGCAATGACAATGGGGAATGGGGAATGGTGGCTCGACAGCCGAAGGTCTGATAAAATGATGCACACTACATGACATCGTCTCCAGCCAAGCGTGCCTGACACTGAAGGCTTCTGAGGCTGACGTGCATGGATCAGGTCCAATTGATCCCCGGCTATCCGAGCAGACAAAAGCTCTACCCAGCCAATGGGAAGAGGTACATTTGTTGGCTCACTGCAAATGCGTCGTGATGGAAAAGGAAACAGGTCCAGGCTGGAGGCTGAAGGCTGATGACTCGGTGGCTACTGTGGTTGCCGCGTTCTACTCCTGTCCAAGCAGGTATGTATATCCGATAACTCCGCGCCACACCTGTCGACCTATTCCGAAGGGGCTGTCAAATACGGGGATACATCCGGTGAGATCAGCAGGACACAGTAAATAATCGCCATCATGGAAAGCCGACGACCATGAATCGATAAGCAGAATCCAACTGCCTCGCGAGTCACCTAACGTAGGGGCGACCCTATTATTAAGCGTGATTAATGAAGACTTTTCGCAGAGAGACAGAGAGGGGCACACCGAACGGCTAGTCAGGCACGGTTTCAAGCGATCATCCCAACAGTGGAGCCGCCTTCTCCAGATAGACGATAGAACACAACGAAAAACAGCTCCAGTTTGTCAGTTACGCTCTTACCTGGCCCGCATCTCGAATTCGATGGCCGAGAAAGGTGGTGGCTAATTTCCCTTCGGCCTGGCGACCCGCCGCAACGCACATTGACCACCTATGTCGCGGAGCTCGCGAGTCTGGCTGCATCGTGTCTGCCTTCTACGAATATGAGTGCTACTGTTCATACATAAATAGATGAGCAGGCAACACGATAGCCCAGTAACGGCGATATGTGTATGGAGTGAATCAAGCCCGGAAGAATCTTACCGGCAAAAGAGAAGGAAGCCAAGCGGACTTAGCATCACTCTGCAAAGAGGACTCAGATTCTGGCAATTTGACGTGTGTGGATACTACCATCACGGAGGCTTTAGATTAAACAACCAGTAGCCTTGCTCGACGCGACGACAAGAGTTGGCCCGTAATTTAGCCACGGTCCATAGTAGCTGCTCAGCAAGGTTCGGAACTTCCATCGAATGGCAATGCTCCCTAGTAAGATATATTTGTAGAAAGGCAAGGATCTAAGCAAAAGGACAGATAGAGAGATATCTTTCCTTCTAGGAAGAATAAGTGGGAGACATGACAACTCTGAAGACTGTGTCGGTCTATCCGCAAGCGTTCGGATTCACGGGACAGGCGGGATGGAGCACTTCCTGCACGGAAGGCACCAACAATTGACTATGGGCCATCCCATCCCCTCCCCACCCAGTCCTCGGGGTCAGGGACCCAGCCTCGACGGAAAATGATGGATGAAGATCTTCAAATGACGGAAATGATTAATGTTAAGTCTGGGGAACCCGTGCATTTGACAATCAATTCGGATCATCCCTTCCAGTTTCTGACCCGGGTGTCTTCCACGCACTCAATTAATTTTCAGGTCCCAAAGAACAATCAACGGTCATCATCGGAGGTTCGGGATAGTCAGAGACTGGAAAAAGTTTGGAACAGCCTGGAGATAATATAGAGATGAAAAAGTCTAATTGCAGGAGCCTAACCTAGTCTGTCTTAGAGACAGGTTCCTAATGCCCATTTCACTCTGTCTAATTAGATACTCGCTCGGTATGATCGATACCTACCTGTAATGTCCGAAGCCCCTGGATGTGAGATTGGGTCAAGAATCTCGGCATCAGGTGATACTCCCAAACGTGGTCATGCTCGATTGGAGATGCTTATATCCAAGAGACAACTCTGAGATATACTTTGTCAAAGCACGAAGGGGATCGGCAGTCCCGAGGCTCATCAAATTTTGGGAGGGGAGGGGAGGGGAGGGGTGCTCTGTGCAATTCCGGGAGACTCCTCGGGGCAGGAACCCTGACTCGTGCGAGGCATGGATCTGCCTCGACTCGTACGGTTAATGATATCGGCAATGAGGGCGAATACTTGCGCACGTCGACCTCCCATCAGGAATTTCAAGGCAGACAGGTACTCGGTGCGTGTACCGGGACAGACGGCGCAGAATACGATAGAGGTTTTTAGTCTAGGGTATGGCGAGAGCCCAGGGCTGTCTTACCATCATCTTCTGCGAAAGTTCCATTCTATTGACGAACTACTGGGAAAGGATTAAACATGATGCGTTGACTGCTCAGATCCACCATTCGGAGAATCAATCCCTGTCAACAATGCTTTCTTCTCGAAGGGGACTTTTTACTCCCTCTCACACTTTGTCTCTTTCACCGTCTTCCATTTCTTCTAGCTTCTTGTCTTTCCATCACTGGCCTCCGCGTCTGCTTGCTTTCGCGTCCTTCGGTTCCTCCACTTTGGCGAGCAATCGAAGCTAGTGACCAACCAAAGAAGACTCAGCAGGCTCTACTCCACCGGTCTGACCAGGGTGTATCTCCTTAGTGTTCAATGAACCTCTATGGAACCTGGTACCTTGCCCTTAGCGGAGGAGTTACCGTCCTGGGTACTTTAGAACGGAGGACTAGACTGGGTCGAGGGAGTACTCTCCCCTGAAAGCCTGGAATTAGTTAGTTATCATTAGTTACCTCGGTGGTAAGCGATGGTATCATACACATCTTCCCCCGTCCAGCTGATGACCTAATTGACTCGTAAACAACGTCTTAGGAGGTTTCTTGTCCAATGAGCCTGGTTCCTGTCGTCCAGAGTGTAAGACAAGGTGTCGAGTTATGTATGGTTATGTATGGTCAGAACCAGTATTTAGTTACGGTACACATACCATAGGTACTGTAGTCCCGGTCGGAAAGTTGGAACGATCCCACCACCAGAGGCTCTACAGTACGTAGTGAGTTTGCCTAGTAAAAGGACCATCCATTGTCGCCGAGCTTCCCCTAACCGGCTGGCTCTTTATTATGCATCTTGAGAAAGACGGACACAGTCCCCATTGTTCTCTCACTTATCTCCCCCGGTTGAAGGATCATCTTTTACCCAATATGTATAGACTCTACACATGTATACATTCATCCATCCATCCTTCCATATATGCATACATGTAGTCGATGTCGCATTGATAGACAACGGAAGACAGTACCTCAGTAGTAGTAATTATCTGACCAGGGCCACCCCAACCCCAATAGTTCCCTTGCTATACATTGTTATTATTGGTGCTCTTTCTTACCACGGGCTGCTATTGATGACAGTCAAGACAGGACAGACTTGCTACGGTCTCCGACTAAGTTCAACTTACTTGACTACTGAGTACTACTGTCCGTCATCCGCTGTGCTTGGGGTGATTTTCTGCATCCTTCGCCGTCTTTGCCTTTCCCTCTCTCTCTCTTTCTCTCTCACTCACTCTCTCTCACTCTCTCTGATTCCCCTTTTCTCTCATCATTACCAACGCGGAATCTTCTGATCATCCACCCCCCTCCCCTCCAAGTCTACCTTTCTTCTTTCCTTGGTCCTTGATCTCCCTCCGGACTATTTTCTCTTCAGCCAATTTTCCCAATTCTGCTGACTTAAACGCCCGAACCACCTCACCATTGCCCCGGGTCGAAACTTTCTTTCGCTCGGTCGCTTCCGCCGTGTGCTCGCTCCACACCCAATCAACCCCCCTCCTCGTTCTCTCCCTCTCTTCCACTCCTCCTGCTCCTGCTCCTCCTCCTTCTGCCCTTTGCCAACCTTACTTGCTGCCACGACTACCTCGCCATTCTATCACCTAAACTACCTCTCACACTCTCCCCTACCGCCCTTTGTCGTCAGCGCCTCTTGCCCCCTCCCTTCCCCTCCCTCCCCCCTCCCTCCTATCTCCACCGTCTTACAGTCCCCTGGATTCTCGACGCCGCCTTGGTCGACTCAATTCCAACTTCTCACGCCCGACTCGTTATTCAATTGACTCTTACCCTCTCCAGGGGCTTATTTGCTCAAGATGGCAGCCGATATGAGCGGCGAACAGATGCAGGCCAAGATCACTGCCGCCCGGCGCGAAGCTGAAGGTCTCAAGGACAAGATCAAGCGCAGAAAGGATGAGCTGGCGGATACCACCCGTACGCATTCCTCTCCCTCACAGACGCCTCTGTCCCTGATCGGGTGAACCGACTTGACCCTTGCGATGGGCTCAGCTAGCATCACGCCATTCCTCCCAATATGCTAACCTCGGTGGAACAGTACGTCAAGTAGCGCAAAATCAGACTGAGACGCTACCTCGTATCGGAATGAAGCCCCGTCGCACACTCAAGGGCCATCTCGCCAAGATCTACGCTATGCACTGGTCGACCGATCGCCGCCATCTCGTTTCCGCCTCCCAGGACGGAAAGCTCATCATCTGGGATGCCTACACCACAAACAAGGTCCATGCGATTCCCCTGCGGTCATCATGGGTGATGACTTGCGCCTACGCCCCTAGCGGAAACTACGTTGCTTGCGGTGGTTTGGATAATATCTGCTCCATCTACAACCTTTCATCCCGTGAAGGCCCGACCCGAGTCGCGCGCGAGCTCTCGGGACACTCCGGCTATCTCTCTTGCTGTCGCTTCATCAACGATCGCCGGATCATCACCTCCTCGGGTGATATGACTTGTATGCTATGGGATATCGAGTCGGGTTCTAAAGTGACCGAGTTCGCCGACCACTTGGGCGATGTCATGTCGATCAGCATCAACCCCACCAACCAGAACATCTTCGTCTCCGGTGCGTGCGACGCCTTCGCCAAGCTCTGGGATATCCGGACCGGAAAGGCCGTTCAGACCTTTGCTGGACACGAGTCCGATATCAACGCCATCCAATTCTTCCCCGATGGAAACGCCTTCGGAACCGGTTCCGACGACACCTCTTGCCGTCTCTTCGATATCCGCGCGGATCGGGAGCTCAACACTTACCAGGTATTTTCTTCCTGCATTCCCGCAGCGGCCGAAACGGACACTAATGGAATGTTCAGAGCGATCAAATATTGTGCGGTATCACATCTGTTGCGTTCTCCGTTTCTGGAAGATTGCTCTTCGCAGGTTACGATGACTTCGAGTGCAAGGTACGTCTTTTGCCGGGAATAATTATGCGTACGGACGGCGACTAAGCACTTACTAGGTTTGGGATGTTCTTCGCGGCGACAAGGTGGGATCTCTAAGCGGTCACGAAAACCGTGTAAGCTGTTTGGGAGTCAGCAACGACGGCATCAGCTTGTGCACTGGATCTTGGGATTCCTTGGTAAGTTGCTTTGGCTTTACCCCGATGGTAAGATTTTGGTCACTAAGACACTTCGTCCTGCAGCTCAAGGTGTGGGCCTGGTAAACCGAGAAAACGAACCAAAAAAAAAAAAAAAAAACCAGCAAAGATACCCTGTCTCGAGTCCTCATTCGAAGTTTCCTTAATCATTTCCTGCGCCACTAGGATCCATGTCCGCCACTGTACGATAATACTTTATTCACTGAGGAGCAGTTTTTGTTGCCGCGCCTGCCTAATGTACTAGTCGGAATGCAGGCACAGTTACAGCAAACGAAAACCAGAGGGTAGTCTTGGTGGCAGACATCCCGAAAATGGATGGCGTCACCTGTTGAGTACTGCCAGTGTGTGAAAAGAAAGGCGAGGAGCAGACAAGACACACACATCACGACAAAAAACAACCATACTCAGATTCGGGCGCGGTGAACTGTAATAATGCTGTTGATAATTGGGATTCTGGGGGCTGTTGCGCAGATATCGGTGCGTTGATGGGTTACCAATGGCCCATCCTCAAGATTTGATTTGCAGGCATTCTGTTTCTCTTTCTTTACTCTTTCGTCTTATTCCCCCTTTCTCCAACCACCCTTGTGACGTTTCATCTGATTTTCTTTTTCCAATTTTCTCGATGTCCCAAATTCTCCTGGTGCTTTAACCCCAGCATCCTGCTTTTTCTCCTGTGCGTCTAGGCCTCCTTTTGTTTGACGCATTGATCTCCTTGTGTACTTTGCCTTGGTTGATGGATGGAAAAGGAGGGGATCTTTTTTTTTTTTCTCCCGGATAGGCCATGACGGTTTTGATTGATTGCGAATTATCCGTGTGTTTTTTCTCTTATACTAATCAACTTACATATCTTCCGAAAGTTTGAATGTTTTCCAGCGGGTCCTTTGGTTGCGTTGCGAGAGGATGAAATGGAAACAATTTCAACCGCCAATCCTGTGCTTGTTTGAGATGTCTGCCTAGATCGAAATGTGTTTCGATTTTGTTTTTCTTTATGGCACGGTTTGATGCCCGCTCCCGTCCCAGTTTGTTTCGAGGTAGGGCCTGACCGAGTTTGGTAGACACCCACACTACTGTAGTACAAATGAGAACCGATGGCCATCTTTACTGGGGATGTTGAGTATCAGATTGCCTGGATGTTCGAGAGTGACGGAATGATGAGACCGAAACGAGGTAAGCAGGGACCAGCATGATGACAATGATGGTGTCAACGGACGTAGTGCCTGTGCCCTGTGCCCTGTGCCCTTCGTCGTTAACAGGATACACGTACAAAATGAACCGCCATCAAGTTTATCTCTTCGTCTACCTTGCTCCACAGCATCCGTCCCTGTGATATCATGCCAGTTCGCCCAGAGAAGACGTTTCCCGAGTCAGTGGACCAAGAATAAGGATCTAAGTAGTCCGCCGGGCAAACAATAGCAGTTAGACAATCAAGTGGCTGTAGCAAGTAACTAAGTTTCGTGTTCGAGACTCGGAGCCCCAATGTACTGTAGTTAGTACTTGAAAATGCTCGGAAACTTCGGCTCTTCCCCGCTGGTCTAGCCAACTTGTGATTTCTCCAACTAACGACAGACATTCTACGGAGTACCTTATCTAGATAGACTAAGGAAAAAAGAAACGCAGTCATTGGACCTCGCAAACTGAGCCTCAGGGTTGAGAAGGGGGGAGCGGAGCCACCGCCAGCCATGGATCGGGTGAGTAGAATCTGGAACGATTTACGGAGTACGGGGGATGGGAACCGAACTTTACTTTTGAGTATGATGAACTGTTTTCTTGGGAGGGGGTTGGTCCTTGCCCTTCCTTGCCCCAGGTGGTTGTTAACTTGTTTACTACATTGGGGCATTGTGTTGTGTTGTGTTTAGGTTGTTAGGGTGCAGTGTTCCTGTCCTTATTTTTTGAGGGAGGGGCTGTGCTGTGCTGCAGTGGAAGTAAAGCCCATGCAACTGCAACTGCGGCTTGCTGTACTGTCCTTCAACTCTAACTTGACCTGTCAGATTCTTAAGCCGGGTAGTGATTTGTTTGCCTATCTGGGAATGTGCCGATGTCTTTACTGCTCGTCAAGAGCTGGGGATACGAGTGCTGCTACATGCGCACATCATCTGAGTTCAATGTTCATCCATCGTCTGCAACTCCCATTCGTGTTGGGATCGACGGGCCGGTCAATGTGAAACGGCCGATGATGTAGTTTGGTGGAGCAGTGTCATACGTGAGAGAGAGGGCGCCTCAGGGCTGAATGCATTGGGATTGACCAAGGGAAGAACATACGATCGTTGGAGAGAACGATCCCCGTAACACGTGGTTGGTGGTTCTACCTCAGGAGTCGGTCGGTCTCTCTTCCAAACAGACCCTGAAGCTTGGTCTGTTTTGTTTCGAGTTGAGGGTTTGGAAGAGGGGAACTTGGTGAGGTTGAAGTACGACAGACAGCATCGCAAGTAAATAAAGAAAAGACGAGGGGGCCGGGAAGGGAAGACGATCCTTACCGCGTGCATGGAAGCCATGGAAGGCCGCATGGAAAGTTCTTCGAATTCTGAAACCGGACTTGCCCCTAACCGTGTTTCATCCTGGCTGCTTTTTTTTCTTCTTCTTCTCCTTCCTTCTTCTCTTCCTTCCCGCCACTTCCCACTCAACCAAACCCACCCCCCCCCTCCTTTCTTTGCCAGGAGAGAAAACCATAATATCGTCATCTTCTTCCTCCCCCCAAAGTCAAACCTCCTGAAACGCACACCAATACCCTATGGGACGTGATCTTTGACCATCTGCGTGTTGGTTACGAATTAGCTTAACTCGTCTCTCGGCCCTCTTCCGCTTTCCATTCGCTCAGACCACACCTATTCCCCCTTCTGCGACACGAACCAAAGTCAGAAAGGATACAATTTAAAAATAAAATAAAATAAAAAAACAAAGAAAAAGAAAGCGGGAATCCGATCTAGCCAGCCAACCCGTCCCGGACGACGACGCAGATCAAGGCACAGCCCAAATCTTCCCCCCTCCCCCATTCATTCTAAGAATATCATCGTCTCCCTCTTGCTACGACCGTTGCTTTAAAACCCCCCAGAATACCCCTCCCGACCTACTTGGTCCCTTCCCTTTCAAGATGTCATCTGCCGCCCAAGACGAATTTTACCAACTCCTTCAGAACAATCGAGACCGGTTCTCGACTCACCCTGAAGACCGTGATCACCCCTCCGATCGAGACTCCGACTCCTCCGACGACCACGATCACGACCACGACCGCCCTCATTTCTCCGACGCAGACGACGACGACGACGACGAAGATCACCGACCTTCTGCCATGCACTCCCGCTCCACCAGTTCTTACAAGATCCCCAACACCACATATGACGCCAACACCGGGCCCAAGGGTGTCATCGCCGACGCCCAGGCGTTCGAGCGCGCTCGCAAGTCCTCCTTCCGTCGGACCCTGCTGAGCGTCGCCGGCATTGACCGTCCCCATTACTCGATGAAGTCCGTCACGGACGATGCCACCCTCCTCAACAATTCCTCCCCTCCCGATGGGTCGTCGGCCAGCGACGACGAGGAGCGGTTTATGCGCCAGTGGCGGACGTCTCGCATGCAGGAAATGCAGGCCCGCACGCTGCGCAAGCCCAGCCCCCGACGCCGGCTATTTGGATCGGTCGACAACGTGGATGCCGTGGGGTATCTGGATGCCATTGAAAAGGTCACTTCTGGTACGGTGGTGGTTGTGTGTGTATATGACCCGGAGGTATGTTGCGCAGACTGCTCTGTATGGAGGAAGAATGCCCCCACTAACATAACACTTGAAGTCTACGACCAGTGCCCTCGTTGAAGACTGCTTGAACACCATTGCTCGACGACAGCCCGCCGTGCACTTCGTCAAGCTGCACCATGAAATCGCAGAGATGGATCACATCGAAGCCCCGGCGCTGCTGGCTTACCGAGACGGGGACGTCTTCACCACCATCGTCGAGATCATGCGCCAGATCCCCAAGGGACGGAGTCTCAGTGCCGACAGTCTCGAAGACCTGCTCAAGATGTATGTGCCAGCCTGCCTTCTATAAGAGTACAATACTAATCATGATTGTGGTATAGGCACCGCATCCTCTAATCAAAACGCCCCTTCATTCCATCATCATCATTGATCCACGCTCATGCCACGTTCTACATGCCCGTTTCTCCATTCGTGATCCGCTTCTTATTCCGATCACCATTCATCCAATGTAATGCACAAGCGGGCGTATGTTTTCTTTTCTTTGCACACAAGTTCGGGTTGCATATAGAGTTCTTTTTTGCGTCACGGTGTTCCAGGTTTGTCATGTCTGTCGATCGATCCTGAGCTTGAGATATCCTCCATGGTTTTCTTGTCACGATATGTTGAGTTCTAGGTTTCTGTCTTTTCTTGCAGGTTGTCGCTGATATGTAGTCGGCTTAACGGGGATCTCGTCCTCAGTGTACTATATCAAATCTAATCTTCGCTGACTGTCTCCCTCCCTTCCCCCACAATACATATACTAGAGTAAATAGTCCCGGGGGAGAACCCCCGGACCCCCCTTTTCTTTCAGCTCCCCAGCCTATCTCAATCCAAAATTATAGATAAGAGCGTATCCGGGGGAGAACCCCCGGACCCCCCTTCCTTTCAGCTTCCTGGCCACCTCAATCCAAAACCAGAGATAGATATAAGAGTATCCGGGGGAGAACCCGGATCCCCTTTCTTTTCAGCCCCCTGGTATACAAACAACCCCCTCACAGCAGAAACACATAAGATAAATAGATAATCATCAGCCAAATCGCGCAGCCCCAACCCACAAAGAGAAAAGAAAAAAAAAAAAAAGAGTGTCCTCGCCTCGACAGGGAATATTCCTACCCGTGCACCGCGTCAGCACACAAGCACTTTACCCCTCAGCGATTCGAACGCAGGACCAAGCGGTGTCCCCGACCGGGCCCGTACCCACTAGGCTACTTGGTCCTGCTCTGCCGAATTAACAGCGTTAACGTATTATAGACTGATGGAGACTAGCTGTTTTGGGAGCTTGCACCGAGAATTCGCCGGGGAGTTAACTTTGGTTTTGATTGGTTTGGTTGATCGATTGATCGAGATCTCATCTCGCTGGACTAGGTTTCAAACGATTATGCTTATTCGATAGGGCAATTGGCTACATATCCTTTCGACCCTTTTCTGCATCACTGATCATACTTAGATTTTAGTTTTTCGGGAATGGGGAACCTGGGTATTCTTCCCCTTCCTATCCTTCGATCCCACGATATTACCGAGGGCTAGGTAGCGGGTTTAAATCACTGTGTACTAGTATGTGTGTATGTATGTATGTAGGTTCCTGGCGTACCTTGATTCAGGGGATAGGGACAGTGTACCGCAGGGGATTCTATCTCTCACTATGGATAGACTTGATTCTTATGATTCTCGAGGGGACAGTGGGAAGGAGGTGTGGTATACCCGTCTATATCTTTCTAACAGCGGTAGGATGTTTGGAAGAAGGTGGGATCATAAGTCGGCTGTATAGGATGCAATAAGCATTGCAAGGATGTAGGGTGACATAATTACAGGCCAGTTGAACCAGGAGGAAAAGTCACAGACCGGTGTTCCTCTGCAAACGTGTATTTTTACCATCAGAAGTAAACTTCAATGCGACGACTAATCCACAAGAAAGCAAGAGAATAAATGCACACACATGTATGTGCGTGTGTCCGTGTGCGCATTCGCCCAAAGACAGGCAAAGAAGAAAAGAAAATGGTATGATTAAGTTTTGTTTTATAGAAGGGAGAAGAAGTAGGAAGTAGGATAACCTGAACTGGAAAAAGAAAAACCGAAACACAATCACAAAGCGCCTTTTTCCTGCGTGAAATCCCAAAGCATCTTGATTAGGTTGTCGGGTAGGGTATAGAGGTCGACGTGGAATTCGCCCTCTAAATCGTTCAAGACATAATGATTAGTTATCGATTCGGCGAGGCCCCAATCAGAAGGAGAACTCACGCTCAACATCATTCTTAGTATATGAGTCCGGGGCCTTGTTGTCATGGACCATCTGCACCACTTGGAGAAGATCGTCTTCGCCAAGACGCTGCAGTCCATCTGCCAGCTTGTCCATGTCGACCTAAACCGCCATCAGCGCGAAAGCCCGATCATGGAGATAACCAAGAAAAAAAAAAAAAAACTTACATTCTTCTCCGTCTTCTTCTTCTTCTTCGACCCCTCCTCCCCACCCGCGGCGCGTTTTGACTTGACGCCGTTCTCGTCGCCAGGAACGGGGCCGGATTCACGCAGTGCCGCTAGAAGGGCCGGCTTGGGATTCTTGAAGGTCTGTTGGGGGGCGCCACCGGGTCAGTCATCCAGAGCTCCCTCGCGAAACCAGGGTGTCTCACAATAACATGCTTGGATTCATAGCGCGGCTGCGCGAAGTTGAGGTCGTGAGTGACGGAATGCTCCTTGTCGGCGGCAGTGAGACCGATCTGCATATCGAATTCACCCCATCCTTCCTCGGAGATTCTGAACGGGGGATTCTTGAAAGCTATAGTTCATCCAAAACAAACCATGTGTCAGCCATATTGCTCAAGCTCTACGAACTAGCCATGCAAAACCAGGGGGGTTCCTTCTGCCCCCAAGCTCCCATGTTCCATCTGTCCTGGAGGGGCTAAAAATAGAGGACCGACCCCCAATAACCCAACACACCCATTGAACGTAGAGCGGGAGGGCCAAGAGTCGCGATACATAAAAAGCCAGCGAACACAGAACAAGAGAAGAAAAAGTAAGACGTACTCTGGACAGCCCGCGGGCCGAAACTCGGGTGCAGCGTGTACGTCACCTTGTCGAAGACGTTGGCGGGAACCTGTTCGCCATGCTCGTTGACGAGGTAAATCTCAATGGACCATGATCGCAGGGGGAACCCTTCGACGCCGGAGTCTTTGTTTCTGTTGGGGCGCGCGGGCGCGAAAATCAAGTGTTAGCCCTCTCAAAGCTCTTTCGCGGGCGGCTCAGCACACCGTCTCTGCGCTACAAAGCAAGAGAAAAAGCGCGAGCGTTTTATTGCTCCAGTGAATGGTTGCGCATATGGAGCTTGCTATAGAATGTCAAGGGTGGCTTGCGATGTGACGGGGAGCTGAGGTGGAAGGGTTGGGTGAATGGTCGTGATGACTCCGAAGCTAAGCTAATGGGCCAAAGGTAGAGAGGTCGTGGCGGGGTGTATAGACGTACAGGATGTGCTGCTCCGTCACCAGACGGACGTTTCTCTTAACCTGTTGGAGAGGAAGCGCGTCAGTGTGGTGCAATTAATGCTTGGACCGCGTGAGCGGCCGTGAGGGACGAGTCCGAGCGATGCAAGACAGAGCGCTGGCTGAGGGGCGGCAGACTCACGTCGGGCATTGTTGCGATGGGCTTCCGTGAAATGCCCGGGGGAATAGCAAAGTAAAGATGATATTACAGAGCTTAGCTGGAATCCCTTCTTCTTGAGGGGGTTGTGGTGGTCGAATCTGTTGTTTTGGGTGGACGAAGTAGACGGCGAACAATCGGGCTCAGTAGGCGCGCGACGACGAATCAAGGTGGAGTTGAGGTCGGGTGTTTTGCCGGGATTGTATCTGGAATCTGTACTCCTGCGATCACTGTCGGTTCAACTGAGGCTGGATTATTCCAATATCCACGGGGGTTGAGGGTTCAACAAGACCAAGTGTTACAGAGAGGGAGTTGAGAGGGAAGCTTTCGGCGCGGGTTGGAGGCCGGGTGGGGGAATTGCATGGAATGATTGCTTGATTATTCTCGACGCGTTGACAGTTGACAGTTAGAGTGACTTGTCCGCAATTCTCCAGCATTAACTTGAACAACTACAAACCACACCCACATTCACTTCCCCTCAAACTCAGGTCTCTTTCTTCGTAGTTGTGAATTACCGGTGTGTCTCACCTTTATTTTCCAAGCTCGCCATTCACCGCCTTCTACTACGCCAGACACTCAACCACACCTCACTTTGAGGATGACATTGAAACAATCATAGTCTACCCGGCACGGACACATCTCCTTCAACACTTCATTCGTGTAGTATTGGGGGGGAAGGGTGTCTATCTACTGCCGACTCGCCAGAGGACATACACTCGACCTCATGGCTAAACTAGGTCTATGTCGGATCTGTATATGCATCGACTCCGGGTCTCGGCGAAGCCAGCCTCATCATTCTGTCTCCTCACTCAAGGGAGAATACAAATGGTGTCAAGAGGAGAAGGTACGAGGGAAATGTATAGTGACCAAGGAACTTGGTGGGAAGCGAAACACAGCCGTGCGGGGGATCAGAGTAATGACAAAGAGAAAAAAAAACCCCACATCGAATTCGTAGAGCATAAGAGAGTTTCGAAAAGTGCATTAAAAATAGCCCTCTATATCATTTGTCGATGGGAGGAGAAAAGGTCGAAGCTGCCGACTCTGCATTTACTGCTGGTTGAGGAGCTTCTCGTTCTCCTTCTGGGCCTTCTCGAAAGCTTCCTTGAACAGGTTGGCGTCTGCACGATGCATTAGTACACCACATCCTGAAGTCTTAAACATTCAATCAGACGTAGAAGAAAACTTACTGTCGCTGTTGGCAAAGCGGATAGCCAGAGTGCAAGCCTCAGGCTCACCCTCACTGACATCGGCAGCAGCGTTCCAGACCCAGCTGCGGTCACTGCCAACGTTGGCGCTGAGCGTCATGTCGGGGACAACTAGAACAAGCGTCAGTCACCGAACGTGTATAGACGAGGATATCCCTCGCCATGGCATCGAAGTAACTCACTGTAGTGGTTAGCGCAGACCTTGAGGGTCTTATCTCTGCGCATCACGAGACGGGTCTTCTGGTTCTCCTTGTGCTTGAGCAGTCTCACGTCACCAGTACCACGCTCCTTCCACTCCTTGCTCTCACGGTCGAAACGGAACAGCTTAGCACGCATCTTGAACACCTGCTCCTCCAGCTCCTCGTTGGTCTTGGTCTCGACCTTCTCCGTCAGGCGGATGACGGGCTCGAAGTGGACATCGGGGGACTCGGGGGCTTCGTCCTGTTGACGGCAGATGAAGAGTCAGTCATAGCTTCTTCTCAGCGGTCTGTTTTCCTGTTGATGCAAGTCTTCGCCGCAGGTCCACTACCCCCCCAAAACCCATGAACACAGAACCTCTTCGCCATGGAGGGGCGAAAGCGGGGTAAACATTCACAATTGCCCGCAAGCCCCGTCCCACGCCCAAGTTCTCCGAAAGTCACCCAATATCAGACACTCACCTCATCCTCAGCCTTCTGGGCCTTGGAAGAGCCGGAGGGCTCGTTCTTGTCATCCTCGGCCTCAACCTTCTCCTTCTTGGGACCTCCACCGAACATGGAGAAAACGTTGTCGGTCGTCTTGGTGGCAGTCTCCTTAACGGTCTCGACCGCGGATTCGGTGGCAGCCTTGGCCTCCTCGGCCACGGCCTCGGTGGTGGTGGTCTCGGGCTTCTCAGCAGCCTCAGGAGCGCTGGTGGTGGGGTCGGGCTTGGTCTCAGCGACGTCAGACATGATGGATGGATATAATTCTGCGGGCTGATGTGAGCGGAGCGGGATATGAAGATGAGAATACAGGCGAGGTATACCTGAGAATAAAGGAGAAAATAAGGATTGTTTGGGGGTGGATGTGGAATTATAAGTGAAGAGGTGGTGGGAAAATATGGACGGGATTCAATGTTTTTGGTTGCCAGAGAAGGTGGGTAGGCTGGCTGGGTTCATTGCCTCAGAGCCTAAGGCCACTAGCGCCACCCGCTCTGAAGGTCTTTTTTGCTGCCCCGCGCCTGAAAAGAATAATAAAAAAAATGGACCGCGGGGTGATTGTATAGACTCTCATACACTATCTACAACACAGCCATATTTCTGGACCACACTCGATTCCGGTCCCTTCAAGCTCCAAGTCCAGTAAAAATTCAATACCAATATCTGCTAGATAATACTCGAATACATTTGCCTGCCAGTATTCTCAGGATACAATTCCATGCTTCAAGCCATCCCTCAATACGTGACCATGCGCCGACGACGAACCAAACCGAGCAACCCAAGAGCCAGCAAAAAAAAAAAACAAAGGAAGAGAAGCGTAGCTACCTTACTAACTACAGAAGTCCAAGTCCACCCCAACAGTGCAGTCCAGCTGTCAGACCCCTACTTGGCACATCTACTCTGCCGGCAAGTCTTCCGTTTCATGAGGCCCCTAGCCCTCTGCTGCGCTTTGTTCAAGGCCTGACACTTCCTTGCATTTGCATTGCGGATATGCGTCTTCACGCTTGCAAGATCAAGCCCTTGCGCAGAAGCACTGAGCTTGTTCCATGTGTCACTCATGATCTCCCTGGCCCCTCTGTTGACTCTTTCAGTGTGACCTTGGAAAGCGGCTGAGGCGGCTAAGAGAGGTTGCACGGCAGTACGTCTGACGACCTGAGTAAGCTGCGCCGATTTCGAGAGAACCAGCTCTTTTGTTCCATGAGAGAGTTGCATTGAGTCGTGTCGTAGAGAGGACGCCTCTCGCCGCAGAAAATGAGCTTTCTTAACGACGTCGCCCATGAGGACCTGGAGATCGGTACAGATGCGGCCATATGCCTCTGACAGGCCCGTTTGCGCAGTGCCAAATTCCTTCAAGAACTGGGAGGAAATGGCGTGGGCTGCTCGTTTCCAGTTTTGAACCTTAAGCCATGGCGTACCAAAGTCCACGGAAGTAGTTTGCGTATAATGCGGCTTTGAGGTGGTGAATATTGTGACATTAACCAACCCAAAGGCATCAGCTCGCTCTAGCCTCAAGGTGTATACCCCCTCAAACAGGGTCGAAAGTTCGTAGTCAAGAGACTTGTCATGTCGTTTAACCTGTACGCTAAATCGTGGTCCTTTTTTGCCGATAAAGGATTTATGTGGTGGCTTGATGACGAGGTGACAATCGCCAATCACCTGCAATTCGAATTCCCCAGGTCTTTCAGTGTGTTGAGACGGAGAGAGGAGTCCATCCATGAATTCTTCCAAAGGAGAGCGGCCGAGTGCTTGGGCTCCTTGAGCTTGGAGGTCAGCAATATTCGACGGCAGCACCGAGAGTGACCCGTCCATAGAGAGCCCGCTGGCGGTTGGGATATTTGTGGAATAAGTTGCAATTGCGCTGGAGACTCCAGACTGAGCAAAGTACTGCGAAAGGAACAAGACAAGTGCTCGGAGAACAAAATGGCCAAGAGCAATAGTCAATACGGAAGCGGCGAGCAGAGCACTCAAGCGAATAAAGGATGCCAGTTTGTATTCACTGTTGCTGAACAGGCGGAGAACCACTTTCCAAGGGGGTATCGCAGGGTCCAAAGCTGGTTTCAAGACCGGCTCAGGTGAAGGCTCGAGGGCGACCCGGTAGACTTTCCTTGGATATATGGTGGCCAAAGATGCCAGATTTCTGTTCAGCTGCCCGGGTGCAATACTCTCAAATGTCTTGATATCAATCGGGAACCTGTTCACAGTTATAGACTTTCCTGTCACTGGATCACGCGATTCTAGGCACATGTGAAGGCTATGGTGATTGACGGGAACAGGATCTCTAGACATCGACCAGAGCGGACGTTCTGATATTGCCATTGTGGGGACACCGTGCCGTTCCATGAAGGTGTGAGCCCACTTTTGAGTCTCCATGGCACCGGCACTGTCCGTGTCGGCTAGAAAAATGATGGCTACATCGGGTAGCGTCCAGTCCACACGAGAAGAGATGCGATAGTCGGCCCCAGTCCACATTGACGTACATGAAGGTCGATTCTTGAGACTCAGGGTGATCGCGTTGGGCTCATCGGCTTTGGTGTATGTGGATGCTGTGAGACATTCGTCCACAATAAGTTGAACATGAATGGGCAGGAGCTCCGCAAAGTTAGGAACTGCCCCTGCACCAAAGGATGTCGGCACCACATGATACCTGGAGGACTCGGTGGAACTGCTTTCGTAATTGCTACAGGGAGAGCTTGCCACCAAAACATCTCCAAATTTATCGAGGATGATGTTGCGGAAGTCCGGGCTGCCAACATATAGCACACGGAATGGTTTGTCTGTGTCCAGGGATCTCTTCATCATGGTCTGTTGCACTGTGGCTGTCAGTGTTGACGCTTGGGGCATATCAGAGAATTTCTGCTTCAAAGCTTCTGCCTCAGGGCTTTCAAATACCCGAATCGTGTGTTTCAATTCTACGCGTTCGACTTCGGGCCAACTCTCAGGCTCAACAAACTCGATTGACTCGGTTGACTGGCGGAAAGCAGTCTGGGTGGTGAGGCTACTGTCGTTGGTGGCAGTCCCGACGAGATGAGGGTAAGCTGATAACAATTCTCGGGAGGCCGACACATCGCTCCTCAGTTCATAATCCTCGCCGTAGTACCTGTCATCATCACTTGCACCAATTTCACTGTTGCTAGACGTCTCGTCAAGGCTAGCCACATCGTCTGGCCCGGCCTGGTCAATTAAGGACCCCATATCGGTCAGCTCCGAGCGAGTACCGTCCTCTGAATTGATATCGGAGACGCTCATGGTGGCCCAGCTTTCACTGAGTGACCTTAAGGTCTGGTCTGTAGTTGGGAGGTTGGACGTCATGCTGATAGGCCTCGATGAAGATAACCACTCCTCGACAGAAGCACTCAAGGGCGGATGAGTAGGATACTGCAGGGGTGGTGCAGCGGCAGAGTCGTTCTGGCAATGTCTGGAAGAAGGCTCCGGAGGGTCAGTCATGATGCTAGTGATCTATTGTCATAGGATAGACAGATGCAGGAAAATGAGTAAGTTGCAGAGCGGAAGCTTTTTCGATCGCGTACAATGAACGACGGGTAAGCCCAAGAATAAGTACAGCAAACAGTCAGCGGAGTAATACGTTAACTTCACGAGAGGAGAAGCCCTGGCGGTCAACAACTACGAAGGCAGTAGTTTGTGTCCGAGGAGCTTCCTGAAGATCCCCTCAGCCTAATAGGCAGATGCCCGAAGGACAACTAAACCGGCGGTACGTTGCGTTTGCGTGGAGGGGAGTGGTGGAAGGAGTGGTGGGTACTGTCCCCGGGGTCCGGGCGGAGAAAGGGCGTTTAGGCTGCCCGAGCTTTAATGAATGGGTAGTTGAGTGGATGGAGGTGAGTTCTAGTATGAGACAGTTGTCCTCACTTTGCGAGGCAAACAGTAGACCAAAGTTGCCCGAATGTTTTACTGAAGCGAAGGTCCGGTCAGGTGGGATTTGAGGAGGAGGGGGTGTAAGGAGGAAGAGAGGGGTCGACAGGCTTCAAGGTTGAATAGAGATGAGTGATAGAGTGATAGCGGCCTATCATGCGCGGGGCACATGACAAGGATAGCGCAGCATGCAAAGCAGTGAAGATTCAGTCAGGCGGAAAGAGTTCCCATGTCAGTACTGTCCTTTAACTGTGAGTCAGAGTAGTAGTAGGTAGAGAAGATCAGTTACCTCATCATGTGCTGTCCATGGGAGTTGGATCAATCATTTTGTTAGTTCCATCATTTCAGCTCCGAGCAGGAACTCCCCGGAAGGCAGCACCACCGCTGATAAGGCATCCGCTATCAGGTGACTAGTCCCCAACTGGTTTAGTTCCGAGCATCAAACCAAAGTACACTCAAAAGTATACCTAGTAATAATGTGGATGGCAAAACAGTAGCTGCTAAGTAACTTATATGACCAGCGGAATAATATAAGTGACTATGAGGTATGTACATTTCATGACATGAAGGGAGGTGAAAAAAAAGGTGTCAGTAGGAAATGATGATAGAAGAGGAAAAGGGGGAGAACAAATCAGACAAGCAGAAAGATTCTACCGGGATAGCAGAGGTAGGGGAAAGGGAAAACAGGAGACATCAACAGGGTATTTATTATTAGGAGGTGACCATCAACAGGCCACATGAAGCCATGGCAAACTTGCCTGCCATGTCAGTGCTGATGTACCCGGTCTCACTCGTTCTCGAAGCGCCTCAAGACCAGCTTGAATGATTTCTTGCGACTGCCATTCCAGATTACCCCATCAGAAAGGGAATGAAGGACGGCCGATCAATGAACACCAAGCAAGCAGTCATGTCAGAGACCCACCGGAGGGGGGGGGGGAGCGCATTGGGTTCATGCCAGCGTTCGAGTCGTCTTGCGCTCAACAGGAGAGAGTAATTTCGACACAAAAGGCCCCCATGCAGTTGGTGAAGTCGATGGAATTTTTGGCCAGTGAGGAGTCGGCACGGCTGGCTTCTTCTCACAGCTCGAAATGAGAATCTCAATGACAAGTCGAATCTTTTTTTAAAAGCGAACGCGACAATCCAAAGGAATGGAAATATACGAATCACGCTAGATGAATTTGTCAAGATTGATGAGAATGGTCACACCGTCTTCCATGGAAAGAAGCCGTCAGATCCGTGAAACGCCGTCCAGAAACCCACAGCCAACGTAACATGCAGGCTCTCAAGCAGAAAACTCCAAGGGGGCGACCCGAGTAATGCTCATAGTCGAACAAATAGGTACGGAAACGAGGAGGCGAAGATTATACAGCGAACATTAAAGGGCAGGGATCGACTCTATGGAGATGCCCACCCTCCAGCAACGTCTACCCATTCGGCGAGGCAGCTGCCCTGCTTGCCCTCAACATCCACGATGTCGGTGTCGCACCTGCATCGGCAGCCAACACCATTCTCCTTAACGGGATCCGGGTTCGCCCAGTAGTCGTCTTCCTCAAAGCGTTCCTTTTCATCGTCAGTCGTCATCTCCAGATAAGGAATTCGAGGTAATTGACGGGCAGGGGCGTTCGCAGGGCAGTGCTGGATGGTGGTATGCCGATAGCCAAAGTCACGGAAGTAGTGGATGTCGCCAGGGCCTAAGAGAATACCAGCGGCCAGAGAATGGATCGGCGCGTCACCCCACTGGAAATTTGGTTAGTCTAGAACAGCAAGACAAAAGGAGCCGGCACATACTCTCTCCATCCAGAACCCACCGCTCTTGTCCATCATATCGAAGAATTCCTCATATTCCTTGCTGCGGAAGAAGTCCAGCCGCGCAATTTCGAAGTTACTCCAGAAATGGCACATGTTGTACTTTTCACCTTCCATAGCCTCGGGATCAATGTCTGGGACAGTATTCTCGCCGGGTTCGTTGAGAAGGATCTCCTCGGGAAGCTTTTCTGGCTTAACTTCCTCTGGCTTCTGTTCTTCCTCCTCGGGTTTCTCGAGGAACATTTCCCATAGACCTTTCGAGTCCATGTTGTTCTTGCGTTTGTAGGCGGAAGCATAGCGGAAGATATTCGGGACGGTCTCACGAAGCTCTTTGACGGCGATCGTAAAGCCATAGGTCTTATTGTTCTCGGCCATCTTGACAAAGGGGTCACTGTAGTCCAGGTTAGCATTCTACCCGACGAATGTATTTGAGCAACGGTTATCTTACTATGTGATGTCACAGAAGTACTTGATCTCGGGCTCAAGACGCCAGTACCATTCGTACTTCATGAGGAGAGGATGCTTGTAGAAATGTCTACGCGCGCAGCCCAGATTAGCATGGAGAAGGATATGGGGGCAAAGGACTAGGACTCACCCAGAGTAGAAGCGGCACATATGGTGATAACTCTCCATGCCACCATACATAATGGCAGCGTCACCCTGCTTCCGGACACCTTCCTTGGCCACCTCATGATCGACCCAGTCGGGGTAACCCCACATGGAGTCGTCAATCTTGCCGAACTCCACTGGAGCACTTGTATAGTTCTTGACGGTGGCCTTGAAGTCATCGTCAAAGTCGCCATCGTTCAGAAACACGTAGGGGTAGTGGAACCAGCGGTTGAAGTGTCTCTCAATCGACTTGAGCGACTGTACCACACCATCCAGTTCTTTATTTCTCGCGAGGACGACAAAAGCAGCGTTGGCGCGTGGGCCGTCCTGCTCTTCCACCGGAAGGCAGCCGGTAGCGAAGACCTTATCATATTTCTCGCTAATTTTTCTGTAGTGGCCGTGCGGTTAGCGATAATTGGTGACTAGGAGGTGCCATTGGCGAGACGAACCTTATCGAAGGCGGGGTGCCAGCAGGAATCAAAATACCACCCGGGGAGGAGGGATGTCGTACGAATAGGAGGAGGATAAGAACTATTACAAGACATGGAAATAGTAAGACAAAGCCCAGGGGTATTGAGATCGACGAGTTGCCCTTTAGCCGTATTCTTCGTCTGAAGAAGGCGAATCTGGAGAAGTTGCGGCCTTTCTCGCGCGAAGAGTCATCTAGGGGCAGACTCGGCGTGGAGGGCAACCATTTCGTAACCCGCTGAACGAGGCCCATTGGAACCAGCTTGTATATTGAGGCCGAAAGGACACGATTGAGGGCGCCGGTATCGAGGCGCAACGCACTCAGCAGCAACGATCCGCGAAGCCAGAATCGCTTGCAATTTGTAATCGGGGGTGTCGGTGATGGAAGGCAAGCGCCCGCACACGCGAGAAGTAATTAAAGGAGAAGGGTGTCAAGCGATCGCCCACCAGCGTCTCCAACAGAATTTCCGCAAGACAATTAGAATAAATATAGGGAGGAAAGACGTCGAGGCCCGGGATCTAGCGAAGCGAAGCGAAATCGAAAAAGAAAAAAAAAACGAGCGGCCGGAGGAGAACCTCCTTTCTCGCGAACTTTACCCACTCAGTCGGCAAGGTAGAGATGGGCGGGGAGAGGGTTGACGGTAACGCGAAGGACAATAGTCCGCAGCAATGAGGCCGAAAACACGGAGCCAGTCGACGGGATCATGAATCAAGATGGCGGGTTTGGGGCTGAGGCTGTGAGGAGGAGTAGGAGGGGGGAGGAGAAGGAGGAGAAGGCCGAGAGCAGCGGGAGGCAAACCAACTGAAATGAAGGCTCGACAGGATTATTTGGGGATGGGGATGGCTTTGGAAGTTCTGCCAAGCCCAAGGAGGCGCAAGCGGTTCCGGGTACCAGACGGTAATTTACCCGTCTAGTCGGGAGTCGCGGCCTGGTGGACTCGAATCTTACTGTATATAACTGGTAATCGCGACCGTCCCTTTTCAAGCAGCACCGGCTTTTCTCCCCACCCTCTCTCTCTCTCTCTCTCCAGCCAACCAGCCAGCATCGAGCAATTCACGCTGGCGGGAAAATACTAAACTAATGCTGACCCTTCGTTCGCTATCTACTGTACCTAATAGTACCGTAGTATTATCAGACTCACTATTGGTTTGAGTGACCGGACCATGCGGTCATTGAAAGAGCAAGCATGCAATCTCAAGTGATTTGACTGTTATACCTCCAGCAGCTCCAGTCGACTCGATAATCCAAGATATCCACTATCGAGACAAGAACTTAGGTCTTCGGGTAAAGCAGTGCAGCTCCCCCTGGGTGCATAAAGGATAAGAAGACCCTGAAGCTTAACCTGCAAGACACGTCGACAGAGGACACCAGTTGCTCGATTGCGACTGTATCAAACCATTTGAGTTCGCGATCAACATCAGACCATTATCTACGGTTTCTATTTCGGTCTTGAGTAACTGTACCCTGGGAATCTTTATCTTGCAACGCGCCTTCTCACGGCTCTTGCTTGGCTTGGCGCAGCTGTCGTCAGATGTCGACGTAGGTTTACTTCGTAACCGCTATGCAATACAAAGAGCCACGATGTCGTGTTGGCACCGTAGGAGCATTGAAGACACCATAGGGCTTGCGGAGCTGACGAAGCCCGTCCTGTAAACCACTGCTTTGGTTTCGCAGGCTCGACAGGTCTGATCTCGTTAGCATATATAAGTCCGGATGCCTCCTGCCATCATGAAAGTGGTCAAAGACGAGCGGAGGGCTGGATGATGCATTACGTTTTCGGCCGGGTCAAGGAGAGCCAGTGCCCGAATTCAGACTTTAAGAGCTACCATCGCCGGTAGGTAAGGAAGAAACAAAGACTGCCTCTGCTTCATTCGCAGGATTAGCCAGGAGCTTTGCCGGCAGCTGAGAGCTTCAGCAGCAGGCTGGGTCCATCACCAGTACCACACCTCCCAGTTGTTATTGCATCCATCATTCATTCATGATAGATTGTCTCTCCGTCCTCCTGGATCTGGGAAACCGGCGGGATTCGGCCCGACCGGCTGAGCTTGTCACGTATGGTCACGGTGGGCTTCTGGTGCCTCCTGGTGGTAATACGTACCGGTAATTTAAAGCATCCAGAACCCTGAGTGTCCACTTGAGACCCACACGTGACCCCAGGCTCTAAGGAGATCTGTCAAGGTGGCCTTTTACGCCTCGGAGATGAACCTACTTAGTAATAACTCTGTCAAGGTAAGTCTTTGGGAGTGAGACAGATATGAGTCCTCTAGAATCTGCAGCTGCATGTCCGGATCTCAATCGGTTGGTGAATGGTTCCGGCCAAGGGACATCGTGCGGATCTGAGATCGAGCTAATTCGAGACATCCCGAAGCTTCGCCGTTGAGCTGTCACCTCCAGGGTCTCTGTCGGTCGGTGGACATATCGCAGCTTTATGTAGGTACACGCAACCTGCATACAGTGAGCCGTGGAGGACGGAAGTTAGGTAGCTTAAACCCTTAGAAGCATCTGGTGTTGCCATGTTGGTCGTCATGATCTGCGTTGCGGTCAAGGCACTTGCATACTCCAGCATTCCGCTATTCTTAGAATTCTTAGACATGGGGGAAGTGGTTCTGCAGCGATCCTCGATCAAGATGGGTGTGTTGATTGTTTACATCAATGCAAGTATAACCTCCTAAGGAACTGTTGACGAACACCAACAAAGAAAAAAGTCCGGTTTTATCGTCATGACTAATGAAGAATGATATCAGCCCCTGGACTGGGTTCGTGGCGGGCGTTTGAGTTTCTGTTCCCACGACCACGAGGTGCAACTAAACGCCCTGCCTTTCAAGCCTGGGGGCTTACTGGACTGACTGATTTCTTATTTACTTACCCCCTTGACTCTTCTCAAACACAAACCACAGCAGCAACAACAATCCTGAAGAGAAATGATTCGATGACGTTGCTCGTGGTTTGGCGCAGGTGAAACTGCAGGAGAGTCAGTCAAGGTCTCACAATCAGCCCCTCTCTTGCTATCTTCCTACCAAACCGACTGGACTAGAACCCGATGATCTCCCAAACAAAGAATAGTTGAGAGTCGAGACTAGAGAAGGGCAAAACGTCCATGCGTTGTCCCGTTAGAAAAGCAGGGAAAATGAGGCCCCCCCTCCTCTCTCTATCCCCTCTTCCCCCCCTCTCCGAGTCCTGAACTAGTAGTAGTAGTAGTAGTAGTAGTAGTAGTAGTAGTAGTAGTAATGGGTAATAGTGGTGGTGGTACTTGTAGTAATAGTAGTTAGTAGATTCTCGGATAGATACCCCCTTTCCTTCCATCAGAGAGAGAAAAAAAAAAAGACCCTTCGAAGTTTCTCTTCTACTTGATCCTTTCTCTCCCTCTCTCCGTCTTTCTATTCTTTCTCTCTCTATGTATCTACGTATGTATGAGAGCAGAAGGTGGTAGAGTCTGGCTCTTGAGTCATGCCACTTGCTGATATTACCTGTCATTGTTGTGGTGGTTGTTCATTCTAGTCAGCGCTTCGTTGTCGCCGCATTCCCTCCTTCGTCGTCGCTTCCCACTCCCTCAACAATCCCTCCTTTCGATACGATTTCTATGACCTGAGGGTTGAAGCTTTCTTCCCACCGTTATAGCGATCAACTACTCTCTCTCACTTTCACACACGCGCGTCCATTCCCAACCGCAGTTCGACCATATTAATGACGACTCTTTCCTGGTCTTCCTCGTACATGCGCACCACGACAGTATAGAAAACCAAACGCTCCTTTCCCTCCATCGCAACCGTTTCCGCGACCCTCGCAACAATCGCCAGATTGAATCTGGCTTGGATTTTACATCCCTAATTCCCAACTGGATCGTGAGGCATCATGACCCAGGCTATCTCAACCTCGTGCCCTCCCCTTGTGGAGGGAAGCGCCCGAGCGCCCGCAATTCATCTCCTCGACGGTAGCGTCCAGAAGTCCTCCACGCTCCTATCGCCAAACTCGAACCCCACCCATTATCGCAACGGTCATGTCAATCTCGATACCTTCTCCCCTGTCAACGAGAACGGAAGCTTCGAATTCGATCGCGTTCTAAAGACTGGGAAAGTGTTTCGTCGAGTGAAGCACAAGCATGTCAGTTCACTCGACCTCTCCACTCCTCGGGACAGTACAAGCTAACCTGCGGATCGCTGCTAGGCCTTCAGAGCTTCGTGGAAACCTGCTTACCTTGTGCTCCGCCCAAACCTCCTTTCCGTGTACAAAGACGAAGAAGCCACTCGACTCCGTGCGTCCATCACCCTGTCCGAAGTAACGGCTGTTGCCTCCGTGCGATCGCCGCGGTCGAACCGACAATACGTCTTCGGCATATTCTCTCCTTCCAAGAACTATCGCTTCCAAGCGGCCACGGACAAGGAGGCTGAGGCTTGGATCAGATGCATCCGGGCCGAGACACGGATGGACGAAGACGAGGAGGCCTTCCTTGCGCTGTCCAAACCGGGGGATGCTGCGGCGGGCAGCAGCAAGCGTCAGGTCTATGACACCACCGACCACTCGGACTTCGACCAGCGCGGACGGCCTAGCTCTCCCGAGCTTGGGGGCGCATTGTCCCCAACGTACAAGTCCAGGCGCTTTGCCTCCCCGCACGAGCACTCGGCGAACGACATCACTTCGTACTCGGAATGGTCCGACGGGCCTGGAAGCAACACCAGTGTCCGCCTGCGGTCCCCGTCTGCGCATAACCAATCTGCCTCGGCCCTTGCGGAGGGATCGTCCTCGAATGCGGCGCGGGAGACGGGCCGGGTCAACGATGCTGGGGTCCTGCGTGATCCCGAAAGGGTCGTGTGCAATGGCTATCTCCAATGTCTTCGCATCAAGGGTTCTATGCGCCAGTGGAAGCGGTTGTGGGTGGTTCTGCGTCCGAGTGGCCTGGGCTTCTACAAAGATGAGCAGGTACGGCATCTTCTCCTACATCTGCACCCTAATAGCAAGTTTAACACTAAACCAGGAATACTCCGCCATCAAAATCATCCCCATGTCCCAAGTGATCGATGCCGCCGAGATCGACCCTATGTCCCGATCGAAGAATTTCTGCCTGCAGATCATCGCGGAAGAGAAATCCTACCGCCTCTGCACTGACGACGAGGAATCCCTGGCCAAGTGGCTGGGGTCGCTGAAGAGTATCCTCGTGGCGCGCAAGAAACTCGAACCTACCCCAACGGGCCCAACAGGTACAGCCGGACTGTCCTGACAGCAGCAGCAGCAAAATGAACAAGTAACCAGAACTTTTGTAAAACACAAGGAATCAAACCAACAACGGAAAATCATCTCAACATTGTGGTCTGGATTTGATGACCGACCACTTACTCTTCATACACTCGTTCATGCAACCCGTTATTCCACCGTATCTTTTAGCTAGCTTTTCTTTCCATGGATGGCAGTGACCTTTGCTTTTTCTTATGTGTTTTCTATATTGTGCTACGCAGCTAAGCCGTTTTGTGATCTCTCGATGAGCAGTCTATCCTTTTTGTTGTCCTCCAGTTAGCCTTTTGATCTCTTCTTGCCGAGCGATCTTTTCGATGAGCAGCTTAGCCTCGTTTTGATCACTCCTCGATCTTAGTGAGCGGTTGGAGAATCTCTTCTCCACGAACAGCAGCTTATCCTTCTTTTTGATCCCCCTCTCATGATCTACATACCCTGTCTCTGATTCGAGTTATGATTGTGACCCACGCTTCAATGCTGCTTTTAGGTATATTTCGCTTCTAGCATGTACTGTTTACGCTTCTACTGTGTACTATATGCGCTGCTTCGAACATATGTCATATGCGCTTCAATTTGTGCTTTATGTGCTGCTTCAAGTATGTACCGTACGCTTCAATCTTTTACCTTACACTCCCCTTCTGGCATGATCCCTTACGACATCTCTAACATGTATCGTACGCATTAATCCTGGGCATGCATCAGGGCATAGGGTGCAAAATAAGCACTGCCATTGACATCCAATCTATAAACCGACATTGACACGCATGATTGGGTATATACCCACTAGAGGAAATAGCACAACCCCACCTCATCAATCCCTCCTCTCAGGAATAACCTCATACCCCGCGCCACCCCTGCTCCTTCCCCTCCTTCCCCCGTCCACCAAATCCGCCCGACTCTCATGATTAACAACCAAAAACGAGCAGAACACCACCCCAGCCCCAAGCCAATACAACCCAGTGGCATACTGCCCCTGGATGACGATCTGGCCGACCAACGACAGCGGGATCGTCAAGCTCAAGCCCACAGTGACAACCAGCGGCGTGGTCAGGAGCATGGCGTAGGCCCAGCAGATATCCGATAGCAGGGAGGCGAGGGCATTGACGGCGATGATGGCCCAGATGCGGGGGGTGTCGGGCCAGGCGAGCGGCTCGACGCCGGCGGCATGCAGCACCAGAAACCCGGGCCACAGCAGCACGACGTTCCACAGGCCGACCAGCCCGAAGAATAGCTGCATGTTGACGCGTGACTCGTCGCCGACTTGCTTCTTGAGCACGATCGTGTACACGCCGTACATGATGGCGCTGAAGGCGGCCATCGCGTCGCCGAGGGCGATTTCCCCCGGGGTTTTGGTCGGGAAGGTGCTTTTGTTGTTGTTGTGGTTGTTATCGCCGTTGTTGGTTGCCTGCAGGGTCGTTGGGGTCGAAGAGGAGGAGTCTGAGGTCATGTCCAGCCGCGAGATGAGGATGATGCCGAGGAGCGAGGCGATGACTCCGCACAGTTTGCGCGGCGTGAAGCGCTCGACGCGGATGAGCGCGCCGAAGATCAGCGTCCAAACGCCTGTTTTTCTCGGGAAAGAAATCGGGTTTAGTTATGCTAGAGACCGGTTGTGGTTATGCGTGTCTGTTCTGGATAAAAAGCTTACCGCTGGTGGAGGTGAGGATGGTAGTACTGCCCACCGTGGTATATTGCAAACACGCCATGGCGAAGTAATTGGCCTGTACCAACCCGGAAAGGACAAGGTCAATCACTCGCCGTCCCAGCAAGAATCAAAGTCACGACTTACAGTAAACTGTTATCACATGTTCAAGTTAGCCTCCAAGACTCCCATGGCACAGCACCAGACGCAAGCAACTCACCCATAATAGACAAAACTGAAAGCTCAGCTTGGCAGTCTCCTTCAGCCCCAGCCGAGATGGATGCTCTTTTGACGTCCCCTCCGTTTCCCGCGCAGATGTAGCCCATCTCTCAGGGCTATGTCTCCCCTCGCTATCCCATGAATCCCGCCGTTCCAAAATCCGCCGGGCCTCGCCGTCCGTGTCGTGCGCATCCAAGTGTTCGAGCAGGTTGTGGACGGATCGGATCCGGTACAGCTTGTCCGCGCGCCAGAGCTTGAACACCCGGCTGGCGATGATGGTGAAGAGCGGCAGGATGAATAGGGAGGTGTTGACGTAGGTCACGAAGAATGGCTTCGAGTACGTGTTATCGGCGAAGATGGTCTATGTAATCAAGGATTAGTTGGAGCGTCCTTCTCTCAACGATGACCGGGGAGTATGTATGTACACTGGCCAGGAAATTCGAGGCCGTCCAGAGGAAGACCACGACTAATAGCAATGCGATCCCGAGTGTTCGACGGGCTCCGGGAGACAGCCCCGAGCCTTGCGGGTTTGGCGTTGTAGAGTCCATGAGGCTGGTGGTTGACGCCTCTGCACTAATGTGCGTGTGCGTGTGTATGTGTGTGTGCTTCGCTCGGGGTGAGAACGCACGAGGAGGGGAAACGCGACTCGTCTGGTTCCGAGCTGTCGAGATAGGAACTCAAACTTCCCCGCGTGCACAGTGAAGAGCGACAGACAGACACACCGGAGACGTTGCAGAGAAGCCCACCAAATAGGGTCATCAACTTGAGCGAGTCATGGGGACGGACGCCAGGAGTGAGACAGCTTAGCGGCGTTAAGAACAATTAAGTCAATGCTAATCTATCCCACCTGGTCCAGCAGGAGGCGCGATAAGCAGGGGAGAGATACCGGGGAAATGTTGGGGGGAAAGGCAGGAGAGGGCGGTGTAACCGGAAGAATGCCGCCAAGCATCACGAGATTACCCCGATAAGCACGCGACTGCAAAATACCCTCTAGGTGCGTAACAGTGTGTGGAATTCCCCAGACTCCTACAGATAAGCACGGAAGATGGACTAGGTAGTAAAGACAACATTAACCATTAATCAATAACACCCCATGCGAGCAACGAACCAGCAAAAGACAGAAGCGTGATACATGAGAGGGCACCCGCAATGTATGTACAGGTGCGATAGAGAGTAACGGAACCCCCTCTCCTTAATAGACATAGAAAACAAGAAGATCACAGTTCGCAACCAGTCGAAGCACGGCATCTCTTAACTAAAGACAGAGTTGTAGTATCGTTCCAAAAAAAAATCATGTCTAGCGATAGGGTATCAACAGGCGCAACCGTCGCGGTCACCGTCAAGGTGAATGTTGATGGGGTCGCTGAATTCGCCGCTGAACTCTTCTGCTTCTTCTTGTGCCAGAGCGCTGCGAGCAATGACTACGTAGGACAACCATCAGCATGCGCAGCGCATGAATAGGCGGGGAAGCAACGCAACTTACCTTCAAAGGCTTGCTCAACGTTCACAGCCTCCTTGGCACTGGTCTCAAAGTACGGGATGTTGCCTTTCGACTGGCAGAAAGTCATCGCCCGCTTCGAGGAGATCATCCGTCTGCTTTCCTCCGCATCGATCTTGTTACCAATCACAACCTGCAACACATGTCAGTGACCGCACCACAAACCTTTCGCGATGTGTTCCCAGCAAATCCACCGACTTGAAAACAGATACAGGGGGAGCCATACGAAAGGGAAATTCTCCGGATCCCGAGGGCTAGCCTGAATCAAGAACTCGTCGCGCCAGCTGTCCAGCGCCTCGAAACTCTTGGAATTGTTCACATCGTATACCAGCACACAGCAGTCGGCACCCCGGTAGAAAGCAACACCCAAGGACTGGAAGCGCTCCTGTCCCGCAGTATCCCAGATCTAATCGCAGACAGTTAGTTCCCATTACAAACAGCAATGACGGCCTTGTGCGGTGTCGGAGGTTGAAGAAAGCGAGAGGAGACATGCCTGCATTGTTACCAGACGGTCGTCCACCAGAACCTCTTTGGTCAGGAAATCGGCTCCGATCGTGGCCTTGTAGCTCGCGCTGAACTTCTTGTTGACCTATTGGGCGGGCGGGGTGTCAGTGAAACAGTTCGATGAGGTTCGAGCTAGATGCTGCGAGGAAGGAGACCACGGACATATTGATTCATCAAACTCGTTTTACCGACGCCGCTATCACCCAAGATGATGACCTAGTCCAGTGCGAGAACAGATATTAGTTTTCGCTGGTCTCATCGACGACTGTTCGGGGAGTAATGCGGATTACCTTCAACAAGACCTTCTTCCGTGACGACATGGTGGAGTTGCGTCAAGTATTACCGATGGATGCGGTAAGGAGATGGCAGCGGCAGGGCGAGTTGATGAAGAGAGCAGGGATTGGGATGACACAGACACCGAGAATGTCGAGGGAGGTGTTGTTTTTTGTTTATTTTGTGGCGGGGGATGGTAAGTGGAGTTGAAAGGGCACAACAACCGGAGGAGTAAGTAGGAGGAGGGAGGTAAGTAGTTTAGCTGCGAGTTAGTGTAGTTGTAGTTAGTTAGACTGTTAGTTGGTTGGGTTGGGGCTGGACGGTGAACTGAACCGGAGCTACTAAAAGAATGGGGCATTCGATCATGCACGAGGGAGCTGGGCGGTGGAGATAGCGGTCTGCTTTGATGAGCCCATCGTCATCGTCACCGTCACCGTCACCGTCACCGGACATCCTCGACAATCACCTCCAGACTAGTCAACTATCTCGTGCTGCTTCATCGAGGGACCTGCAGACAACATACTTACTACTCTCAGACTACAAACCTAATCCTTATCAATCATATCCTGCCATACCCATACACCTCCAAGCAAGGCCATCATGTATCCGTGAATCCGTCCCAGCACATACACCCTCTCGCCCTTATCACCACTATCTAAATGGCCCACTGGCGGGAAGAATACTCGGCGGCGCTGGCAGCCCGCGATCGTCGCGAGAAGGCCAACACAGCTCTATACGAAGCCTGTATGCTATACATCTCTACTTCTGCAATAAAAAACCCCCATTCTACCTTTTCTATACAAAAAAAAAAAAAAAAACGAACAACCCACCATACATAAAATGTAGTACCCAGCCGCCCGAATCTAACAAAAAAAATCCCCCTCAAGATACCCAACTAGCCGATCGAACCGGGCGCTCAACAACAACAACACCACCCAACGCATCAAACAACAATAACAACGATTACCCACAGAGTCCGGCGCCAGCAGGCGCGAACCCACGTACAACTACTTACCCCAGCGGAAACACGACGAAGACGACGACAACCCCACCACTATCAACGCAACAAGAAGCCCTCCTGGCAAGCACCCGCGCCGACCTCGCCGAGGCGCAACGCTCACGCTCCGAGCTGCAGGACCGGCTCGCGCGCGTGACCGCCGAACTCGACAAGCTCCGGAAGAGGAACACCCACGATATCCGCCGGATCCATGCGTTCGAGCAGGAGGTCACGCATCTGCAGATGCGGTTGAAGGATCGGGATGAGGAGCTGCGCGGGAAGGCTAAGTTGTTGGAGGTGAGTCTTCATGAAGAAATACAGACACGAATAAAGAAGAGGGAAGAGCTAGAAATGCAACCCCACTGCTTCGTGGCACTGCTTCCTGGTTGGCTTCCTTATTGCTCGGACACCTAATTGACTTGTCGGTGGGGTGGTTACAGGATTTCCAAGACGAGATGGCATCGCTGAACCTTCAATTGAATATGGCCGAGGAACGATCGGCCCGGTTTCAGCAGGAGAATCAGGATTTGATTAGACGGTGGATGGCTAAGATGGGCGAGGAGGCGGATGCCTTGAATGCTACTTCGAAGTTTTCTTAGCATTGCTTCTCCCTCTTTTTCTTCTCATTCGGAGAGACATTGGCAGGATGGGTTGGTTACGCGCACCAACACGATTGCTCCCTTCTCTCATCTCTTCGGCTCGAATAAGGAATCTCTTTAGATATGTGTCGGGATTTCTTTTTTCGATTTCTATGCACAATATACCTATGATACCCCCATGAAACTGGTTATTCACAGTAGTCTCGCGGAACCCTTCGTTGCCAGCTGCCTAGCAGCTAAAGGGCTCAACCCTGTACCTCGAGAGCAGAAACTAATCTGTATAAGAATAGCAACGCGCTGATATGTATAGATGCCTGTTCTAAAGAAAATGTGGTATCATGCCTTGAGCCCGCGGCGGTGTCCCCCTCAAAAAAGGCCTAGGGAGCTATCCACAGCCCTATGAAAATGGAGATTGGATATGTGAAAAAGAGAAGAATGAAAAACAGAAACATATATATCATGGGTGTCCAGGGACCATCGATACACAAGAATGGGGAAATGGTATAATGAATCGAATCCAATCGTCGCGGTCGTTACCCAAAAGTTGCCGTGACAATCATGCATGCACCGTTTGTGGCACCGACAAGAAAAGAAGAAGGGAGAAAAAAAGGCTTCAAGTTTCATAACCCTTGGCTTTCGGCAAAGGCCTTAAGCCGGGAACTATCCTTCCTGGCAATGAAATAGGTGCCTCCAACGTCGGTCCAGCTCACGCTATTGGACCAATAATTGCGCTGTTTGACCGTGAGCAAATTGACGGGCGAATTGAGGTTGCGGGCTTGGATCTTGTGGCCCGCGGGGACGAACGACTTGAGCGAAACAATCTGACAGCCCTCCTTCATGTCCAGGAAATGGTTAATCAGCTCGTTGTTCAACTGCGGGGTGAACGCCTGGTTGTTGATCAGGACGACGTCCGCGCGCTTCAGCACATCGACGATGCTCTGCTGCTTCAGGAAATCGCCGCGAATCAGATGCGTTTTCCCGGGGGCGATACCCCAGAGGCGGCATCGTGCGCGGAACTCCGCCTGCTGGAGCTCGGCGAGCTCACAGGCATTCTGCATCATCTCGCAGCCCCAGCTCTCGCAGCCAATCTCCAGCGCCGCCTGCAGAACCACGTTCCCGACGCCGGAGCCCAAGTCCACAAAGACTTGGCCCGATTTCAGACCGGTCTCTTTGAAAATAGTGCTGATGAACCGCGGGAGGAGCTCCCCGTACACGTTGTCCGTCCCGTTCTCATACTGGCGGAGCGATTCGACCCGGGGCGAGACCGTCCGCGAGTATATCTGGTTCAGGATCCTCTCCACCAGCGGCAAGCTGAGGCGGCCGATCGAATCCAGTTTCTTGGCAATGCTCCCATTGCGCCTCAACCGTTCGATCGCGTGATTGTAGTCGGCCACCGTTTCACGGAACTGTGTTTCGGATGACTGCGCCAGAGCGCGTCGTAACCTGCGCCGGATGCCATTCGTCTCATCATCAAACTGGTCCAACTCATCCTCCGGGATGAAATTCTGAGCAACAATCTCGACGACTTGAACGATATCGTCGATGGGTTTGAAATCGTCATTATCGCGCGGAACAACAAGATTATACCTGAAAATGAGAGAAGGAGAAAGATCACGTCAGGACCCGAAACAAGACGAAAAGCAGGCAGAAGGAAAAAAAAGGAATGGGGTTCTCGTACCGTTCCTTCGGCGAATTACTCGGATACTGCAAGAAAATCTCCGGCAGCGGTCTCGCCTCTCCAAACGCGGGCTTAAAATTCCCTTCTTTCTGAGACGACGTGATCTCGGCGGCATGGATCATGGGGAGCCGTCGCCCACCACCACCACCATCCTCGACGAAGGCCTTCAGGGATCGCACGCGCCGATGAGGGTCCGGCTCGGCGCTATCGTCCCCCGTCCGGGCTCGTTTCCGACCGATCTCGAAGGACGAGGCATCAGAATCGCTGCTGGCGTCATCGTCGCTGGAGAGGCGCAATTCCGGCGTCTGGCGCTTGCGACTACTCTGGGCGGGCGTGCCCAGGCGGCGCTTCGAGGAGGACGAAGACGGGACAAGATCGTTGCGGTCCCTTGAGACGGATCGACTCGACGATTCTCGAGTCTTGAGCTGGGTGGACGGGGTCCGCGGCGAGGAATGATAAGGTGAGCGGGAGGAGGCTGTCGGGGCGGCGGCTCGGGTCTGGACGACTTGGCGGATCTGAGGCTTCTTGGGTTGCAGCGAGAAGGCACCCCCTTTCTGGAGGTGGTCGAAAAATCCCATGGAGCTTCGGGGGAGAGAGGGAGGCGGCCGGAGGGGGGGGTAGGCGGGTTCACACTCGCACTTTTTTTGGTATGAGACTCGGGGCAATGATGCAAAAAATACAGTGGAATGCAGTAACGGCTGTACAAGAAAATGGTAAGAAAGGGAAAAAAAGACAACCTATGATACGGGATACAACATATGTACGAGGGTATTCCCAACTTTCAAAAAGGGAGATCAGGAGTAAGGAATGTATGGAATAGCGATCGATAAGATGCAAAAACGTAGGTAAGGCTGCCGAACAAACAAAGCGGGTTGACGGCGGGCGGCGGGCGGGCGGCGAGGAGGGAGGAGAAGGAGGGAGGAGGGAATAAAAACCCGCGCGATGGTCGATCGGTCGGTCGGTCGGTGGGCGGCGGCGGCGGCGGCGGGCGGAGTCTGATTAACTCCATCCATAAATAAGGTAAGTATTCTCCAGTTGCCGCCACTTCGGGTCCGATCAGTTCAGCTGCCCTTGCCTTAGCGCCGACAGTAGTGAGAGACGAGTACTGTACATCGTACTTAGTAGACTACGGTTAGTCTGCAGCTCTGCATATGATGGATGTCTCGATTTCACACTAAACCAAGAACAATCGACATTTACTACTGTATAACACATGCATGCAGCAAGTGCACAACAAACAGGATCGTGATATTTTAACTGGGTATTTACAAGAATCCAGACTGTGAACTACCAACATCTTGTGCACCATTACACAACCACAACCTCTCGGCGCCTCTATTTCTGCTTCTTCTTCGCAACCCGCTTTTGCGCCCGAATATCCTTCTTCATGCGGGAATCCACGATCTTATACCGACCCTTGACACCCTTGGGACGACCCGAGATACCCCGGTTGGCGCCCTTGGCCACCACCAGCTTCGCCTGCTGCTTGGGCTTCTTCTTCGCTGCACGGGCCATCAACTTCGCGATCGACTGCGCCTTGTCTCTCTCACTGAGGGCCTCATCATCCGCCAACAAGGCCGACTTCTTGCGCAGCTTCTCCAATCGCTGGGCAGCCTTGAACTTCTTACGACCCTTGGCCTCCATCACCTTCTTGATGGGGCGAGCGTTGATAGCACGCCACTTTTCCTTGATGGCGGCAGCAGCCGCCTTGGTGATGGGCCGGTTCGGGGCACTGTGCTTGCCCTCGTCATCAAGGAACCATTCCGGCAGACCGTCAACATCCCGGAACGCGTAGCGGTTGAAACCATCGTCGACCACGTCGGTGTGTTTCTTCTCACCCGTAGCCATCAGTTGCGCCAAAGCCATAGCCTCTGCGGTAATGATGTCGATATCTAGTAGTGGATGTGTTAGAAACTGTCGCACGCTTGACTAACAACGAACAGAAATTTGTAGACTTACCAAGCTGTCCATTCGCCTTGCGCGGGTCCTCAAGCTGAACGGGCTCCTCATCATCGGAGTCCATGGCCTTCTTCTTCGAGTCCTTGGTCTTCTTGTTCTTACGACGGTTGTCGACCTCAACAGCACTGTCCTCTTCCTCTTCCTCGGCCTCGGAGTCCTCCTCTTCCTCGCTGTCTTCATCTTCTTCTTCGTCACCATCGTCTTCCTCATCCTCCTCATCCTCCTCCTCGTCTTCCACATCATCGATATCCTCGAGACCTTCAAACATATCCTGGTCGAAGAAGAGCGCCGCGTGATTAGAAAGCGATCCGGACTTTGGTGCTTGCACACCGGCTACCTCAGTAGCGTCCTCCTCTTCCTCATCGTCGCTGTCTCCTTTGTTTTCGTCGGAAAAGCCGTCCCATTCGTCGGCTTCGTATCCCTTTCTGGCCTTCTTCGCCCGCAACTTCGTATCCTTGTCCTCTTTGCGTTCCTGATACTGCTCATACAAATTGTCGAGTTCTCGCTCAAGACGATCACCCTCCTCGTCGCTCTCGCTGCCGGAATCGTCGGCACTGTCTTCGCTGTCACTTTCGATTGTAGCCTCTTTGCCCGCTGCAATGACATCGCGAGCATTGTTTCGGTCGACGGGCTTGATGGAAAAGGTGGCATCGTCTCCGCCAGGACCCAGCTGTTCCATACCGATATCCATGGGCGTCGTCATGTGCATCTGCATGCGGACGATTTCCTTGCGCTTCTTCTCGTTCTCTTTGCGTCTTTCCTTCTTCATCTTCGAGGTCTCCTTCTCACGCAGCCGGAGCAATTCTTCCTGAATGGCCAGTTCCTCGTCCATCGGGGCGACCTCCGCGACTTCCTCGGATTCCTCGTTCTTCTGCTGCTGCCCCTTCTTCGTGACGAGACCAAACTTCTCACGGACCTTGAGACGCCATTTGAGCAGATTCCGGAATTCCTTCTTACCCAGGATCTTCAAATCATCGCAGCAAGTGCGGATCTCGTCGGTCGTCTCCTCGAGTCGGTCCAGGGTGGCCAGCGCGAGATCTCCGCCCGGTTGTTGCGCGAAGCTAAGCTTGTTGTATGAACCGAGGATAGCGATCGGGTCGGTGGTGTTGATGAATTCCGAGACCGAACATTCCTTGAACTGTGTGTAGTCACCCTCTTCGTAACCTTCTCTCTTTCTCTTCTTCTTCTCGGGGTTGAAGACCTTGGCCTCGTTATTGGGGGTGGGGTCCGCGAGTTCGGCGAAGACGTGCTTGGGGTCGAGGAACTTGGGATCCAGGTGCTTGGGGGCCTTGTAGCCGCGGCAGACGACGAAAATTTCGGCCGACACGTTTCGGGAAGAGGGGGGTTTCGTGGCTTCGACGGAGGTGAAGAGCTGCTTGAACACCCACAGCAGCGGATTGTAGTCCTTCGATCGGAAGACCTTGGTCACGAATGTACCGCCCTCGGCCAAGAACTCGGTGGCCAGCTTCATCGACTGCAGCACCAACTCGGACTGGGAGAAGGCATCTTGAGTCCAGGCTGTACCGACGTTGGGAGCACCATCGTGAAGAACTGTGTCCGCCTTCCAGTGCTTCAGGTGTTGTCTGAGAGTGGCGCGACACTTGTCGGTTGTAATATCGGCTTGGAACGAGATCACACGGGGGATAGGCTTGATGGGCGCAAGATCGACACCGACGATGATACTCTGGGCGGGCATGCATTCTGCAGCAACTTGACACCAACCCTTTTCATCACGGATTTGTTAGATTCCCAGCCAAGCCGAAAGAGTTCCAGGTGGGTGGGCCAATGTACTTACACCGGGGGCCGCGCAAAGATCGATGAGGACTTTGCTCTTCTGCAGGAAACCATACTTCTTGTTGAGCTGGACCAGCTTGAACGCCGATCTAGCTCGGTATCCCTTTTCTTTCGCAAGGCGATACCACTTATCCAAACGACCTTTACCGTGCTGATTGTTGTCAGTACAAATTGTTTTCGCGGAAGGTGCAATCACAGTACCTTCTTTTGAATCGCCATCTTGACAAGCGGGCAGTCGAGATAAACTCGACGTCAAGACCCGAACTGGCGAAATTAAAAGAAAGAGGAGGTAAGAGACAAAGAGAGGGTTGGTTGGTTGGAGGAACCGGCGGGCGGATTTGTTCTATGCACGGGAAAAAAAAGTTATCGGACGGGACTTGGAGACAAGCCTGGATGGGTTTCTCCACATTCGGGCCCGAAACAATGAAAAATTTCCCCTTTCTGGGCGGTGGGATGTGGCGGTGCGGGAATGAGCCACATTTGGGAAGTTGTTTGTTGCCTTTGTCTGTTTCTACGTGCCTGAGGTTGCAAGCAAGAGACGGTCTGAGTGAGTAACATGTGACGTGATATCACCATACTGGAGGCCAATCGCCCCTCGGCCTGATAACAACTTATCCCCAACCAAATCAATTCATCCCTCATCTTCCTGTTTCTTCCTGTGCTAACGATCTTTCCCTCCCTTCCCTTTTTCCCGCCCAGACGTACCTGGTGGCTACTATTAGTAGTCTTGGCCTGCTGGCCTTCCATCATAATTAAGGCCTTTCTTGGCTTTTCTCCAACAACAAGGCTTCTTTCATGCTTTGATCCCCCATCCCCACCCCTGGCCACCCAGGCCTCTTATATCAATATTCCACATATTCACAATCTTGGTGATGCCACTGTTAAACTTCCATGCCACCCATGGGATCTCGTAAGAGAGTAAAGCCCAGCCCGTCAGGCGCGGACTCGCGATCCACCACATCCTCAAATGACAGTTCCACCGCTTCGAGTTCCCCAGCCAAACAACGTGCGCGTGCGCAGAAGAAAGGAGGCGGTGTGGTGAGTGAATCGATCTCCATAGCGTTGCCGTAACAACAACCACAAGGTGATGCTTGGTGTAGCTAATACATGTGCTATCTTCGCTTTGTATGCAGAGCTGGTACCCATCAGTCTGGCCCGCCGTTTCGAGGGCTTCAAAAGCCGCCCCGGTTACCGAGGTTGCCCGTGAGAGCATCTCGGCCGCCGCCCAGCACACGTCCCCCAAACTCACCTCTTCGTCGTCCTCCCAACTCAGTGTCCTCAGGCGGTCTCGCCATCCCTCGCTCCAGCTGACTCGGAAGGATACCGCATCTAGCCGCTCCCTTCCCGCCAGTGCTACGACAACCATCGTCAATATCGCTTCTGATGGTACCGCGTCGACTCCCGCAGACGACGCCCGATCAGATCGTACTGCGGTGGCCGCGAAACCGACCGGGGAGGTAGCACGGAGCGATAGGGGCGCAGCCGTGGCGGACGTGACGAGCAAGGGACAGACGAATACGGCCACTGCGACAGCAGCCGCGGACGAGAGTGCCACCGGTGCGGTCTCGGGTGCCCCGTCGGACTCCCAAACAGCTGGCTGGCTTTCATGGTTCTACGGACAGCCGGCGGCCGATCAATCCGTTCAAAAAGATCAAATGGCAAAGACGGCAGAGGAGCCATCCTCGGAACCCCAAGACAAAAAGGAAGAAGAAAGGACGATAGAAGACCGAACACGAACAGAACCAGCACCAGCACCAGCACCAGAGCCAGAGCCAGAACCTAGCCAGAACCAGCATCAGCCCACCGAAATAAGCGAGGTCTCTGGAACAGCCCAAAAGCGATCCTGGCTTCAGATGTGGTATGGCTCATCGGCCTCCAAGGAATCGGAAAATACTCCCAGCGAGCCGTCTAATGGAACTAATACACCTACTCCATCTTTAACACATGCAGCACCCGCACCGAGCCAAGAAAATGACACGCAAGGGGAAGTACACAGCCCAGTCAAACCGCCAGATACCAATGCAAAAGCTTCCGGGTGGAGTTTCTGGTTCAAGGATGCTTCGAAGGATGCCGAACCCGGAAAGCCACAAGATGCTCAGCTAGCCGAAGCGTCAATGACCCAAGAGCCTTCGAAAAAGCCTGCAGTAGAACCTGAGCCTGAACCTGAGCCTGAGCCTAGGGTGGAAGTTGTCAAGAAAGGAAGCGTCAAATCGAAGGCTTCAAAGAGCACTCCTAACCTTCTAGATAAAGCCACTGCACGAGCCGAAGCGGATGTCAGTGCTTCGACTCAAGGTCCGACTGAGACAGTAGCAGCAAAACAATTACAGAAGATCCTGCCGAACCAGCTGCTTCCGCGGTTCGAGGACACATTCGCCTTGGAAGAGAAGCCAGGCATATTTCAGACGATAGGGCGGTACCTGCACTACAACAAACAACCTGAGAACAAGCATGTATATATGGTTCGAGATCCACCTCATATCAAGAGGGCATTGGCCATCGGTGTGCACGGATATTTTCCCGCTCCTCTGATTCGAAGTGTTCTCGGACAGCCAACAGGCACATCGATCAGATTCTCAACCATGGCCGCGGAAGCTATACAGAAGTGGGCAGAGGACTTTGGCATCAAATGCGACGTTGAGAAGATTGCCTTGGAAGGCGAAGGCCGGATAGCCGAACGCGTGGAGTTGCTGTGGAAGCTGCTACTGAACTGGATGGAGGAGATCAGGAAGGCGGACTTTATCTTGATTGCCTGTCACAGTCAGGGCGTTCCGGTGGCAATCATGTTAGTTGCCAAGCTGATATTCTTCGGCTGCATCAACGCATCGCGGGTCGGCATCTGCGCCATGGCGGGCGTCAACCTGGGCCCCTTCACGGACTACAGATCTCGCTGGATCAGTGGCTCAGCCGGCGAGCTTTTCGAGTTTGCGTTGCCGTACAGCCAGGTGTCGAGGGATTACGAAGCGGCCTTACGCACATGCTTAGATTTCGGCGTCCGAATATCTTACATTGGAAGTATCGACGATCAGCTAGTTTCGTTAGAGGTATGCTGTCTTTGCGCATCTAACTGCTTCATGCACTAACGAGCCTTTCTGCCAAGTCCTCGCTATTCACCCCGGTGACCCATCCGTACATCTACCGTGCAGCCTTCGTCGACGGCCGAGTGCACGCTCCCAGCTTGTACGTGCAACACCCACCGCCCCAGAAACATCAGCATCTACTAACAACGCTTAACAGTTTATCCCACCTCGTCGGCTTCGTCCTCAAACTCCGCAACCTCGGGATCGCCGACCACGGACTCATCCGCGAACTAAGCTCCCCACTAGCAGGCAGCCTCTACACTGGCGAAGGCCACTCACGGCTCTACGACGACCCAGCAGTCTACCGGTTCGTACTCCTCCCCTATTCACCACAAACCCAACCCACTAACCCTCCAACCCACAAACCAAAAGCCTCGCCATCGAATTCGCCCTGCAAACCACCTCCCTCCCAACAACAACCCTACACATCAAACGCACCCAACCCGCCACCCCAGCAAACCCTTACATCCTCCCCTTCGCGATGCGCGGCCTCCTGGAAGAGGAATACGTCCGCCGCGAGCTCCTCACCGAGACGACCGAACTCCTCCGCCAATTCGACGACTGGAAACCCACCAGTAAGGTGCTCAAGGATGTGAAGTTCCGGTTAGAGGGGATTCGGTCCAAGTTGTAATTCTTCTTTCATTCTCGAACTAGCTGTCATCCATCCATCCATGAACATCCATGAACATAGAAGAAGAGAGTTTCATACCATCGAATTTTGCTCCGTGGTGTTTTTTGCTTGTGGTTTGGTTTGGTTTGGTCTGATTTGGTCTCTTGCTTGAGCTGCTGGTTTGGGTAGCTTGTATTTAGCGGGTGGCTTTTCGCTTTACTAGAATTCTTGAGCTTCTGAAGGGCTGGCTTGTGAAGGAATGTATGTGCCTTGGTCGAATGGTTGTGGGGGGGGGGGGGGGGGGGGGGGGGGGTTGCTTCTGTATATAATTTATTCGTTTCGGTGATCGGTAGACATCCCCCAATGAATCATGAGTTGAGATTGGTTCGACCATGAGTTTGATTGTGTTTCCTCTCGACAAGTTCCGACGTTTAGACTCGAGCACGACGGGCTGGAGCTGGGAGTTACTGGACTGGATGCCTGGCTGCCAAGAAGAGTGAGAAGCTTTTGCCTTCCAAGTGGCTCGGCGGTCTAGTGAGTGGGGGACGGTGGAAGGATAGAAGGAAGGGCAGCTGCCACTCCAAATATACATACTGTATGTCGCCACTAGATGCGTAGGGTTTCAATTACTTCCAAGAAACAAGGTGTGATGTGTCTCTAAAGAACAAGACTAGGACACTCATGATATTCATATCGTTGCTCATCATTAAATATCAGACAACCACAAAAACCAAAAATGAATCGCTAGGCCAGTCCACACATATATCCGGACTCTTCTTAGAAACGCCAAGGTATGTATGTATCTTCGTTTGCTTGCTTTTCAGGGGCGGGGCATGATAGGAAATTCTACAGATTGGGATGTAGACAAATTAATCTCATTAGGTGAGATGTGTGTATGTACGAGTCGAGAGATTAGATATTGGTGGAGAAATTGGGACTCTTCATGCTTGGATAAACGCCGTATGATATGCACCCTCGATTTCATCTGTAAGTCAAATGTTAGCTCCACCAAAATCGACTCACCCTACAAGGAAGGCTTACCTCTCATGCCATCTAACGCCTCGAAAGCAAGCGCGTAATTCGACGCCGTTGCGATGATGCGCTCCAGCCCCTCCCGGATCTCTTCGATCAGTCGGTCGGACGGGCTACTCATGTTGTCGCTGCCGTAGTCTGGGGTCATCTGCTTCTCGACGCGGGCTTTGTAGAATATCATCAACATGGCGTAACTACCCTGCATGAGACAGCAGGCGAACGATGGCATGGTCCGCGGGAGTTGGCTCGACAGTAGCTGCAGGCCTTGTTGAGGGTGGCAGTTATCCTGAAGCGGCTGCGGGAGAGGTAGGCAGTGGAACATTTGAGAGATCAGAAGGGACGCCCGAAGGCATATTTTGGCCGAGTGTTGGCTGCTGTAAGGAAATCCACTTGTGAAAGAATACTGAGGTATAGATGAGAACTCGGAGGACGTTGAAGATGCGGAAGAAGGGGTATATTCAGATGGGGATTGCTGGAACATGTCGAGACTGCTACAGGAGCAACCGACCCGGGTAATGCCGTCTTGTGTCGCCGGGCTTTTTACGGCGTCGGCTGATACAGGGCTGGTGGTGGTGGCCGCGGTAAGATCGCAATGTTTCTTGATGAAGATGGGTATATCGGAGAATGCTCTGAAACGATGGATCTTGATTTGAGCGCTGAGGTCATGGTCAGCATCATCACGAACTGTTCAGCAATGAGGAAAGCGATCCTACCTCGACAGCTTGATACGCGAAATGGAGCGAATACTTTGAGCCGTTATAGATTCTATGTCACCCCCACAAGTCATGGGCTGCGGAACTATGGGCAACAGATTCGACTGCGCTAAAGCGGAACCTGCCCATGAATCGAGTTGCTGCATTCGCTCGAAGATGTATTGCATGTTCGTTCTGGTTAAGACGCATTTGTTGAGATCGACGACGAACTGTGTTGCCGATACAAGCACTTGTTGAGCTTGGATCAGAACGGTCCACCCCTGCAGAAAGTGTCAGGAATACGATCGCTACTACGAAGGAAAACAAGCTCACGTCGGGATCAGCAGAGAAGCGTGGGTAGGGGGTGACGAATTGAGGATCGTTGGCGACAATAGAGAGCGGCTTATAACCCTGCGTTAGCGATACCCTTCGAATTATTACAAAAGTCCTCAGTGAACCTACTGTTGCGCTAACAATAGAACCTTGGAGGACGCAATAATACTACCGAGGGTCAGACAGAAATCCAAGGAGATTATGATCCAGTGTTCTTACGGTCATCCACCAAGCTCTTCTTCGAGCTTCTGAGAATTCATCATAATCATCGCCGAGCGAGTGCAGAGACATGTCCAGTGCTATTGCCAGGGCTTGACCGGCACGATATCTCATCTTCAACAAGTTCCCTCGTTGGGTGTATTCGTAGACTGAGAGAACTAAAAGTGCCAATATGCTCTCCAGTTCCACAGGCGCTCGAGGGTGAAGAGGAGCTCGGTCAATGAGGGGCCGGTCATTGGACAGCGCTTGTGCAGGATCAGTGGTCGAGACATGGAGCTCGCAGTCGGATTCGATGCTCGAATTGGCCATCTGCGCAAACGTCTGGGCGTATGTTCGGCGACGGACCACAGAGGCGGGACTAGATGGTTCAAGATCGTTTGGATGTGGCACTAGAGCTAATATGGCCGAGATCGCACAGCTGAGGGGAGATTGTGGCCGATAGGGTATCATGGGTTCCTCTGTAGGTGACTCGGTGAACGAACCGACGCAGTCCAGAGGTCGATCTGGGATGCGCGGGGTCAACCTCGGCGGAAGTATAGGGAAATAATGATGGATGAATTCATAGTAGGCATTCAAGCTGTCGCCACAATCAGAGAAGTTCAGCAAGCTTCAACAATGAACAGTACTCACATATCTATTTCACCGCCGTAAGTCCTAACCAGGGAGCGCGATGGGACATTCGATGGCGAAGGAGTGGGCTCCATTTGGACTGGAATATTACTCTCGCCATCAGGGACGAAAAGATCTGTGAACATGGCGTGCACATCAGACGGAAAGTCCAGGCTTCTGAGTCCTGCCCCAGGGATTGATAGTACATCAATCTGGCCAAAGACTTCCGAGGCTGAATCTTCGTTAGCTGTGATTTCGTCAAGGTGATCTTCTCGTATCAGGTGCTTACAGTCAGTGAACCCGGAGGATGGTGGGGTAATCATGGCGCTCTGCTCGTCATCTTGCTGAACGGCCTCATCCGAAGAGATCGAAGGCTTCTTCTTCTTTCGTGGACCCCCGCGTTTACTAGGCAGGTAGGAGCACTTCCGCTTCTTGCTAAGACACTTTGCCACCGAGATCGAATCAGCACATACTTCACCAGGGCGCCATCGATATCGAAGGACTTATATTGGGAGCTAAAATGCAAAAATAGACGAAGGAAAGCGCAAGGGAGGGGGTGCGCTTGTGAGAATAATCGCTATGCACTGGAACACGCCACTTGGCGAGGGGAGAAAACATACGTTTGTGCAAGGGTCTTGTCCATCGCACCGTGTTCGTGAAGCACGACTGGGATAAAGAAATTAGTCGCAATGAACGACAAGACGAGATCCAAGGTAGCTTGCAGCGGAAACCAAGCTCAGTGCTTGCACGACGGCTCCAGATGGATGCGACGCCACTTACCACGCGAGACATGCTACTTTGACAGGAGGCTTTGCAAATTTCTTGCGGACAACGGCGGGCTTGGAAACCTTGGACTGTGTAACTGTCGTGACTCCCTCATCTTCGTACGTATGCTGAGAGTCGTCCAGAGCCATGGCGGGCGTGGTTTGGAGACACAGAGCAGCAGCGGGAAGTAAATGGTAGGAAGATCATGCAACGGCTTCCAGGGCGTGCTACCATCACCCACACAATCTAAATGGAGAGTCTCCCGGAGCGCATAACTCGAGAATTACTGGAAAGAACGAAACCGGAAAGACGCAGAAATCACCATCCAGGGAGTTTTCCGGGGTAGTCCGCCAAATCGGGGAGGTCGGGGTGGGTAAATCAACTCGCTCAAGAGTGGTCTGATATACACTGTAGCATTGGGGCGAGCTGGGCTGGGCTGTAGTTAGTTGTTAGTTAGTTTAGAGAGAGTGAGCGGACGGCTTACTCATCCTCGAGGTCGAGATCCAAATCCCGAAGCGTGGGTGTTTCGGGATTTGGATTTGCTTCTATCGACAGACGATCGCAGAGGGTGGCGGCAGCCGCAGAAGTGCGTGGATTAGTCAAATTGCACAAGGCAAAAAGTGAAAAAGCATCATCGATGGTTTTCTCCCGATCTGCGCGTTGGACATATCTCGGAGAACTGAAGAACGACCTCTGTGGAATCACTGTTTGGGGGAGATTGGATTGTGAGATCTATTTTGATGGTCCATCTTTTGATCGATCGTTCCAATGGCTTAAGCTCCTTCCTGTTCAGGCAGGCTGCATTGCGACCAAATCATTGTCACGTGATGATCATCTGCTGTGCTGCACATTCAAAACATTTACTGCGGGTCGTCGTTCTGGAATGGAGTCTCTGCCACAGCGTCATTGAGGGGCAGTTGGAATTCGCAATCAGAATCCTTGTCCCACAGCCTCTGCCAAAAAGATAGAGAGAGAGAGAGAGAGAGGGAGGGAGAGAGAGAGAGCCGATTACTCCGTACTATCATATACATACATGTTGACTGCCGACTCATTTGCAATGCGACGGCGGCCAGTCTCCGCAATAGTCCCGAGAATTAACCTTTCCCGAATCTGATGCGTGATTGATCTAGACTCGTTGGTCAATCGGTACCGGAATTTGTGAGGCGAGCAAAATGCTTGAACAAAAGTACTTAGTACGCCTTGCAGCACAAGAGCCTTATCAATCACGGAAAATGCAAAGTCCCGCCTTTGCCACCACACTAGGAGAGGTGTTGTACTCGTAGACCCCCCGAAAGTTGACTATTGAAAGTACTAAAGTTAGCATTTCAGGGTAAAACGCATTATAGAACCAAGATTTATTTCGCTATATAGCCCGGGTTGCAACCAGATAGTACTGGTCGAATGCAAGCTCTCTATAGCTCAGTTTCAGGACGGCGGAAGAGCATGGATCTTTATCCCTGAGATCCGCTTCACACTGTACCAGACGCTGTCAGGAACCCGCACGGGGAGCTTATGCCCCTTTAGCTGTTGGTCGATCAACCACATCCCCACCACAAATTCTTCGCGGTCCAAAAGTCCGTTCTTCTGCCTATCGACTAGGTTCCAGATTTGCTCCAGGACATGCTGTGGGAGATCGCTCCGAGACCAAATGTCTCGGACCACAAGGTTGACTACCATCTCGGATGCATCGCGGGGCAGCAAGCCAGGGGGGATCTGTGACGGGGAAGGAACAAGCAATCCTTTGTTTGCCGCCCAGACGCCTTCGTACTTTTTCCGCTCTTTCTCACTTACTTCGCTCCGCCACCGCTTTCGGTCACCTTCATGGTGTTTGTGCGGGTGTTTGCGAATTAAGTGCTTGTGTTGACGATATCCCTCTTCCTCGTCCGAGCTGCTAGGTTGTCGAAGCGTCTGCCGTAACACAGTAGGGGGACTGGATGATTGTAGATGGTCGTGTTTCTTAGTGTGTCCCAGATGTACGATGGAACGTGACCGAGGTCGGCGCCGGGGTGGTGGAGGGGGAGGGGAGGTTTTCCTCTGTTGTGAAGCTCGTGTGGAAGCCAATGATGATGCTACGATGGCATCTGAAAGGACTCCTTCGCTCAGTCCCGAGGTACTATCAAGCAGGCTTGGAGTACTATTGGTCACAGACTTAGCATAGAGGGACGCGGAGCTCGGACTTGACGGCCGCGCTCGGGCATCACTACTGCTGAGGAGAACTCGATGGCTTGCGAGGTCTGACTTCAAAGATGACGTTTCACTCGGCCGCGGGGGTAATAAAGGTGCCTGTTCGTTGGTCTTGCTAGAATCCCTTGAAGGTAGTGACGGACGCGAGCTAGGAAGATCTTTGGGCTTCTCTGATCCTGAAGGGGCGTTGATTCCAGGCGGGTTGAGACAAGGCTTTCGAGGCACTGGCGGTGGTCGAGATTTTGTCGCAGCCAGCTGCGCAAAATCGGACACAGCAGAGCCCGGCCTGACGGGCTTTCGCTCAACTTGCTTGTTTCCGAGCCGAGGGTCCTGCTCGTCTCTTAAGATCTTGTCGAACGAAGCCTTGCTCGCCGCTGTGGCCCACACAGGCTTGGGTGCCAGAAGCTGTGGTCTGTCCCGCTCTCCACCAGGTCTCATTGGAAGATTAATGCTGGCGCTGCTGCTGCTTGGGGTGGGAGGCGGTTTCTTGCCAGGCGTGGTCCTCCCCGCCGCGAGCTGTGCGGCAATCCGCTGCGGGGTACGTGGTCTCAAGGCCCCTACATTCCCCAATACAAGGTGGGATGAATCCCTGGTGTCACTAGGGTGGCCATATGCGCTGAATTTGCCGATTTTGTCCTTGACCGAACCCGATTCGGGGGTCTCTGGGGACTGGTTGCTGCGAAGAGAGGCCCTATCAGAGGCATGATAGTTCATGGTGACAGATCCCCTGGGCGGGCCAGATCGGTGGCTGACAACAGGAGGATGTCTGTTCGCGGACCTTGCATTAAAAGCCGCTGTCGCTCCTTGGAGAGCTGTCACCGCGCTGGTAGCTTGACTGGTAGCTTGGCTTGGGGACACATGGGGAGGCAGCCGGCGGTCCAGAGCGGGCGTCGAACTCGCCATTCATAGGGGGAAGCCCGTTCCAAGGTTTCGCGCGGGTATTGAGACTGGATCGGAATTACTGCCAATGCCGGTTCAGTTCGTTTTGAGTGGTTGGTGGGGCAAAATTCTTTCACAAACTCATTTCAACTCGCAGAGGGAAGCTTGATGTCGATGATAGATAGAGGTCTAGATTGATAGACGTAGGGGGGGTTGATCGCAGGACGCTAGACTCAGACTGGAAAGCTTCCTTTCTTTGTGGCCTGGGGCAGCGGGCTTCAGCAGCTTTGCTGAGCTAATGCGGTCCGTGCGTGCCTAGAAAGAACCGAGATGCGATTGTGAAGAATGGAGTCCCAGTGCTGTCAATGACGATAGAAATTGAGATAAGGACCGCATCTCCAGATTTGAATGTGTCTATACACTGTCACACCATCGAGCTTCCTCGCGGGTAGGATTGTAGGGTCAAAACTGGTCCAAGCACCCCGGGATGGATGGACAGACTTGGCACAACAGGAGCAGTGTGGTCTTTACGTACGTTTAGTAAAATCAGGTCTTCATCTTCCCATCTCAACTATCTTTTCAGTATCTCAAGAGACACATGATCTCCGAGACTCAGCCTCGGCCCAATGCTTTGTTGAGGATGATGTCGACGCACGAAGGACGCCGCACATCAATCACCATTTGAGCTAGGAATCCACCCTCGGCTATTTAGCGCATGTATATATCATCTCCAACCTGGAAGTATCCAACTGATGATTCTTATTAAGTTCCAGCATGCTACTAGAAATACTACACACATAAGCAATGTCTGACAACATTCAAGAGAGGGGGATCGTGTCCAAGACTGCAGGTCCAAGATCGCTCCCACTCACTGCTATAGCATCAATTAGACCTCTAATTCCTGGACACACATGCGGATATTTAACCGACGACTGGCGGAAAAATCGAGCAAACCAAGACGTAAAGATGCAAGACTAAACTCAGTTCGCCAATGCGAGCATGCGGAGGCTGGGGCTCTCGTGGGCCTCGAAGACCCAAAAGGCGCCGCTAAACGGCAAGGGTCGATTAGCCCCGTTCGCTTCCCCGCTTCCTCTGCTCTGGGGCAGTTCCTGAACTTCCAGGTTGCAGCCAGCGCTCGTTGTCTGTTCATTTCTCTTTCTGCTTCTCCTCGCGAACCTTCGAGGGATTTTCCCGGTATCCCAACAATCAGATGCGACCAGGGTGTTACCACATGGCACGATGGGTATAGTTCGCAATCTGTCCGGTGATGATCCCTGCTGCTCAGCTCCATAACCTGTCCCTACCGCCGATGTACCTGTTGCCATGCCAGACTTGCTCCATCTGTGTTTGAACCAAGATTCGTCTATGCGACGCCATGTCCTCCGAGAAGAGCGACGCTGGGCAAGGTGCGAGGGACTCCTGCTTTGAGCTGGCTGCGAATGAGGCGACTAACTCAGCTTCGGTATTACAGAGGCTCCGATCCACCATGAAGCTGAAGAGGCAGCAAAGGATGAGGGCGACAATGATGATCAAGACATGCAACAGGGCTCGACAGCTAGCCTAACGAAGTGCTCAATATGTCAGAGTACCTTTCGGCGACCGGAGCACCTGAAGCGCCATTTTCGCAGTCATACAAAAGAGAAGCCGTTCGAGTGCGCGCAGTGCGGCCGTCATTTTTCGAGAACGTATGCACTCGATATCATAATTCATCCCTAAGTGTTGTTGCGTATCCGGCAAGAACTAACGTGGGGGCTTTTCTTTCTAGAGATACACTGCATCGGCATGAGCTCAGCCACCATAACGCTGGAATGGAAGGCGGGAAGGATCGTACCCATCGCATCACCGTGAAGACGTTCCGGGCTTGCTATAAATGTGCAGTCGCACGAGTTCGATGCAGTGGTGGTGCCCCGTGCGCGCGTTGCGAAAATCGGTCTCTCGACTGTCAGTATCCAACCGAGCGGCGTTCGAAAGCTAAGGCCCGGAAAGAGGCGGCGCAGTTATCCATGGTCCAAGATGAAGAGTTAAACGGGCAGTCTTCTTTCGCCGTACCATCAACACCCGCTGAAGACTCTGCTGCACGTTCCCCTCATGGTGGTGAATCGTCTCCTGCAAAGCCTCTCCAGTACCGAATGACGCAGTTTCAGCTTCAGTTGCCCGGAACGAATCTGCTACACAGGGATGACCCGTCATCACCTGTAGTACCAGCCGTTTCACATCATGGAGAAGCTCCCGTGACATTGTCGACTAATCCACAAAGCAATGCACCACAGGTCAATGCGATAGAGCTGTCCGCTCGACCCAATTTAGGCGCATCGAAAGGAATATCTGATATAAGCCAGACTACGTCGCATAACTCCGCTGGCATCAAATCTCAATCAAGAGAATCACGGAGATCTTTATCGCTCGCGCAAGGCGTACAATTGGTCGATCAAATGGCAGAGCCCGTGAGCACGACTAGCGCCTCACGTCCAATTCCAGTCAGTCTGAGCCATGATGCAAATATACCAACGACACGAAATCACCAGGCAGAGCTAGGGTCGATGGGATCTTTCCTGGACACGATCAATTCAGCTGGTCCTGCGATGAACTGGCTGCCGGGCGAGGTGCCCTATGATACATTCATCGAGCGTACGCATACAGCAATCCCTGCCGCCTACGCGGGGCAGGACGTCCGCGATGGATTCATGAACTATTCGTCATGGCTTCCCCCGGTGATGCATACAGCTAATGGGAGTCAAGAGCAAATGTTCCAGTCTTCTTTGAGACACGCCTCGATAAGTAGTGACAAGAACAGCCCTGAGAAGCCAGGACGCTCGACGCTGTCTAGCGCTACGAAACGACCGGCGACTCTATCAGAGGATAGAGCCGAACCCCGACAGTCGAAATCAAGACGGCAGCAAGACACCTGGTCAGACTTCTCCACATTGACTCCTGATGGCTTTTTCTCTACCGGAAGAGAAAATCTGCCTCGTCGGTTCTTGTTCCCTATTATTGAAGACTCTGCCATGCATGATATTCAGATTGGTCCCAGGCAGCTGATCGAATCATTGACATACGGCAAGATTCACAAGGCTTTCATTCAATTTTGTTGCACAGAAAGCATTCTCTTCTCGCCATTCGAATCTGAATATTTCCCGAGTGCCACCGTGCTTTCCGAATTTCTTCATCTCTACTTTCATCATTTCCAACCCGTTTATCCTATGTTCCACCCACCCACATTCAACGCAAACACATGCCACTGGGTAGTGACCTTGGCGCTGGCGGCCATAGGTAGCCACTATGCTAGGCTTCACGAGTCCGATGAGTGCGTTTCTGCGTTCCACGAGTTTCTCCGTCGAGCTATCATGGTAGAGGTAAGATCCCCTGCTATTATGCCATCGACCGGTAACTGATCCGTAGTTTGGAATAGAAAGAGAGATCTAGTCTCGACCAGGCACCGCTTTGGCTAGTTCAGGCAAAGCTTCTTAATTGCATTGGATTGCTCTATGGCAGTGATGAACGAGCTAGAACCTCTGCTCTCGACGGATTTGATGACATGACCAGTCTACTAAACCGTAACAAACTGCTGAGATCTCTGGGGAAACTCAAGTTAGTCTCGCATGACAAGCCACCAGAACAAAATTGGCTGCTTTGGATCGAGGACGAGGTCAGACGACGGACGGCCTATTTAGTATGGGTATGATGTTTTATACAGGAATGCATCTGCTGCGCTCAAAACTGACAGGGATCACAGCTTATGGACTGTACTGTTGCTTATCATTTCGACAAGCAGCCGTCCTTTTCACTCGAAGACGGCCAAGCCGTGCTTCCTTCTCATGAGAGGCTATGGCAAGCAGAGTCAGCCCATGTTTGGCAAGGACTTTTCGAACGCAACCCAGGTACATAGCTCCGTGTGCATTGGAAAATCGCTCTCTGACTGATGCTAGGCCAACCCGAGCTTTCTCTATACGATGCTGTACTGATCATGTACATTGAAAAGAGGCTTGTGTCAGATATCGGAGAGCTGAGTCACATTCTGCTGATCCATGCTCTTTACCAACGCATGTGGGAGGTTGGCGACTACTTCCGCCGACCGTTGTCATTCTGGAATCCGACCGCGAAGAAACAGTCTCGACACACGGCGATCCCGTCCGGATCCGTCTGGCTTCCCGGGATTCCATCGTACTCCAAGTGGCGCAACAGTGCATGTGATTCCTTGGACATACTCCATTGGGCCGCCAACAGCGCGGTGGCCACAGCTGCTGATCTTCGCAACCCCACGATCCTGCATCTCCACTCGGCTCGGATCGTTCTCCTTGCTCCCTTCCGGGAGATCCGGTCTCTGGCCCATTCGCTTGTGACCGACAGGGTCCGCTGGAGCGACCGGCATCAGAGCCTGGAGTGGCACTACATCCTACGGTGGGTCAAGCACGACCAGTTCAAGGCCCGCCTCGCCATCATCCATGCCGGCGCGACCCTTTTACACGCGCGCGGGAACACCAGCCACGCGTTCCACGAACCGGTCGCCGTGTTTCTGGCGACCCTGGTGCTGTGGGCTTATGGCGCCTGCTACGCGCAACTGCCCGACCGTGTCCGACCGGACCCCGGCAAGGAGTCCACTGTCATACATCTTGACCAGCCTTGCGATGACGAGTTGGTTCAGATCTTCGTCAGGGAGGGACAAGCCATCCAGGGGGTTTTGACGGGCGTGGGGGATATCTGCGCGCCGCAGGGCCCGGCGGGCGTCTTGCGGGCTGGAAGCGAGACGTTCGTCGATTTGATGTCGTGGGGGATATCGAGGAAATTCATGTCTATCCTTTCTAGGCTGGCGGATATTGTCTCGCAAGCTTGACTCTGCCAGTCACAAGAGCATATACACCTACAACTATGTTTTCTTCTTAGGAGATAGACGTCGATCAAGTGAGGCATAAATCACAACAAAGATACACATTCGCATGACCTGTTAGACTATATATGCTTGATTCTTATCAATAGAGTGAGAAATCCAATCAATAGAATAGATACACCTAGCATGAATTTCGAGCTCCAACCACCGGATAAGTGAGAACCCACTCACGATAACAACTCACCTCCTTTACATAGGCACTTTGTGTGGGAGTACTTTAGGCAGTGATGTCACGTCACATGCCCCTTATCTTATCGGTGGAGCTGCCGCCTAAAAACGCAGGCCGGGGTAAACCACCCAAACCTAAACAAGCTTATAACTGCAGCCACCATCCCCGATGCTTCTTAGGGACCAGGAACACGCTCCAGTAGTGCAGTCAGCTGCAGCGGCGCAAGATGGAATCCGACGAGGCCATGGAGGTAGAGGGCGGTCGCAGCGTTCACGCGCCCACCGGGCAGGAACATGAGTATGAGCGCGAGCATGAGCTGGGAGATGTGGATTTGGATGAGAAGTAAGTCCACGGCTACTGCACCCTCGGATGTCTTGCCTCCAGCCCTATAGAGCTCAAAGCAACCAACTAGGCGACATCTTCCAAGCTAACAAGACTCCAAAACGACACAGATACCCCAACCGACCACACAACCACTCCCCGACGGCGCCGTTCCACACTCTCTTCGAAGACCTCTTCAACCCGCTCAGCGCAATCAAAAAGAACCCACCCAACGCGAAACCCGCACCCGCACGCCGCAAACTGGGTCCCCACGGGGGCGGAGGCAGTCAAAGTACGCTGAGCCCATTCGAGCGACGACGGGACGTGATCGCGCGGTTCATCTCGCACTGGCGACAGACGGTGGGGGACGACATCTACCCTGCGTTCCGACTGATTCTGCCGGACAAGGACCGCGACCGGGCGATGTACGGGCTGAAGGAGAAGGCGATCGGCAAGATGCTGGTGAAGATCCTGAAGATCGACAAGAACTCGGAGGACGCGGTGGGGCTGGTCAACTGGAAGCTGCCGGGCGGCGCGGCGGCGCACGAGTCGCGGTTTCTGGCGGGCGACTTCGCGCGGCGCTGCTACGATGTCCTCTCCAAGCGGCCTATGCGCACCGAGGTCGGCGGTATGCTGATTGAGGAGGTCAATGAGCGGTTGGATCGGTTGTCGGCCGCTGGGGGCCGCGAGTCGGAGCAGTTGCCTATTCTTGAGGAGTTTTATCGTCGCATGAATCCTGAGGAGCTTCTGTGGCTTGTCCGTATTATTCTCCGCCAGATGAAGGTCGGTGCTACTGAGCGCACGCTCTTCGATGTCTGGCATCCCGATGCTGAGGGCTTGTATTCCATTTCTAGTAGCTTGCGCCGTGTGTGTTGGGAGTTGCATGATCCGAATGTGCGGTTGGAGGAGGAGAGGCGCGGTATTGCGTTGATGCAGTGCTTTCAGCCGCAGTTGGCGCAGTTTCAGATGCAGAGCTTCGATAAGATGGTGGAGAAGATGCGTGGGTTGGAGGGGGATGATCAGGGGTTTTGGATCGAGGAGAAACTGGATGGCGAGCGCATGCAGTTGCATATGGGTCCTGATGACGAGGTGGCCGGCGGCCGGCGCTTTTGCTTCTGGTCGCGCAAGGCGAAGGATTATACGTATCTGTATGGGAATGGGCTGTTCGATGAGAACGGCGCCCTGACCAGGCATCTGGCTGATGCGTTCGCGGATGGTGTGGATAGTGTCATCTTGGATGGCGAGATGATTGCGTGGAATCCCGAGCAGGATGCCCCCGAACCGTTCGGCACGCTCAAGTCCGCCGCCATCGCCGAGCAGCGCAACCCCTTCTCCAACGGTTCGCGCCCGCTGTTTCGCGTGTTCGATATCCTATACCTGAACGGGCATGACCTGACCCGGTACACGCTACGGGACCGCAGAAATGCGCTGCAGAAGAGCGTCAAGGACGTCCATCGCCGGTTCGAGGTCCATCCGTACGAAGAGGCCACCAGCACCGCGGAGGTCGAGGCCTCGCTGCGGCGCGTGGTGGCCGAGGCCTCGGAGGGTCTGGTGCTGAAGAACCCGCGGTCCCCGTACCGGCTGAACGAGCGCCACGATGACTGGATGAAGGTGAAGCCGGAGTACATGACCGAGTTCGGCGAGTCGCTGGACCTCATCGTCATCGGCGGCTACTACGGCAGTGGCCATCGCGGTGGGGCCCTCTCCAGCTTCCTGTGCGGCCTGCGCGTGGACGACCCCGGCGCCTCGCAGGACGCCGATGTCTCCAAATGCTACTCCTTCTGCAAGGTTGGCGGCGGTTTCACCGCCGCGGACTACGCCAACATCCGCCATCACACCGACGGCAAGTGGAAGGAGTGGAACCCCCGCAAACCGCCCACCGCGTACATCGAGCTGGCGGGCGCGGGCAACGCGCAGCACGAGCGGCCGGACATGTGGATCAAGCCCGAGGACTCGGTGGTCTTGTGCGTCAAGGCTGCCTCGGTCTCGGTCAGCGACCAGTTCCGCATCGGCCTGACGTTGCGCTTCCCACGGTTCAAGAGACTCCGCGGTGACAAGGACTGGAAGAGCGCGCTGTCGGTGCAGGAGTTCCTCGACCTCAAGTCCAACGTCGAGCAGGAGCAGAAGGAGAAGGCGTTCAACGTGGAGAACTTCCGCAAGAAGCGGCAGAAGAAGTCCACCAAGAAGCCGCTAGCTATTGCCGGGTATGACGAGGATGCGGAGGTCAAGTATGCCGGTCCGTCGGGGCATATATTCGAGGGACTCAATTTCTGTACGTTCCTCGCACGCCTTTTGGGGGAGATTGCATTTACTGATCTTGGTCATTAGTTGTCATGACCGACTCGACTACCTCGGTCAAGCAGAGCAAGGCTGAGTTGGAACAGCTAGTGAAAAGTCACGGCGGCAAGTTCTACCAGACGAACACGGCAGCTCCTGACATGATCTGCGTGGCCGATAGACGTAAGACACTTTCTGTTCCGTGTGTCGCACAGACTGACATGAACCAGGAACGGTCAAGGCGGCTTCGCTGCAGAAGAACGGCGAAGTGGACATCATACGCCCGTCTTGGGTTCTGGACTGCATCCGCCAGAGCGATATAGATGCCGGGCTGGCGGATCTACTCCTCCCTCTCGAGCCCAGGTAGACAAACTCCTGTAGACTGGCCCAAGGGTACAGATAAGCTGACGGTGGCAGACACATGTTCTACACCACGCCGCAGAAAGAGGCAGAGGTAGCATCCAGCGTCGACCGCTTTGGCGACAGCTATGCGCGCAGCACGACGCAGGAGGAGCTAAGCGAGGTAGGACATCATCCCCAGGTTCAGCCTCGGTCCCGGTCCTGGGAGCGTATCCACTCACTTAGACTCAGATCCTGAACAAGATGAAGACCGACGACGACAACGCTGACACGACCCCTGACCGCAACGCCTACGCCAAACTCAAACAACACATCTACGACAAAGTGAATGCTGGCTGGCCACTCCCCTGCGGCTGGCTATTCGACGGCCTAGTCTTCTACTTCCCCCCAACGAAGCCACAACCAGCCGCAGATGACCCCGAGGACGACCCCGAGGAATTAACCCACCCGTCACTGGCCCTCACGCGCAACACAGCACGATTCGCGGGCGCGAAGCTGGTCGACACGCCCGCCGATCCAGCCATCACCCATGTAGTCGTCTACCAGCCCGAGCCGGGGGGTCTTTCCAAGGCCGCGTACAGATCCTTACGGGGGAATTGGTCCGCGGCGCCCGGGAAGAAGATCCCTCATATGGTGACTACGGAGTGGGTGGATGAGAGCTGGCGACAACAGACGCTGTTGGATGAAGAGCGTAAGTTTTTGTTTTGAAAGGGAAGGTGGCATGGCCTGGCTGGCTGGCTGGCTGACTTGTGGCAGAATTCCAGGTCCAACCTTCCCGGAGGCCGGGGGAGCATATCTGAGCGTAGCGTAACGTCATGTCATGTCACGTCGGGTAGACGCGCAGATGGTGGTGAGTTGGTGTCTCACTGTCTTACCTTTTGCCGTGAGTAGTATAATGGGCTTGGGATTGGGATTGGGGGCAGGGAAAGATATGATGTTGGATGGCCGCCGGGCTGTCACGGTGGTAGGGCGCTTATCTTGGGGTGGTTCTTGTGAGACTGGTATTTATAGGTCGGTGTTGGGGTGTTTTGGGATGCATGCAGCGGCACCAATGGCGGGGGCGTTGCTTATCTCTGGGCAATGCAGGGTCTCGAGTGTTATTTTCGGGATGAGGGAGGTAGTCTGGAGGTCGATCAATTAATGAATTCATGTACTCGTGGTGTCTGCTGCACTTCATCTTCCTTTCGGAAATATTCACACGTCCTAGTATAGTGTAGCATAGCATCAGATTCCAACCAACAGATCGACATACCAGTATATATCCATCAAGAACACCCCATAAACCCTTTACAACCAACCCTCCCCATCTCCAACGAGGTACTCCGTAGGAACTGCACTCATAGACATAGAATCCTAGTAAAGATAGGCAATCCACCCACCCCCGAGTCCCAGTCCCCCTCCCAACAACTACAGTAGAAGTGTAGGTAGAAACCCCCACAACCGATTGGCCAGAGATAAGCCCGTCCAAACCCGCCCATCACAAGCACCTCCCATCATCCCCATCCACAAGGATGAATCATGGCTCATGGCTCATGCCTCAACCTGCCACACCCACACACACACACACACGATAAAGCAAGATTGAATCCTTGAAAGCATGCATCGGCTTCCTCGGAAGCCTATCTCCCTGCCTACGTATCCACGAGTCGTTCCCCTCCGATGCAGATTCACGCACCTCTAAGTTTGAAAATTACCGTCTTACGGTGTCACCCCACTTACTTTCCCACCTATCCCAAGGTAAAGAGGTGTGAAGGATGGTATCATGATCGCCAGGTGATTCTGCCTCCGACTATCCTACCTGTTTCTACCTACGTATGTAGAGGTTGGTGGGTGGCGGAGGAGCGAGCTTGCTTGCTGGCTAGGGGATGATTGATTGGAGTAGACCAAGAGCTGGGTTTGCCACCCCCGGAGTTTAGGTTCGTTTCATTTAATTTAGATTGAGGTGAGGTGAGGTGTCGTCATTCTTGTCAGCTTGTTTCTTCCTCTCTCTTCTGCAGTTGAGGTACGTTATCCTCGGTGTTGGCGATTGTGCTGTGTTCTGGTTGGAGAGCTCACCCCTCGTGTTTGAGGGGACTTTTGATGGTTTGGGTTGTGTCTGCTGGTATACCATCGGGTTGTGTATATACTGTTTAGTATCGATGTTGTCGCTGGTAGTACCGTAATCATCTATGATATGGTGTGATTTATCAAGAAGCAATTCAACCGTATGCGGTTGAACCCTTCCCCTGCCTGCGGGTAAACTACCCACCCCCCCTCGTGCAAACGGGGTTAATCTATTCTCTAGCCTTGTAGCAAGGCAACAAAACAAGAAACAAGAACTGGCTGGATGGCGGATGCAGGGCGCCGGTTCTCCGTCTTTACCTAGTGTGTGTGTTTCCGGCGGGAGGGGGCGGCGGGCTAATGTTTAGTAGATGCAGCTAGACTATAGTACGACATTAATCGAGAATCCATATTTAGGAATGTAAGTTCTGATTCTGTATACTTAGGTGTAATAGTAATAGTAGTAGTAGTAGCAATTGTAGTCATCGACAGGTATAGGACCAGGTACCCAAGTCTCCCCCCCAAAGTAACGCCGGTGGATGCATCCAAACTCCCAATTCGCTATGTACAGACACAAAAGACCAAACTCCGGAACAACAAATAATAATCAACGGTTTACATGCTTTCGACGGAAATGCCCACCCAGCGGGCTGGCACCGCGTTCTCGTCCTCTTCCTCATCCTCGTAGTAGTCGTAGCGGATCATGCGCGCCGGTTGCGTCCCCTTCCGCGCGGGCAGCCAGATCCGGGCGCGCGTCGGGATGTCGTCCCGTAGTTTGCCGCTGCGTCGCATATTCATCTCCAGCACCACCATCCGCAGGAAGTCACTGTTCTCGCGCGGTTCCCGTTGGCGGGGCATTGGGGGAATTTCCGGGTCGACAGGTACCAAGAAGGGCTGGCGCTGGGAGTGCTTGACGGCGCGCTGCTGGTGACCGCCGCCGCCGCGTCGTTTACCCGTCGAGCGTCGGTAGGTCTGCATCTGCACGGAGACCGGGCAGTCGGCGGTCTCGTCGTGCGGATAATCCTGGTAGGCGTACATCTCGGCCGGGGATACGGTGGGGATCGGGTTCAAGTACCGGCGGAGAGCGGGCGACGGCGGCTCGCACATCGGCGGAGGCCGTCGGTCGTCCGTCATCTCTGGCGTGATCGTGAACATCGACCGCGTCAGGAAGTCGTCCGGTTGCACCGACGGGGTCGCGAAGGTGGAGACGCTTTGGGCGGCCGACTTGATCGCCCGGAGCGAGGCGGTCAGGTTCGACTTGAAAGTCGCCCCGAGGCGCGGGAAGGATCGCGACGGCGTCGGCGTGCTTGGCGCTGGCACCGTCACCGCCAGGAACTCCTGCATGTCGAGCTCGTCCTCGGACTCGCAGTCCTCGGTCTCCAGCAGGGGGTGGTCGAAGGCGCAGTTTTCGCACGGCGAGGAGCGCAGGAATCGACCACGGTCGAGTGGGCTGCGCTGGCTGGATGGCGTCGCCGGCGTAGGCAGACTTGGCGGCGACTCCAGGTCCCGTTCGAGAGACGGAGTGGATGCAATGGAGATGGAGGATGCTGAGAACGACGGCGCCTCGCTGTCGCAGTCGCTTCCGGCGGTAGACCTCTCCGTGTCTTCCGGGGGACTCAGCAGTAGGTCGAGGGCGGTGTTGCCGGTGCTATCCATCAGGTTGTCGCCCACCCCATCCAACAACAACTTGCTGAAATCCTGCACATGGTTTCCCCGTGGTAACCGCCGGGAGTCTCGTCCGCTCACCCCTCGCCGTCGCGCTGGGATCGCCGTTGCTTCCAGGATCGATGCGATGGAGCTGGGGACGAGTCGATCGGACAACGTCCCCGATGACGACTGAGGAGTGAGGGTTCTCGGTTTTCGTGGGGTCCTGGGCCCTTTGTTTGCCGTCTGCGAGTGTACGGAGGTCATGCGCGGACCTCGTTTGGGAGGAATGACGACCGGGTTGGAAGGGATGGCCGATGGTGAGATGTCGGAGTCGAAGGGGAGTTCGAGGCCCTCAATATCCCGGACGCCCAGCGATCTGCCAGCGGTCTTCTCGCCCCGAGTTCCCTTCATGGGAGAAGACACTGAGCTAAACAAAAAAGCTCGTGGGACCATCATCTTTACAGTTCCGTGGATTTCGATACACAAGACAAGAATAGTTTGATAAGGCGGCCTAGGCCAGACGAGGCACTCTGATCGAGCGTCTGAGCGAGATACATGGATGGGAAGAAGAACACAAAAGGAAAAAGAGAGAAGAGCGTCTGATAGACACCTCTCCCGACGGAAGAATGGACTCCGCCGAAGAATATATAATAAGAGTATCCGCTAGCGATGAGAACCACTTTTGGTGTGTTGGCAGAGCCCCAGTTCGAGCGGGAGCCAAAAGCGGAAGAACGGCCGGGTGCGTCTGCAGGCACGCGACTGGCAGGTGTACTGATAAGAGAGGTGGGAAAAGACGGGCAGAAGAGGAGAAAGAGAGATGAAGAATAGGCTGATCGATGAGAGTATAAGAAGAGAATAAGAAGTAGGGAGAGGAAGAGAGTGTGGTGTGTGTGTGTGTGTGTGTGTAAAAGTGCAAGTGTTGTCAGAGAGAGAGTCGGGGGGAGACGGAGAGAGAGAGAGAGAGAAAGACAGTGAGCCAAAAATGAATGAAGAAGAAGGCAAAAAGCATAAGGTAGTAATGATCTCAACGCCAGTCGTGGAAAGCGATAAGAAACGGAAGTTAAGACGGTAATGGAACTAAGTAATTCTCAGCCTGAGTCCCCGTAATTGGGAAGAAGCCAACAGTGAGGCGCTCACCGCTTTGTCCCGAAAAAGGCTGGTAGGTTTCAGGCGGTAAGGGCGGATGCCGACTGCCGGGACCATACCATACCTTTCAAAAGTACTAGTCCCGTATGGCCGGTGTATGCATCTGGTCTCACGGTATGTTCTGGAACCCATCACGTAACGTCTTCGGGGCTGGATCCCGGCCGAAGAATGCCCCGGTCCCCACCAAAGAATGTTCCATCATACCCGCGGCTTACGTACTTTTGCACCACACAGTAACTTTCAATTTACCGAGCAGGCGAGGGTTTGACGGCCGAGAGACATCAACAGTAGGACAGTAGATAGGTAGAGTAGATGCAATACCTCACTAGTATATGATTTGTGCCCAACCACTTTGAATGACCATCCATCCCTCTGTCAACCTTAAGCAACTGCTGCACTCTGATCGCATCCTGCATCCGGGTGTAAGCGGCGGTTGAACGAGGGTCGTCCCGACGAAGTCATCTTGCTGACCCCTGACTGCTCGCCAGGCAAGTCATGCTGACGACAACCACCACTCGATTATGACTGATATATGCAGTGGTCTTGTGCCTGCAGCTGGTGTCCGATTACAGTTACTCATCTTGGACTGGGGGATGAATGATCAGCAGTCCTGTCTTGCCCTGCCCCCAGAGAGTTTTAACTTCTCTCACTTCTCTCACTCCTTCCTGCCAATGCCCGTAATCCACCTCTTATCGACGGAGCCACGACTAATAGTTATCGAGTAATAGCAAAGACCGGAATGTCAACCACAAGTTACAACCCTAGCCTCAAACCACCACCCGAACGATGGACAACAAATTCACGTAAAAAATCGGAAAAGAAGCGGTAAAGCAAAGGGGAAATCTCAGTGGGACTATTGTATCCATCCCTCACGGGTTATTTGCCGTGATGATCCAATCGCAGAGAAACGCCCGACTCAAAAGGCAGAGAAACCGAGACTGCACTTCATCTGGATTGGAGTTATTCATGGGGCGGATGTACCGTACCTACCCTAATCAGAAGCATTGATCGATAGATTGTCCCAGCGAAGCACAGATCATACAGAGGTAGGATGAAGTACTTCGCACTTAACATGTAAGCTCTTGCTCCCTTCCTCTCAACCCACCATCATATTCCTCTGGATGGACCGCAGAGATGAATGAGCACCGTAACCATGATCATCAATCAGATTAGTTGAACTGCCTTTTGACCAGCCATTCCAAGAGAACAAACAATCCAGGAAAGTTGGCTTGTCTATCAGCCGATCACTAAATGAGCGTCAGAATTGATTCATGATGTCTGTCGCAGAGAAAGAATATGTATTAGTCATCGCTCCCTCTTTCCCCTCTCCCTTTGCTTATCGCCGCCCGCCCTGCTTCCATTGAGATTCTCCTTCTCCTCATCTTCATGAATCTTCTTCAGTCCTATCGTCATCCCTGACCTTACATCGGCCAATCATTCTTCTTCATTCCAACTTCTTATCGTATTCCTGTTCACCCCCCAGCTTTGTTGGATCCCCCTACCCCAGTCGATCGTGCGGGTCATCTCAATCTGCCCATCTGATGCGAATCGTCGCGTAGTCTGTTCGGTTCGATCGGGACTCGATCCTTAACTCGTAAGTCAATTGCTTTGGCATGTGACCTTCCCTATGGCTTCTACTTAGTAGTAGCACCAGACCTCGTGTGCCTCCCAAGACTTCCACACTCAGCCCCTGCCATTGCACCAATCGCATCTCTTGAGTTTCATGCCCACATCCGACTAATGTCGTTTCCTCCCCCGCAGATTCGTCCGTCCACTGCGACGCTTATGCCGGTTGAAGCAGTCGACCTATCACCGCCAATCAACCCGTGTAGAGACCTCCATGAAGGCCTGTCACCCCAGCAGATCGCCAAGCTCCTCCCTCCCTTGAGAAGCATGCCCCGCCCCGTCTCGACGTTTTCTCCGATCACTTCTGGCTGGACCTGACAGCGATGGAAGACAGCTCCGCGGAGATGCCGCAAGACATGAGCGCTCCCCCTTCATCTACCGAAAACCAGAGGAAAGCTGGTCAGGGCACCACGGGGGACAATGCTTCGGCCTCGAAAAGGCGCTGTGTTAGTACCGCCTGCATCGCCTGCCGCAGACGGAAATCAAAGGTTCGATCCGGGTGATCTTGGTCGGTGATTCCTACAGCTTACCGATTGCGACAGTGTGATGGCAACCTACCCAGTTGTGCTGCGTGTTCGTCCGTATATCACACGGCTTGTATGTCGCCCACCTTGTCCATACCCAGCCTGCAATGCTGATCTGCTCCGCTAGGTGTCTATGACCCGAATTCAGACCATCGCAGGAAAGGAGTGTACAAGAAGGACACCGACACCCTCAGAACGAAGAACGCCACCCTATTGACCCTGATCCAGGCCCTACTCAACTATGAAGAGGAGGATGCCTTCGACTTGGTCCGTCAGATCCGGTCCTGTGACAACCTGGAGGATGTCGCGCAGTCCATTCTCGGACAACAAAACAAGCCTTCGCTGGCTTCCGATGCCTCGGTAGGCAGCGGGGATGAGGCGGACCAGTTTGAGTCGGAGTTGTCGGGCAAGATGAGTGAACTCATGTTGGACGGTTCTCGGAAATTCATCGGTGGCACGTCTAACCTCATATTCTTGCCGCCCGGCTCGGAGCTGAATGAATTCAACCCCAATGCGAACAACCAGGAACCGGGCCAGGGTACTGATGCCTCGGTGTCCCAGTGGACCAGAGTCACTGATGATGAGAAATTAATAAGTCATCTCATGACCATGTACTTCACCTGGCATTATCCCTTCTTCACGACTCTGTCCAAAGATCTCTTCTACCGAGATTATGTTCGGGGAATCTCCAGCCAATATTGCTCGTCATTACTGGTCAACACGATGTTAGCCCTGGGCTGCCACTTCAGTTCCTGGGAAGGAGCTCGTGAGGATCCGGGGAATTCAGCGACGGCCGGCGATCATTTCTTCAAAGAAGCCAAGCGATTGTTCTTCGAGAACGATGAGCATGCAAATGCCAAACTCTGCACGGTCCAAGCATTGGCTTTGATGTCCGTTCGCGAGGCTGGATGTGGCCGCGAAAGCAAGGGCTGGGTCTACAGTGGGATGAGTTTCCGTATGGTGTCTGACTTGGGCTTGAACTTCGACTCTACCAGCCTTGGAGTGCGTAATTTGAGTGAGGAAGAGATTGATGCGCGCCGGATCACCTTCTGGGGATGCTTTCTCTTTGACCAGTATGTCGTACTTCTTTTTACCTCAAACCCTGGATTGAGTCTAACTCCTGCAGATGCTGGTCCAACTATCTCGGGCGTCAGCCGCAATGGACAGTGGGAAACGTTGGCGTCTCTATGACCGAGATTTTCCCTAACGAGGATGCCGCCCTATGGTCGGCCTATACGGATACTGGAGCCATCCATGACCATACTCAGCCCTCGCGGACCCGCGCAATTGCCGTACAGATATCCAAGTTGTGTGAGATCAATGGTGACTTGCTTGTTTTCTTCTACGATCCCAAGCCCAAGGACAAGCTTTCTTCCAAACAAGCCGAGCTTAAGAAACTTAGTGAGATCCACACCAGGCTCGAAGCGTGGAAGAAGAACTTGCCAAAGGAACTTGGCCCGCAGGACGGGCAGCTTCCTCAGGCACTCCTCATGCAGTGAGCTCTGAACTCGTGTTCTCTTTCAGGACAGGATTACTAACTGCGCTGCAGTATGTTCTATCAACTCCTTCTGATACACCTCTACCGTCCCTTCCTGAAGTACACAAGATCCAGCTCGCCACTCCCTCAACATGTCTCTCCGCGCAAGCTGTGCACCCAAGCAGCTTCAACAATTTCGAAGTTATTAAGGATGTATAAACGCACGTACGGGTTCAAACAGATTTGCAACGTTGCGGTATACATGGCGCATACCGCGCTCACGGTTCACCTTCTCAATCTTCCCGACAAAAATGCCCAACGAGATGTCGCGCACGGCCTTCGTCATTTAGAAGAAATGGGTGAAAGCTGGCTCTGCGCACGCCGTACGCTGAGAATCTTGGAGATCTCAGCTAACAAGTGGCATGTCGAATTGCCCAAAGAGGCCGTTGCTACGTTTGAAAATACTCATGTTCGATGGGGTTCATGGGGTTCGTGGGATCAAGCTTTGTCCCCTCTGGCATCCGAAGATTCCCCGCCCATGGTATCTATGTCATACCCTGACTCGAAGTCCAACAGTGTTGGCCTTCCTTTACCGCCACGGCATGCTGCCATGGGTGGGCATGGCGCCGGTCCTGTAACCAGAACACCGGCCACTACAACCGGAGCAATGGGCCCGCACTACACGCCGGATCTTCCAGTTCCTGTTTCTGCGTCAGCTATGCGTGCCGTCCAGCGTTCTTTGAACGCCCAGCTTGCGCAAGAAACCACCCGGTTTCCTGAGCCGACCTACCTCCGGCCTGTGGCCCAGGCTTATGCGCAATACCGAAATATACCATTTACCCAGGGTGATATGTGGTACAATAATGATAACATGCGTGCGTTCAGCACTGGTCAAGATAATTCTCCGGCAACCACCACATCGCCCGCCAACGGGTATGGTGGCTCGGAGAACCTGGTGGAAGAGAGTCAGGATTGGTGGACTCGAGAATCGCAACGCCTTAATTTTGGAATGGACAATTGGGTGCCGGAGTGGACTTCTGGCATGCCCAGCAGGGCGCAGGGAGTGAATCCAGGTAGTAGTTATCCCTCGAATATCGGGCAGACATCGGCGCCGGAGAGCGCTCCGAGCCCGCCACAAACCATGAGATTTGCAGTCGGTGCTCCAGCTGGCACCAGTCATTCAAATCAGCCGCCCACAATCCCTGGCTATAGCAATCTGCCCACCCCGGAGGATTACCCCATACAGTGAACCCGACATGGTGGGATGGATTGTATGAGGGTTCGGGGTCTAAGACTGTCACGTTGTTACGACTATCGGGGCAGCGCACTGTTTGATTTTGATAGCCGCTTCAGTTTCCGGTTATATATACTTCTTTTAGATGTTTAGACGACACTGAATTAGAAACCACCTTGGGTATGTCCCTCAAGTTCACTAGTGTGCTCAGTGTGTAGATCAGATTCCTGCCGCTGTCTCAAGCTAGTCACCCATGTCTTCGTGCCTTAGCACTGTACACACAATACAACCGCTGATCCCTGGATCAACCCTTCAGCCCAACAAGTACCGGTTGCTGCCCCATCTTCCTAGGATAATCGCCACCACAGCAACCACCCTGGAGATGAATGAGTTGAACCTACCACCTCTAGTTACTAGTCACCCACCACAATCTTGCTTGACCCAGTACTCGACTCCAAAATTCAGCACCCAACCCCAAATACCCGGTAACCACTCCTACCCAAGACCCTCTTAACTTTCAATTGACCCTGAGAATGCACGTCATCCCTAACATAGACGTGACTCTCCCTCTGATTACCCAACCCAATCCAATCCACCAGAAACAATCGCAGCTCCGCTGATCAGAGCGACGTACATATAAGTTTGAGTCCCAAACTACCTATCATATTTCTAAGATCCATACGAGCAGGTCCTATAATTTATATTTCCGTGATCATCCTGTTCTTTTGTTTTTACCGGGTTATGAAATACAACAGCAAAGGATAATAGATTCGGCTAATAGCTAGGCTAGGCTAGGTCCAAGGCAGAAATGCATGGGTTTGCGATGTGATGCGGTTGGTGGTGGTGTATTGTGTGTATTGTATGGGTGTTGTGTCTGTTAAGTGTGGGGGAGTACAGATTGTTTAGATGATGCAATATGGTTCCCGGAGATAGTAAGATAGCTGGTGAAGAGATGGTCTTGTTCGTGCACTGGCTACTTTATAGGGTGGAGGAGGGAGGTTGTGGAGAGGGTGGGGGTGGAGGGTCGAGGGAGGATGTTTGGTGTTGGTATGTTGGTGGTATCACTTTTGTAATCAGATGTTAGTTTTGTCTTTCGGGTTGAATGGGTCGGAGTGGAGGGGTTTGGAATTGACTAGAGAAAGAGAGGGAGAGAGATCACGTACCAGGAAATAATCGGCTACAGGCTTCTTCGCGGGCATCCCTCTCGTGTCCTGCGCGGCAGCCTCGAACACCCGGTACCGTCTTCCGGGGCTTCGAACCACGGCTGCTGCAGCTGCTGCACCGCCGTTACTGCGGTTGTAGTCGCCGTTGCTGCGGGAGACGGTGCCCCCGTTGCTGGCGTCCTCGCCGAGTTCCAGGATCGAGGCGACGTTGCCGCAGCGGTAGCAGTAGTTGGGCGCCGACCACACCGTCACGATGCCGCCGTCGAACATCTCCTTGTACCCCTCCATGACGAGCTGGTGGGCGCGCGCGATCAGCGACAGGTCGTTCTTGTAGTTGAAGTGCTTCACGATGTCGCCTCCGAACAGGAATCCTGCGCCGCGCGGGCTGAGGCCCCAGCCGTCGATCTCGTCAGGGTCCGACCACAGGAGGTCGCACATCGCGCCCTCGTGCGGCACTTCCTGTTTGCGGTCGATGAGTCGGATCTTGTCGACACTGTCGATGAGGGGCGAGAGTCCCCCGTGCACGCAGAGGACGGCCCCCGTGCCCGTCGAGTAACTGCCTGAGGAGTCGCTCGTGGCGCCGGTCCCTGCCCAGCCGGATCGCATGGGGGGCATGGAGGAGGACGTTGGGTTGGCCGACGACGACGTGGCGGGTTGGGCTTGGGAGAGGGAGGGGAGGAGGGGCGAGGTGGTGCGGGGTTGTTTGGGTCGGTAGGTGCTCATCGTCACCTCGCCGCGCGAGTTCAGCACCTCGGTCTCCAGCTCGCTGTCGTCCAGCGACATGGTCGACGACGTGGTCTCCAGCGCGGGGCCGGTCGGCTCCAAGCCCGAGCTGGCGCCCAGCACCAGCGCCCCCAGCGCCAGGTAGTCGAACACCTCGCAGCAGTACCGCCAGACGTTGGCGCTGCCGTATTTCCGGATACACTCGTCGTAGAAGCCGTACACCGTGGTGATCTGGCGCGACTCGTGGTTGCCGCGAATCAGCGTGATGCGGTCGGGGTACCGGACCTTGAGGCACAGGAGGAGGAGGAAGGACTCGAGCGAGTAGAAGCCGCGGTCGACGAAGTCGCCCATGAACAGGTAGTTGGTGTCGGGCACATCGCCGCCCACGCGGAACAGCTCCATTAGGTCGTGGAACTGGCCGTGGATGTCGCCACAGATCGTGACGGGCGCGTCCACGCACACCACATTGCCTTCTTCGATGAGCAGCTCTCGCGCCTTGTAGCAGAGTTCGCGGACTTGGGACTCGGGGATCAGGCGGCAAGCGCGTAGTTGCGCGATCGCTCTGCACGATAGATAATAAAATCGGTTAGTGCACCTATTTTTTTTTCTGCGCGGGTGGGATATGCGCGATGGCGGGGGAACTATCGAAGCGAAGCTAGGCAAATAGAGTGTATGCAGTACCTATCTAGATCACTCATGGTGTGACCGTGATTGAGAATGAGGCTCACTGGGGTGGTCGGCAGGAAGCTGGAGGGGGGGAGGGGGGTGGGTCCTAACGGCCGAGAAGAATGGAGGATCGGTTTCACTCAGGTAGGTTCGAGCCACAAAAGACCAACCAGACTCGAGACAGAACAACAAAACAACTGCTAAGTGTAGAGAGAAAGAACGCTCATCTTTTCGTCTAAGTCACGCTGAAAAAGAGCAGCAATGCGAGGGGGTAAGTGAGTGAGTAATGAGGGGTTGGGATGAAGGGCAGCGGCGGAAGATGGAAGATGGATTGGGATGGATTGAGTGAGGAGAGAATATTGGAGAGTTGGGTGTAGCTCCAGCCGGTCAACTGGACAGTCAGGGTGGACCGAGCACTGGCTGGCTCTCAGCGGGTGCTTGTGCCAATCACGGGGTCTCCAGATAAGATTAGATCTGATCGCCAAGTTCCGACCGAATTCTTCCATTTCCGACTTCGCTTTCCCGCATCGAGAAACCTTATGACCACTCCCCATTTCCACCCCCAATTCCCCAGTTCCCCAGCCTGTTGAGTTGCCCGTGCGGTCTCGCGCTTGACTAGCTGTGTCGAGGGGCAATGCCGTTCCTTTGGTCCTTCCTTGTACATCACCATTGAGTCAATTCTGCTTCAATTGCTGTTAGACGTGGGTACAGTGTCTCTCTCTGCCTGGGTGCTTTGCTTTCTCTCTTTCCGTTCTCCCACTAACGCATGGGCCCCGCTTCCAGCCACAAACATCGAAACATCGAAACATCGAAACATCGAAACCCTACCAGCTCAATTCTTGGACAATCGGTCCAATTGCTGGCATCGCTCGACACTCGCTCGACGATGCCGCCCCATCTACACCCTCGCTCGCGGTCGACGACCTCCCTCTTCGCGGCCAGTCTCCTCGCATCCCTCTTCGTCGTCGGCCTTCCGCATGTGTTCCCCTGTCCTGCGCCCCGTCGCACCCTCGCCGACTCCGAGATGACTGTTGACGCCGACGGACAACCGATCCCGCGTGTCCGAAGAAGAAGGCGGAAGGATGCGGAACAGTTTAGTCCAGACGACCGGAGCCTTGCCCAAACACCCATGGCCACAGATGAAGAAGTATCTACTTTCCTACAATTAGAGGCAGAGGCTGCTCAGCTGTCGCACGCCGGTCGGGAATGCCCGGTGCCTAAGCCCAAGGGGATCTTGGGCGATCTGTTGGGATTCACGAACCGTGGGGAGACACCATCACAACCACCACCGACAAGGGAGAATCGGTAACTGCAACGTATATCGCTGGAAAATCTATAAAGCACCTCGGGAGGAATAGTGCATTGTATCATGAAATTGGCCAGTTAGAGCTATGTTGTTGGCTTCACCAAGGGGTTTGCGAAGGATGGGCCACTTGATGTCACCCCCAGAGCCGACCGCCCTGATGGCAGTTATATACCCATCTTTGTATCGATAGTGTACTTACAGCCATGATTTGTGTAACTACATGGAATCAATTTTTACCTTCAATCCGAACCAAATCAATCATTCTGCAGGTAATTGCGGTTGTTGCCTCCTTGCGTCAATGACTCGATAGCAAGCTGGCGGGGCGCGTTTCTGTGTGGGAAGAACCACTAAGCCCAAACAGGACAGGTATTATTGGCTGCGCGCCGGCTGGCTGAGGCCACATGCGTCGCAAGCTCGACACCTCCAGGCTTTCCAGTCGCTGAAACAACTGCGACAAGATCCGCAATGAATTGGATGCGCTTCTTCAAAGACCTGTGTCTGAACCCCAGACACACAATATGGATTGCTCCGCTTCTGGTCCTGGCCGATGCCTTTCTGTGCACCCTGATCATCTGGAAGATACCGTGTATGCTTCGAGCTTTCATACTTGCGCGGACCCCCCGAAGCTAACTGATATCCCCCTGCTTCCACGGCAGATACTGAGATCGATTGGTCTACGTATATGCAGCAGATAGCGCTCTACCTGGCCGGAGAGCGCGACTACACGCTCATCAAAGGCTCCACGGGCCCCCTCGTCTACCCCGCCGCACATGTATACAGTTACAGCTTCCTTTACCACCTCACGGACGAAGGCCGCGACATCTTCTTCGGCCAGGTCCTCTTCGCTGCGCTGTACCTGGTGACCCTCGTTGTCGTGCTCGCTTGCTACAGGCAATCGGGCGCCCCACCGTACCTGCTGCCTCTGCTCGTTCTGTCCAAACGGCTGCACAGCATCTTCGTCCTGCGCCTCTTCAATGATGGTCTGGCGGCATTCGTCATGTGGCTTGCTATCTGGCTGTTTCAGAAGAGGAAGTGGGCGGCTGCCGTTACTGTGTGGTCTGTCGGCGTGGGCATCAAAATGACTTTGTTGCTGCTTGCTCCGGCCGTTGCAGTGATTACTGTGCTCAGTCTGTCGCTCGTGCCTAGCATTCGGCTCGGTGTGCTGGCGTTGCTTGTTCAGGTATATCCTTATCGCCGATAATGCCCCTTATTTCTTGCCTTGGCGACGTGAAATGCTAAAAAGAGTACAGGTTCTACTGGCGATTCCATTCCTACAGGAAAACCCAGCGGGGTATGCTTCGCGGGCGTTCGAGCTAACCAGACAGTTCATGTTCAAATGGACGGTCAATTGGCGATTTGTGGGCGAGGAACTGTTTTTATCTAAAAGGTTCTCCGTGGCATTGCTTGCTATCCACCTTGTCTTGCTGGTGCTATTCGTTGCCTTTGGCTGGCTCAGGCCTGTCCAGTCTCGCCTGCCGGGGTTTGTCCAGAACCTGCTCACGGGCCGACACCGTCCCGTACCGCTATCCAAAGCGTATATCATGACCACCTTGCTGTCATCCCTTGCGATTGGTCTGTTGTGTGCAAGGTCGCTTCACTACCAATTCTTCGCCTATCTCTCCTGGGCAACGCCTTTCCTTCTCTGGCGGGCAGGCCTCCACCCTGTTCTATTGTACGCCGTGTGGGTGCTCCAAGAATGGTCGTGGAACACGTATCCGAGCACCAACACGAGTTCCATGGCTGTCGTCCTCTCCCTTGTGATTCAGGTCTTCGGCGTTCTTGCGAACAGCGCCAATGCATTCACCGACACGCGCGCCAAGCAAGCCGGAAAGGAGCATATTCAATGATTATTGGTTCCGCAGACCTATCACGGTTCGTTGACTGGTGCATTGGTACCGGAGGATGTCGTGATGTGCCAGGATTTGTCATTTCCTGGTAGGGCTCGTCCGCCAGGCTGCGACTGGAGTGGCGGTATATCAGGTATTCTCCAGTCGATGTGGTAATCCTCATTGGAGCATATTCAAGCATCCGACTCGTCATCCGAAGGCGGCAATTTGCCCACATTAGACTCCTCCTCTGATTCTTCGTCGTCCGACGCAGCAACAACTTGCTTAGTGAACTCCTTGGGCCTGCAACTGCGTTAATTCGTAATTCAAAGCACGATCCATGAGGGTCACCCACCAGAACGGGGCCTTGCGCCACGCCTTCTCATCCCGCACAATGTTGACAATCTCACCCTTCAGCTTATTGTCACGACCCTCCAGAGCATTGGTGTCGATCACCACGTAAGATCCGCGCTTGATCCAGATGGTCGAACGGAATCGCGAAGGCAATTCGACCAGAGCCGACTCCTTGGATGGCGTCTCCACCAGGTAGATGTTGTTACCCGTGGCTTTGATGACTCGTGTGATCAGATGTCCCTGAGCGAGCTCACCCGGAGGGACCATCGTCTCTTCCGCCGTAGCGAGTACCTTGCGCCGAGGGGGACCCATGTTGAAGGATTGCTGCTGGAACCGCGAAAAAGTGAACTTTAGCTGTAGTATGGAAGAACGAATTGTATATATGTAATTGGCTTGGACAACCAAGCAAACCGAAGTAATCGTGACTGGAGAAAGGAAGTGGATGACGGAGGCTTCGATGAAACCAAAAGATTTTTTTTTCTTGGTTGACGGAATTCATCCCCCGTGCGGAGGGGAAGTGGGCCTTGCCTGATTCGGTATTCAACTGTTTTCCCCGGAATCTTCACACCGTGGACATCCACGCACCTTACTAAATTTGATATTATACTATGGTTTGCGAATGCTTGAATGAACACTCAATTGAAGAAAGTGGAATAAGTCGCAGTGTATGTCAAATGTTTCGATGTTGTTTTCACCCCTCCAAATCTAGTGACTTGTCCAGGTCACATCTGTGCATTGCTGGTTGTCACATGCAAGCCCCAGTGCTATTCGTTGAGATCCCCGTCTTCGCAAAATCGACGTCTGATCGTCCGGAAAGTGATAGGATAAGAGCTTCCTTGTTACGAGTCATGCTACGATTCCTCTGCAGAGCCAAGCGGCCGCTCTCGTGCCAGCATGGTCTAATCCGCTAAGTCTAGCTAAGAACCAACAACGTCTTGTTGCGAATGCTAGTTGAGCCAAAGCCTGACTGCCTCTGTATTTTCTTCTGGACTGCAGACCGCAGACCGTGCGAATGGGATATGTCATGTCAACGTATTTGTGTGAGAGTCTGATTGGCCCTCGGGATTAAAATTCCTATACGACTTTAGCCGACTGAGCTTCGATTTATCAGCTGGCGGGGCCCAAAGCAGAATTAGTCAGTCAATCGCTGTAGCTACAAAGACCACGGGTCGACCGTTCAGTTGGAGGGGAAAAAAATGAATCTGATCCCAGTCAAGTTCAGAGCTTAGTCCGACGTTGCTTCTCACTCTTCCCGAATCCTTGCCAACAACATGTCAGCCTCGGCTTTTGGCGCGCTGGTCGAGGTCCAGAGCCCGCCTTCCATCGCCAGTCCGGCTGCCGTCGTGCGCAAAGATAAGCAAGGCATCGCACATACCCCCTCTGATCAGGAATTGGTGGAGCTCCAGCAAGGACGCCGGCAGCCAGCCGTCACTCCTGGTGGCGTCTCGTCGAACACTGCCACCGATGTGCGCACGCCCATTACGCCTGGGGAGCTGGAAAGCCATCTAGCCTCGCCCGGCGAGAATGAGGGCTACGGCCCAGCCCCGACTTTCAGCAACCCGTCCAAGACCAAATGGCGCTTTGTGAGCACCTGTCTGATGAGCTTCACACAGGGTCTGAATGACAGCGCGCCTGGTGCTCTGATCCCTTACATGGAGGACGACTACGGCATCGGCTATGCGGTCGTCTCGTTGATCTTCGTCACCAATGCCCTGGGCTTCATCCTCGCAGCTCTGGTCACTCATATTCTGGAAATGAAACTGGGGCGTTCAAAGTGTTACGCTCTGTCCATGGCCTTGCTGGCCGCGGGCTATGTGATCATCATCTGCAAGCCTCCGTTCCCTGCGGTCGTGGCTAGTTTCTTTCTTCTTGGGTTTGGCCTGGCTCTCAGTCTGGCTTTGAACAATGTTTTCTGTGCGAATCTTGCCAATAGTACCGCGGCTTTGGGTGGACTGCATGGGTCTTATGGGCTTGGGGGCGTCGTGGGACCGCTTGTAGCGACTGCTATGGCATCACATGGAGTTCGTTGGTCCCTGTTCTATGGCATCAGTCTGGCGATGTCGCTTTTCAACCTGGGTTTTGCTGCATGGTCGTTCTGGACCTACGAGAAAGAGCTACCAACACAGCTTCTGGGAGCGCTACAGCAGACCGCTTCCCAGCAAGCTCACGGCCCCGACTCAGTAAGCAAAAGCCGTCTCCTGAAGCAAGTGGTCAAGAACAGGACCACGCTGCTCGGTGCTCTTTTTATCTTCGCCTATCAGGGTGCGGAGGTGTCCATCTCCGGATGGGTGGTATCGTTCCTCATTAGCTATCGCCATGGAGATCCGTCGCATGTCGGTTATGTCAGTGCTGGCTTCTGGGCCGGCATTACCGCCGGGCGATTCTTCCTATCGCACCCTGCCCACTATGTCGGGGAAAAGCTGTCTGTCGTCGTGCTTGTGATTGGATCCATCGCTTTCCAGCTCATGACCTGGCTCATTCCTAACATCATCGGTGATGCCGTCGCAGTCGCCATCGTGGGTCTCCTCCTGGGCCCCGTTTATCCTTGCGCCACTGCGGTGTTCAGCAAGCTGCTGCCCCGGTCGATGCAAATGTCAAGCTTAAGTTTCATTAGTGCGATGGGAAGCAGCGGGGGAGCCGTCTCGCCCTTTTTCACAGGTCTATTGGCGCAGAAAGTTGGGACGTACGTCCTGCATCCGATCTGCATCGGCTTGTATGGGGTGATGCTTGTGGGCTGGATGTCTCTTCCGCGTATCGCGAAGAGGTCGGAGTAATTGCTCCATTGGGGCCGTCATCCCGCGGTATGCTTTGCATGGCGCGTCCAGCCAGTTTTGAGCTCTGAAATGAAGATATTGAATGGATGTGTATGTTGTCGAAGCAGAGTTCAGTCGACTACGACTACGATGGGACGTGAGGTGGCAGGTGACCCTTGCGACGCGGTCATGAAGTATCAGCAGAGCTGACGCAAGCAAGGGAGATGCCAATCCTCTCTCAGATCATTGCTTTGCATGTCCTGAACTCAATCTATCCCTTCATAACGTGTAGTCTGGCTCTGTTATCTTGGATACCCATCGCGTGGGTATTGTTGCCGAATCTATGATGTATGTATGCATGCTGAGAGGAGTTGGTGGAAAGGAAGATCAGGCGTCGGGCATGTCTCTTATGTGTAAATGAAACGCATCGAGAAAAGTGAGCGAGGCTCTCCAGAGTGTTAGATGCGACGCAGTATACGGAGTAGATGATGGTTGATTGGAATGTCACGAGGGGTAGCGATGCGGTGATGCCTCAGTCAGTATGCAAGGCATCAATTCCCGGGACCCGCGACTGCCTGCCCGAAGTGGAAGACAGCCTTTGAACTACAACATCAATCAACATTCCACTGCTGAGTTCTTCATCTCTTGCTTCCATTTATTTACTACTGCTGGACATTCATTCATTCATCCATTTTCTATCATTCCTGGTATAAATATAACAAGGAAACTAAAGTGCCCTCCCTCTCTCCCTCCCTGCCTGCAAAGTGACGAGCGAACAATTCCGTGAAGCTAGCACGGAATTGATTGACACGAGGAGTGATTATTGTGGCCCCGTCAAGTCATCGCCACGGGGAGGCCGGCCTGGCTTTGGGTCTTTGCTTTGGGTCCTTGTCTCACTTATCCCGTGGTCCTTTTTCCGACTGAATTGCGGGAAAGAAGGAAAAGAATGGATGGATGGATGGACGGATGGGTGGATTGATGGATGATATGATTGATGATTGATTGACTGACTGAATGAGCTGACCTTTCAACTTCCAACTTGGATTGACAGACAGACAGGCAGACAGAAAGGCAGACAGACAGACAGACACTGCATCTCATCTCATCTCATCTTCCTTCCTTGGTTTGGTTTTAAGTCAAACGGGCTTCCTTTCCCCTCCAACTAAACTAAAACTACCTTTTTCTCCCTCTCTCTCCCTCCCACTTCCACTCCCACTTCTCTTCTCTTCCCCCCCTGCAACTGTCAACAAGAGAAGAAAGAAGAGCCCCGCGACGCCGGCTCTCTTGTTCTTGTTGTTGATTTTCTTTCTCTTCTTCTTTCTTCCTGCCCTCCATCCCTCCTCCTCCTCTCTCCCCACTCTCCTCCTCTTCCTCGTGCTTTTCCTTCCCCTCCCTCACTCACTCATTCCCGTCATCTTTCCCTTCCTCTTTCTTCTATTACTTTTGGAATTTCCCCGCCCCTCTCTCCCCTCCCCCTCCTCCCCTCCCCCCCCTTTCTGTCTTCCGATCACATCCAGAATCGAACCACCCACACCCTCACCCGTATCTCGGGTTTCTATCGATTTCCCTTAGTTCACCCCCGGTTATTCCTACCGCACCATGGACGGGGACGAGCTCATCGCCTCGGTCTATCGCAAGATCGAGCGGGAGAAGGCTCTCATCGCCGCCGCGTCGAACATGCGACAGTCGACCGACAATCCCCTCGTCCAGCAACGCGTGGATGCGAACATTCGCGATGGCCGGAAGAACATCGCCTATCTCGAGGAGAAGATGCGGGAGTTGCAGTTGCGGCAAGAAGGAGGCCAGGCTTCCCCGACCGATCGACGTATCCCCTCGGGTGATGGTGGCCCTGTCCCGCCGCAGAAGGATTACGGCAATGAGTATGGCGAAGGCTCCGCACAATACCCGCAAGGAGGATCAGGGTCCATGCCGTCAGGTGCCCCATACGCAGACCCTCGCCCTTTTGCTCCCGTGCCCAAGGCTCGTCCCAATTACACCAAGCTCGGTAGGCATTTCCACCTTCCTCGCCGCCCTGGAAGAAGCCACCTAGACAGACATCCGTTTGGCGCGATCCGGAAGCAAGGCTGACTGGATCATCTGCAGACTTGATCAAATATGACACTCAGTACCTGGGACCCAAGATCCAGCTTATGCTGTCCCAGCTGGAATTCAAATTGAGTGTAGAGAAGCAGTACAAAGCGGGTATTGAGAAGATGGTTCGCCTGTATCAGGATGAGGGGGATCGCAAGAGTCGCGCCGATGCTGAAGGCCGGCGGATTGAGAGTAACCAGAAGATCCAGTTGCTGAAGCAGGCCCTGAAGCGATATGAGGATCTCCACGTCGACATCGAGTCAGCAGACAGCCCTGATGGTCAGTCGCAGAAGCACCAACGCCGTTCTCCACCTGATCTCGTAGCTAACATTCGCGTCTGCCAGATGAGAGCTTAAGCACCCCGAACCTGCGTAAGCCGCTCACAGGTCTGCTCACCATGCGCATCCATGCCGTGCAAGATGTAGATCACGCCGCCAGCTCCAGATTTTCCCGAGGCCCCGAAACCTTCGTCGTTCTGAAAGTGGAGGACACCATTAAAGCGCGCACCAAGGCGACCCGGACCGATAGATGGCAGGATGAAACCTTCAACCTGGATATCGACAAGGCGAACGAAATCGAGCTCACCGTATACGATAAGTCGGGAGATCGGCCGACCCCGATTGGCATGCTGTGGGTACGCATCTCGGACATTGCGGAGGAGATGCGTCGGAAGAAGATCGAGACGGAGTTTAATGCATCGGGCTGGGTGTCTGCGGACAAGATGGGACATGGAGGACAATCCGGACGGCCCGATACCGCTGGAGGAATGGGCTCATCCCATCAAGCTGGCCCAGGAGGCCCGGCCGGGGCGGGCGCTCCGGGTGGTGCGTCTGGCGCACCGGGTGCCGGCCAGGTGATAATTGATTCTTGGTTTGCGTTGGAACCAGTTGGTCGTATTCAACTGTCGATGAGCTTCGGTGGGTTCATTTTTGTTCACTACTGGGCTGACAGCCAGACTGACACGATTTACAGCCAAGCAACTCAAGGACCGACGCCCGTTCGACATTGGTCTCAACCGTCAAGGTGCTGTGCGCCAGAAGAAGGAGGAGGTGCACGAGAAGCAAGGCCACAAGTTCGTTACCCAGCAGTTCTACAACATCATGCGCTGCGCTCTTTGCGGCGATTTCCTGAAATATGCTGCGGGCATGCAGTGCGCCGACTGCAAGTACACCTGTCATAAGAAGTGCTATCCCAAGGTCGTCACCAAGTGTATCAGCAAAGCAAACTATGAGACGGACCCAGACGAAGAAAAAATCAACCACCGGATTCCGCACCGTTTCGAAGGCTTCTCCAATCTGTCGGCCAACTGGTGTTGCCACTGTGGTTACTTGCTGCCTTTTGGACGCAAAAACGCCAAACGATGCACCGGTAGGTGAACTCTCTAGCGCCCTGATTGATGGCAGAAACTGACATGCGATACTTGAATGCAGAGTGTGGTCTCACGAGTCACGCCCACTGTACTCATCTTGTACCCGACTTCTGTGGCATGTCCATGGAAGCAGCCAACCAGATTTTGGAAACCCTTATCCGCGCTAAGGTTCATAACAAATCTCCCTCGGTCAGCTCGGCCAGTGGCCTCAGCAACCGCACGTTGCGCGCTCCTCAGACGCCGCAGGAGAATACCTCCATGGCGTACCCGTCCAAGCCTGTCGAGCAGTACGAGCCAGCACGGCCGCCTGCGCCCGAAGCCGTGAGCGCTGCATCCATGTCGTATAAGCCTCCGCAGTCTCCCACCAGCCCACAAGGCGCCCAGACATCTCCCAGGACATCGGGTTCCGCCGGTCTTGCAAGTCATGCCGCCGCGGCGGCAGCCAACACTCGTCCTCCCCAGTCGATGCCAGGTATGTTCATCCAACTGCTGTAAGATCAATTCCCAAACGGGAACTAACCTGAATCACCTACAGAGCCAAACCGTCCTGTGCAGCAGCAGCAGCAGCAGCAGCAGCAGCCACCCCAGCATGCCCGCTACGATCCCTCTGCTTACCCTATGTTCGAAGGAGGGGGCGTGCCGCATCAGCAGATGCAGAACGTCGGTGCCCCTGCGCCATATGGCGTTCAACAGCCCCCACCGCCGCAACAAAGTATGGCTTTGGCTCAGAAGCAAGCACCCGAAGCACCTCAGCAACAACCTAAGGCTAGAATCGGACTCGACCATTTTAATTTCCTGGCAGTTCTGGGTAAGGGTAACTTCGGTAAGGTCATGCTTGCCGAGACCAAGAGCACCAAGAAGCTTTACGCCATCAAAGTTTTGAAGAAGGAGTTCATTATCGAGAATGACGAAGTCGAGAGCACCAAGTCTGAGAAGCGGGTCTTCTTGATTGCCAACAAAGAGCGACACCCATTCCTCCTTAGCCTTCACGCGTGTTTCCAGACCGAGACCCGCGTGTACTTCGTGATGGAGTATATCAGTGGTGGTGATCTGATGCTCCACATTCAGCGCGGCCAGTTCGGTCTCAAGAGGGCACAGTAAGTCACACTAATATATTTGTTCCACCCTCAATGAGGATGCTAATGCCTTGCGTGCAGGTTCTATGCTTCCGAGGTCTTGCTTGCCTTGAAGTATTTCCACGAGAACGGTGTCATTTACCGTGATTTGAAGCTTGATAACATTCTCTTGACTCTGGATGGTCATATCAAGATTGGCGATTATGGTCTTTGCAAGGAAAACATGTGGTATGGCGCAACGACGAGCACCTTCTGTGGTACGCCCGAATTCATGGCGCCCGAGGTAAGATACTCCACCCCTTTACCTCCCCGTTGAGCCGTGTCTAATGCTCCGAAACAGATTCTTTTGGACAAGAAGTACGGACGTGCCGTCGATTGGTGGGCATTCGGTGTCCTCATCTACCAGATGCTTCTTCAACAATCTCCCTTCCGTGGTGAGGACGAAGACGAAATCTACGATGCCATTCTTGCCGATGAGCCGCTTTACCCCATCCACATGCCCCGCGACTCGGTCTCTATTCTGCAGAAGCTGCTTACTCGTGAGCCTGAGCTGAGACTGGGCTCTGGTCCTACGGATGCCCAGGAAGTCATGTCCCATGCATTCTTCCGGAACATCAACTGGGACGATATCTACCACAAGCGTGTTCCTCCTCCCTTCATGCCCACTATCACTAGCCCGACGGATACTAGCAATTTCGATCAAGAATTCACTAGTGTGACTCCGGTCCTCACGCCTGTACAGTCTGGTAAGACACCAATCCAGGATGCAAGTCTCCTTTCACGACATGCTGACATTTCCCTTAGTCCTCTCCCAAGCTATGCAGGAAGAGTTCCGCGGCTTCTCCTACACCGCCGACTTCGCCTAATCATTCTCCCCGTAACTGGTCGGAAGCCTGTACTGATTGCTTGTTTGTCTTGTGTCTACTTTGGCCTGCTGTATTTCTCGGATTCTTGATGTTGCCGGTCTTTCGGCACCGTTTGCGCCGGTGTCCTTCACATACCCATAAGTGTTTTGAGTGCCAGTGTAAGCGTGGTAATAGCTTTTGTGAATGCAGTGGAACGATGGCTTCGAGGGTGTTTTTATTTACGGCTTACTCCTTGGGCCTTGCTTCCTGGGACCTTTGGTGGTCTTTCAACTTTATTCTCTGCCGGTGTAATCCCTGTGCTCAAAATATAAACCTGTTTCAGGGGTCATCTCTGCTGGTGGCTATTGCAGTAGCATTCATGGGATAGTCGATCTGGTTGGCGCTTCAGGTGAAACATACAATCTGTAAACTGTCTGTGTGCGGGACGCAGGACGCTCTTTGTTTTTATCACCTCTTTATCACCTCTTCAACTTGATACTGTGAATATATGCAATTCCACTCGAAATGCAGTTGTGATCTCTCTCTCTCTCTCTCTCTTTCACTTGACTGTCGGTCAACACAAGTTTTTGTCCTGGTTTGTTCTGGAACCCCCACCCAACCATCTTCCTTCTTCCCTCCTCCTACCTCCATACCTCATCTAGGTAAGTATACCGTGGACCTTCCCTTCTCCTTCCAAGCTGAGATCCTCGATCATTTCCCTCTTTGTCCAACACCACCACGACCACCATCAACCACATCGAACCAAACAAAGAACAAGGATCCAATCCTAGATACAAGGCCACAGAAAGAACACAGCGAGCTATTGATATCATCTCAAACACACAAAGGATCAAAAGATGGCCTTCAACGACCCTCCCCCCGACTTATTACGCTTGTCATCGCCGTCGTCGACGCCGTCGACTCCAGATCGCTATCGATGTACTTCTGACGAATCGCTGTTAACACTCATCACCCCAACCGCTACTGGCAAAAGAGAGTCCAGAGTAACACCACTTACCCCTACTTCCAGGTCCGCAAACCCAAGCCCAACCCGCCGGATCTACAACTTCCTGTGCTTGAAATTCAACAATATGACTCGGGTCAGCAAAAGAGCCCTGGCCAAAGCCAACAAACCCCCAAAAGTCACGGAAGAGGACCCTGACTATGATCCATCCAAGGACGATCGAGCCGAGGACGAGGAATACCGGTATGGCGCCAACCTAATGAAGATCGAAGCCGCCCTTCTGGGCAAGTATTTGCATGAAACCATTTCGGGTCCGCGGCGAGGGAAGAGCCTTGAGTTGCAGATCCCCATGAAGGATGAGGAACAGGACGAAGAAGATGAGATGATCACGGGCATACCGTCTCTCTCGCGCACGCCCACTGATGACCTCTTCGCCGCGTCCGTTCATACAACCTCAGCGGGCAAGAGACCCCTGGACGAATCCGGTGCCGTCAGCCCCACAATCAAGAGGTTGAAGCGCGAGGAGTCGTTTGAGTCGATCATGTCCTCGGTACAGGATACGGTGCCGCCGGATTTGAGGGCTGAGTACTTCCATGTGATGACCGAGCCGGGCAGTTTCGGTTCGTCTTCACCGACTGGTTCGCGGATGGGCTCGCCTGCTAGCAGCTGTTCGAGGGTGGGTTCGCATTTGAGAACGCAGAGCATTCCATCGCCTGAGATGCAAATTGATGGTGGGGTTGATTTTGTTGCAGGTGGAGAGTCGTCGCCAGACTTTAGTTCCAGTCCTTGGGGACTGGCGGACTTGGTTGAAGCTGATGAACCGTCGTCAAAGCCCACCGCAGATGGCCTGGCTACTCTCATTGTGAATAACGAACCACTCAAACCGTCGCGGTCGCGGCGGAAGACGCAGGCGAAATCGCGCAGAAAGACAAGACATTATTCTCCTTCGGACGATGAGGTATATAGCTCACCTTCGGACGATGCGAACGGGGATGAGTCCCTGGACGAATACGACATGCCACGCATCAAGCCCAACGAGAAGACGGGGATTGTGTTCGACTTCTCGTCCGAAAGAGCCAAGCGCTGGGCGAGCGCGATCAATCTGCCTGGAGGCCTGTACAATGGCGAGGAGCAGGACCTCTTCTTCCGGCTGGCTATGCGCGGCTTCGAGCCTCTCGTTCCCAAAGACTGGCGACATGACTTCCCGACGCTGCCTGAATCGTTGTATCCACCTACATCTGGACCCTCTTTCAGACCTCTTTTCCAGGTTCGGAGGAGCTCGAATCTGTATGGTAAGTTGTGTTTTGTTTTGTGTTATCGGGGTATAGAGGGCTGACTGCGGGTATAGCTACCAAAGCCCTCGCCAATCTCTTCAGTGTCGGAGGCCGCGTTCGGGACTGCGACATCGTACGCAAAAGGCCCGAGAAACTGATCAAGGACGCCATCAAGAAGTACTTCCGCTGGGCGATGTTCGACGCCGATCTCCACACCACCGAATCCAAAATCCCCGTGCACGCGATCTACGCCCAGAAGAAAGGCGAGACAACCCTCCAAGCCGTGCGGCGACTCAACCGCCGCCTACGGTTCCTGACTTCGCAATACCAGAAGGCATTCGGCGTAGCAGAGGATCCGGAGGATGCAGCCAGCCGACCAACGAAAGGCCACCAGCAGCAGCAGCAGCTTTCAGAGACCCAGACCTCCCGCCATTTCCCCCTTCTGATCGGCTTCATCATCTGTGGTCCAATCGTCGCGATTGTAACTCATACCACGGATCCCCAGGAGATCGAGACCAGCTTCGACGGCAAGTTCATCTCGCAGTTCGACTTGTCGGAGCGCGGCCAGGATGTCTGGAATTCGCTTGCCATCGCGATCGCGGTCATGCATGCGCGGAGGACGATGATCGGGCTGGCCGAGGAGGGCCTAGGCGGATTCACTTTCTGTGAGACCGCGCAGCCGGCTTCTGATCCTGATCTTTAGGTTTTTGTTGTTGTTGTTGTTGTTGTTGTTGTTGTTGTTGTTGTTGTTGTTGTTGTTGTTGTTGTTGTTGTTGTTGTTGTTGTTGTTGTTGTTGTTGTT